TTTTTTTGAGTGAAGGACATACATTGGGTTATTAGGTGTCTTGTGTCCGAATTTGGTGACAATTTGTCCAGTGGTTTTTGAGGTCTGTTAATCCCACAAACGAACATTACATTTTTATTTATATAGATTTTTGTAAGTATGCTTAGAAATTATTGTGGAGCATAAAACCCTAGTTGTCCTATCTGAACATCTTATGTTCAACATTTTCATAGAATCATAGAGTTGGGCCCAGGACAGAGCCCTGTGGCACCCTACTGGTCACTTCTCTCCAGGATGAAAAGGAGCCATTAATAAGCACCTTTTGGATTTGGACAGTAAACCAATTCCCAATCCACCTAACAGTAGTATTGTCTAACTCACATTTTACTACCTTCTTTGTGAAAATGTCAAGGGAAACCTTGTCAAAGACCTTACAGAAATCAATATATGCTACATCCACAACGTTCCCTTCATCTATGACACTTGTGACTCTCATTTTTTAAAAAAGAGATAAGGTTAGTCTTCCACAACTTGTTTTTGAGCCATACCAGACTAACCTTATCTCCTTTTTTGATTCATTCATTATTATATAAAATATTTTGTCATCCTGTTGTTTTTTCATTTGTAGGGAGAAGCTGAGGGAGGGTGAGGTCTCTTGATTTTTTTTCCAAGATGTTTTTAGGTCTTTCATATTCTTAATATAGTGGTTGAGTCTGCAGTGCCCTCAGAGCTAGTTTTGCAATAGAGTTCTATAGGGTAGGAGACTCATATGGGGGGGGGGGAGTATTTAGTAAGATACCAATTATACAAGTTCTCCCACTTAAAAAAGATGAGAGAGGCCTGTAATTGACATCATAAGTAGACCTCAACTATGAGAGACAATATGAGAAAACACATCCAGAAAATCACTTTGTCTGATTTTTAACGAATTTATTTGCAAATTATGGTGGAAAATAAGTATTCGGTCCATAACAAATCTCAATATTTTCTTATATATCCTTTACTGGCAATGACAGAGGTCAAACATTTTCTGTAAGCCCTCACAATGTTGGCACACACGGTTGCTGGTATGTTGGCCCATTCCTCCATGCAGATGTCCTCAAGAGCAGTGATGTTTTGGGGCTGTCATCTGACTAAATACTATTTTCCTATTGTAACTAGCTTCCTGAGAAAGGTGTATTGATACAGATGTATATGTGTGCACAGGCTATATAAACACATCTATGTATATATTCTATTCATAGATGATGATATATTTAAGCCCCCCAAGTTGACTGATGAAGATTTCCTGCCACCTAAAGAAGGCCTCTTCGGTGGTGGGCTAGGACTTTTTGACAATGATGAGGTTTGTATCTGATGAAGATTCCTGTTCAGTGTCCCACCATATCCATTGTCTCCCTGCTTGCTGGTTTGTCAGGCGACCAGTCCCCAAACAATGTTGCAAAATAGACCCTTTGTAGAATTAGCAGACACTGCTTAGAACCCCAACTCTGAGCTGGAGAAGATTTCCAAGAATTCTGCTTCAACTGCTGCCCTGAATTAGGTTTAAGTGAATGTGTTTGACATCTCTCTGCTAACTTGGCAGACTGAATGCATTCACTTGCAAGGCTTGCAGAGAGTCTGCAAATGTGTTCACTGAAATCTGGTCCTAACCAAAGGTACCATTCAGATATTGTCTAAAAGTTAATATTCAGTGTTTTGTGGTTTTCCTGGTCAGAATGCACTGATATTCTAGAGTATTATCATGCTCTGCTAGGAGCCCCCGGTGGCGCAGTAGGTTAAACCCCTGGGCCGGCAGGACTGAAGACCAACAGGTCACAGGTTTGAATCCGGGGAGAGCGCGGATGAGCTCCCTCTATCAGCTCCAGCTCCTCATGTGGGGACATGAGAGAAGCCTCCCACAAGGATGATAAAACATCAAAACATCCGGGTGCCCCCTGGGCAATGTCCTTGCAGACGGCCAATTCTCTCACACCAGAAGTGACTTGCAGTTTCTCAAGTCGCTCCTGACACGACAAAAAAATAAATAAATCATACTCTGCTGTTGTTTTCACTTGACATCAGCCATTTCTAACGCAGCTGTATTTTAAATAACCCAACAATGCTTGAGTCCTGCTAAGATTCCAGATGGTAACGGGAGACAAATTTAAGACAATTACAATTTAAATACAAAGTACAGATTACATATTCACTTACAATTTTCAGAAGGAGTACAGAACAGAATATGCAAAGTGGTACAAGCTTTATATCTTTTTTACACAGGTTTTAATAACTGGTTGATGTTATGCTTGAGTATATTGTGGTAGAGGAACATCACCAATGCAGGCATTTTATCAATTAATTAGGTTGAAAAAGAGGCAAGAATAATATATTTGGAAATTCCTGATTGTCCTGAGCAACACTACAGGGCCCACAAGCCTCAGTGATCTAGAATTATGGGAGTTGCATTTCAGAATGTGGTTGATCCTCTCAAAAGGAAGCACTTGACCTAAAAGCAACAATTTAGCTTTGTCTCCTTTTAGCTAATGCTTACAGACTTCACACTTAGCATAAAGGGAATTATGTAGGATAAGTGGGAAATTCATAATTCCTTTCAAAGTTCCAGCTCTACGCCTCCATAGACTTTTGAATTTTATTATTCTGGATAGAAATGCCATTTCCTCCTCTGGGATCTCATTGTAATGTTAACCTAATCCTGAAAATAATTAGTAGGCCTGGGCAATGCATGGTTCTAAATAGTTCTAAATTTCTTACAAAACTAAAATTCTGGTGGTGAAAATTTCAGAACTCTAACTTTAAAAAAATAATTATTATTTCATTATTGGCTATTTTTATGACAGAACCAATTAGGAACTGCCATTTATCATGAAATTTTGAGAGGTTTGTTAGAGTTTTGAAATTTTCATCACCAGAACTTTAATTTTGTCAGTACTTTAGAATAATTTAGAACCATGCATTGCCCAGGCCTACTAATTAGATGTCATCTTATATGGAATTATGTGCTAGGAGCAAGGGAAATTTTTCAGGTTGTAAGCCGTTGTGAGTTGTAACAGCCATATGAAAATGTATTCAGAGGTAGCTATGTTGACATTACACCAAAATCCACAAAACATTTGGGCAGAAAGCCCAAAATACATCATGCAAGCTTTCAAAGCTCAGTTGGCTTCTTCAACAGGCAAAATCATACAGGAGAAGAAAAGTGACAATGTTAGAATCACATCTGATTTTGTATCATATTTTTTCTATGGTAGTTAAGTTGGTATTAAAAAGGCATTGCTACATGAAATCAATTACTGTTCTAGTGAATTTGAAAAATTATATGTAAGCAGATAGAAAAATAGCTACTTTGTCTATCTCACCATTAATATAACTGTTAATCTGTGTTTTCAACCAGAGTGATCTTTTTGCTGAATTGCCAAAGGGGAAAGCCACAGTAGAGAAGGAAACTCCATCCCCTATAAATGACGGTAAGAACAGATTGAATTGTGAATATTTCTAATGTCCAATGGGCAGGTATTAAGAGAAGTTCTGGGAATATTGTATATATCATATAACTGTATATTTTGCATACTAGTCACTTTGGGTCACACAAATGGGTCTCATCTGTACCTGCACAGAGTAGCTTGGAGAACTCCTATAGCTAAGCAGAGTGCTTTGGTGGTAACTCCACCTCTCTATGACCATATGTCGTTGACATTCCTCTTGTTTGCCATAGTTTATTTTCATCATCGAAACATTAGCACTGTGAAGGAACTTACCTGTGCATTGCAGAACGTTTGTTTACATCACTTCCTTCATTTTTTTCTATAGCTTCTTTTATTTTTTCTTTATATTTTTCTAGTTTCCTCCTTCTCTTGGTAGTTTTTATTTTACTATCTTTCATGAATCATGATGATACTCCTTATTGTTTATGACTTCAGCGTCATAGACTCCTAGAATAGAAATTAGAAGAGACCACAAGGGCTATTCATTCCAAATGCCTGCAGCAACATGCAACCAATGTACTCCCATCAAATAGTTATCCAACCTCTGTTTAAGCTGATCTTTAAAAAGTGATTCTGATGTGGTAGTAAAATTCCACAGACTGACAGGCATTCTTGTTGCCTGTTCATTCTTTTTATGGTAAATCCAGATGTCCTTGGAAGAAATCTCAATCCAGGTTATCAGGATACAAATCAGTTTTCATCCTCTGTTATATAGAGACCAGGATAGATCTCAAAGTCATCCTCCACCTAAATATCTGTCCTTACTTATCCTCTGGAATTTCAGGCATTAGACACAGAGGAGTCTGATTGCCGTGGATTTATGGCTCAGATGGTGGTAGCTTTTCTGAATCTGAGGAGCCTGAGACTGAAACATTTGAGCGTCCCATTCCCCAGCAGGATGTAGTAGTGACCAAGGAGGCATGTCGTTCCTTTGAAGAGTACAGAAAAGATACAAGACTTCATAAGTCCCAGTGTGTTAAATAGGAAACATTGGCTCATGAAGCAGTTTCTCAAGTAGCTTTTGACACGATACAAAAAAGTCTCATGAAGCAACTGGGGCAGAATGTGATTCTGTAGTTACAGGTAAACAACATCTTCTTCATGGGTCTCTGTGACACAGACAAATGGGTGACTGACAAGCTAACTCACCTGAAGAATGTTGAATCAGAGACCCAAGGGAACATGGCACGGTCAAAGTGTGTCTTGGCCTGCGCTCTTACACTGAATTTTGACTTCATGAGGGGTGGGTGAACATCATGACAGAGAAATCACTTTGGAATCTGTATTCTTTATTAGAGCCATCATCTAAAGCTGTAAGGAAAGTTCCTGCTGGAGCAGTTTCTCTCTTTCCAGGTAGGAGTAATCTCCAGCTGACCTAAAAACAATTGATATTTTCTGTGTTCAAGTAAAGTTGTGTTCCCAAAATGCTGTTATGCTTTACAAAGGATTCCAGGGTTACTCTAGGCAGGGTATCTCTAGTTCAGTAAATCTCTTAAGAAGAGAAGCTTAATAATATGTCTTTTATTTGAACCAGTGATTTCAAACATAAATATTTCTGCACATGCCTGTACATATCCTGAAGGTACCAGATTCAGGAGCCCCTGGTGAYACAGTGGGTTAAACCGCTGAGCTGCTGAACTTGCTGATCGAAAGGTCGCAGGTTCAAATCCAGGGAGCAGCGTGAGCTCCCCCTGTTAGCCCCAGCTTCTGCCAACCTAGCAGTTTGAAAACATGCAAATGTGAGTAGATCAATAGGTATYRCTCCAGCGGGAAGGTAACGGCACTCCATGTWGTCATGCTGGCCACATGACCTTGGCGGTATCTACRTACAATGCTGGCTCAGAAATGGAGATGAGCACCAACTCCCAGAGTCGGACAYRACTGCACTTAATGTCAGGGGAAAACCTTTACCTTTRCCAGATTCTATCTGATCTTGGAAATGAAGCAGGGTCACAATTCATTTGTACTGTTGAAAATGAAGAAGCATCAACATTTGTATATAGTGCAGTTAGCGAAAGGGAATCCTGCTGTCTTGTTTTTTACCTCTGTTCCCTAAGATCAATGTAAACCAGTATGTTTTGCTTTCTGTCTGCATGTAGAGGTCTGGTTCCCTTCTTCCAAAAAGTCTTTAGTGCTTTATTGCCTTTTGTTTGAGAAGGGAGCATCATGAGACCTCTTTGCCTCAAGATGCCTTTCTCACACACACATTTAAGTGGCTCACAAGACCTTCAGTTCCATTTAACTTTTTAAAACTGCTTTCAAAACTCAAGGTGGACTGGGAGCAAAAACTGGCTCCAAGATCCACCTGAGTTGCCTAACTATGCCTTGGCTTATTCATATTTGCATCTAATGATTACGAAGGTCATTTATAAGTGAAATGGGAATTTGTTAGCTGCAGCAACATCATATTAAGTACTCCAACTTCATTAAAGAATACCAATAATAACATCTTCTAAATATTTTTAGGTGGAAACAATGTATTTAGCCCCTCATTTCTATTGGAGAAAGAAGATAAGAAATCGATAGAACCAACTACAGATAAAGCTCAAAAATTTAATGGAAGTGTTGGCCTGTTTGATGATGAAGACTTCGAGTCAACTAATACAAATTCAGTTTCAGGTGAGTTTCTCAATACGATTGCTTTAATTCTTTCTCTGTTTTCTCCTATCATATAATCTCCATTTTCTTTAGAATATTGTCTTGCCTTTCCCCCCTTAGGTTGTTAGTTTATGCAAAACATGCTGAGGAAGGTTTAACAAAAGATAGTTTTAGTAAACAAAATTTCCTCACCAGTTTACCGCTATACTATGAAAAGCTTAACTTGCTAGATGCCTGTATGTCAAGCAACCTTTAATGACACAGAAGCAAAGCAGGAAAAGACATGGTGATTTTAGATATATGACTAGAACTGCAAAATAAATCTGGTTGCCCTGTTACATATTTGTATGATGAGCCACTGCCAAAACAACCTTGATACACATTGGCTTTATTGCAGTTACAGGAACTATGGGTGTCTCTTTCTTTCTGAAGGCTATATATATATATCTATATTAGTTATAGAGCTCCAGTTGCAAATCTGTGTTAAGGATATGTTACAAAACTATAACAAGTAGTGAGAAGATGAAAGGGTAAGTGCTGTGAAAAGGGGCTTGATGGATTATTTTGAAACTTAACATCATAGAATAGATTTGTGTATGACCATTGCCTTTAGGGAGAAAGAGTAAGAAATGGTTTAAACTGAAGCTAATTTTATCTGTGTATTACTTAATTTATTTAATACTTCACCATTCTCCTAGGTCAAGGCCCAAGATATCTTATATCAAGTTAAGAACAAATAACACCAATAATCTATATGATACAAAGTTGAAAACATTAACATAAAGAATTCATTTTAAAACACTTTAGAACATAGTAAAAAGACAAAAAACATAATATACATTAAAAAGATCCTTCTTCGACCCCAAGCCCTGGGTATGGGTTTCTTTTTTATTATTTTATTTATGTCCTTTTTTATCTTTTTTATTCTTCTGGACATATCTTTATATCTTCCTACTTTCCTATAAAAACTATATGTTCCCCCTCTTTTATTGTTATCTGAAAAACTAAATAAAATATATTTTAAAAAACATCCTTCTGCCCCAGTAACCTAAATAGAAAGGTCTTTCCTTAGAGACAGAGAGAGATTAGAGAGAGGGCTGATCAAACTTTCCATGAGATGTGTTCCACAATTTGGAAGTAGCTCCTGAGACCGTTCTTTCCCTTGTCCTCACGGAATATTCCTGTTAAGATGGTGGGATAGAGAGAAAATCTCCCCCTCCCCCAAGATCTTAAAATTTGGGTGGTGTCTTACAAAAAAACAAAACAAAAACAAGCCATTTAGACAGTCTGCATTCATAATCAGCACATTGAGTTATACCATGAAGTGCCTTGATAGTCAGTATGTACCTTGTAGTACACTGGTTTAGCACCAAAGCAATTCCTGTTGAAGTTAATAGGAAAGGAAGTGTTGAATGTCATTGACATACTGGTGACATCAAATACTCTCTCAGTGGTTTCCTATAGATGTTAAACACAATGGGGGACAAAACTGAACCATGAGCAATCCCACAGGCCAATATTTGACTAGGAACCCTCTAGAACCAATTTCTGAGGTCACCTCTTCAAGAAAGAGTGGAACTACTGTAAATTAGTTCCCCAAGCCTCATACCACAGAGGCACCCCAGAAGGATACCATGGTCAATGGCTCTGAAAGCAGCTAAAGGTCTACCAGAATCAGCAGCCCTCCCATATTCTTTTCTAGCATATGCCGTCTACCAAAGAGGTTAAACCTGTCTCTGTCCCACATCCAAGTATGAAGCCAAACTGAAACTGAGCTGGGAAGCTTCCACACACTCCATAATCTTGCCCAAGAAAGGGCAAAGGAAGTCTGGCTGGTTATTCCTTAATGATGGACATGGAGGTTGTTTTATTCTTCCTGTAATGGCATCACCATGCCTTTTAGACAGAACAGTACCCAAAATGAGGGATTCTCTGCTCACCTTGCACTTTTATTCAACCCCTCCTCCAACTGCCTTTATGAGCTGGAAAGGGAATGGGTGCATTATGTATATGGTGACTCTTACCTCCATAAATCTTGTCCGTATCCTCATGATGAATAAATTGGAATATATCTGACAACACAAGCAGTTTATTTATTTCGTGTCAAAAGCATTGCATAAAAAAATAAGTATAAGACTGATAAAATAAAGTGAGCACAAGCAACTAAATAATTTTAGACCAAAAATGGGCAACAGTGACCGCATTGTCTGTAGCTTTAAACAGTTCTTCCTCTGTGCATGAGGCAGTGCATTGTGGGCAAGCATGCAGATGCAGAGTTTGTTTTGTTCTTCTCCACAGTTGCAGAAGGTGGATGTTTATGTTCTGTTTTTTAAACAGGCAAGCCTACTACAACTGGTCTATTTGATGCTGAGCAGGATCTTTTCAAAGAAAAAACTGTCGTCACCAACATTGTAAAGAATACTAATACAGACAATAAAGATCCTACAGCAGGACACAAGGTAATCAAGCTGAAGTACACAGTAGTTTCTTTTTGCATTACAATTTTGAAATCATTGTGTCATTGAGGATATCTCCTTTTAAGCATCCATGTTATCATGGATGTAAGAGAAGCAAATTAAAACATGTCTAAGAGATGGTTTAATTATGGTTATTATGAGTGACTCCCTCTTTGGCCTAGAATAAAGACAGAATATATTGTTTGGTTGGAGAATACAAACTAGCAGTTCAAATGAGTTTTTTTTTTAAAAAAATCTTATTTTGGGACTGCTACTACAGTCAAGCTTCACAATCTATCAAACAAGCTTCTGCTGATGTTCATTTGGATTCAACTATAGTTTTTGCTCCTTTATCAGCCTCAACTCTGTTAATAGTCAAGGTGCATTGCTTTACAAATCAGGATCCAGATGCTTAGAAGCCTAGACCATCCTCTGTTCTAGAGGCCCATTACATTGTCCGTAATTATAACCAAGGACTCTGGAAATGCATAATTCATAGATTTAATTAGTTTCCACTATTGAAGAAGTTCTAAGGCACAGCCATGTAGGCCTATTAAACAGGAAAATGCCATCATGGAGAGGTGCACCACCACATTTTCCTTCCCAAAACTTGGCTTTTGATTTCAATGTTGTTGTTTTTTTACATAATGATTATAATTCTGAAGGAAATCACTGATGACAGCTTGCTCAGAACAAACCTCTTTTCAAATTTACATATTTATGTTTTTAAGAGTTTGCCATCTTCTGCTGAGAATGCTAAGCCTTTTGTCCAGGCACCTTCCAAAGACCAGAAAAGCCTTTTCTCTGATGAGGAAGATTCTGAAGTAAGTTCTTAACTCAATTGCATAGCAAATTCCGAGTGAACATACCCTAAACATCCCAAACGATGTGGATTTTACTATGTATTTTTGTCTGTCTTGAATTTGTAGTTATGATTGACTCGGTATTTAATTATCTGAATAATTTTGTACTTAAAGAATATATTTTTGAGAAACAGTAAAGGTTAGTTTTACCAGGCTCATGAATTTGTTGTGGGTTGAAAGACATGGGAACTTTCCTTCCTAAGTAATCAAGAACGAAAAGGGATATTTGAGTAGGTTTTGCTACATATGGCAAAAATACATTTGGCTTGTGGGAGTCAAAAAGACACATATCCTTCCAGCTTAAGTGCCTGCTGCTCTCAGGTTCCAGCTATAAACCAAGCACCATGCTGTCCTAAGCAAGGAATGAAAGGAACACAACTCATTATCAGATTAGGACTGGTCAGTAGAATGAAATAACTAATAGTTTGAGCAAAGGAGGTGAAATATGACTGCATGCCCTTTCTTCTAAGTGTGTCAGGGCTCAATTAACTCATTAGACAGAAATGATCTATTGGGCCCTCTGTTCGCTTTTACATAGCATAATCCGTTCCCCTAGCAGATAAGGCAAATTCATGCACTCAGTATTTGAGTCAGGGTATGTAAAACCTAAATTGGTGAATGCTACTTTTTTGTATTCAACAGGATTTGTTTTCTTCTCATCAAACCATAAAAACAAACAACTCACCTTTATCATCAAGCAAAGTGACAGCAAAAACATCTCTGTCTTTATTTGATGAGGAAGATGAAGAGGTAAGTGATTTCCGATAATAACTAGTACTCTCATTGAATAATATATGCAAACAGCAAAAAAATCTTTATTATTGTTATAGAGCAGCTTAAGGAGAATGGGATACAGTCTCATGAAAGCTTTATACATTAAAATCATTGTAGTCTAGGCTAAAACCTAAAATACATAGGTGTATTAAAGACTAAAACACAAATATTATTTAAAAGGGAAAAAGGACTAGAGGAAATGAAAAAAGAAGAGGGTCTGGAGGGAGGGGTAGGAGCATTCAGGGAGTATAAGGTAGCATAAGGAGGGATGGGTACAGTCAGGCACAGGTCTAGGGGATTAGGGGGTGGGAGCACTAAGTATCTATAGTTTCAATTTACCAATAAGTTAGAGTGCTAGCTTGTGGTACCAGTCATCGCCGGGCAAATTTTAAGCACTGCTGCACAAAACTTGGCAACACTATAGGTTATAACAGATTTAGGAGCTGCGGTGGTGCAGTGGGTTAAACCCTTGTGCCCACTGATCTGAAGGTCGGTGATTCAAATCTGTGAGATGTGGTGAGCTCCCATCTGTCAGCTCCCGCTTCTCATGCGCGGACATGAGAGAAGCCTCCCTCAGGATGGTAACACATCCAGGCATCCCCTGGGCAAAGTCTCTGCAGACAGCCAATTATCTCACACCAGAAGTGACTTGCAGTTTCTCGGGTCGCTTCTGACATGATTAAAAATAATAATAACAGTGTTGGTATCTGAAAGCAAAAGGATGGTGTAAACTTGTCCTGAGCGTCCTGTATGTTTATATAGCAATGGCAAGATGAGTCTAGTTCAAATTTCTCTGTAAAGCAGGCAGTGGAGGAGCACATGTTCAGTTGTTTCTATATGTCCAGAGTCACAAGGACAGAGTCTCTCTGCGTAGGGGGTCTTCTGATATCAGCTGTCATGTACAGCTAATGGAAGGGCATAACATCAGGGTAAAGGCCCTCAGAAGGTTGGGTACCTCTAGATTTGTTAAATATGCCTTAGGGGAGGCAAGGTAACTACTGGTTTAATTGGTGATGAAGGCTGGGGTGCTGGCTAGATGCAATTGGTGCTCTGTCTGATATATTTTGTTTAATGAGTGCTTTGGCTCGATTGTATTCCATACTGAGTAGCAACCCTGGAGAAAAGCCCAGAGATGAGATTTTAGTTGCTATTGCCTGTTTCCATGTGGAATATATATGCATTTTTGTGAACTTGACATTATACCTAACTGCTAATAGAAGCTTTCTTTCCACTCCTCTCTGGGGGGAATGTCAAGTGTCTCTTGTTAATTTGTCACTCCTACCTCTTTTTGGGAACATTAGCTGTATTGAAAGCTGGAATACCAATTAAAGTTAACATTGAAATTTGGATTAAGCTGGGGCAAAGGATGCTGAATTCAGAGGCACCTGGTGAAAATGCCAACCGTCATAGTGCATGCATCTGAGTCTCTTTCAACTATATTAATGAGGAGACAGTATCCTTTTGTGCTATCAATACAGACATCAGGTAGAAGAAGAGATAAGGACTAAGGCAGGAAAAAGCAGCAGAGCAAACAAAAGAGGCATTTTGGTCTTTGACTTTCTCATAATTCTAAAGGGTGTGATTGGTTTGTTCCGATTTGGAACATCTGAAGGAATTGGCACAGTTGGTGCACAAGTTTTAATGTGCAAAGGCACTCCTGGCCCGTGCTGATACCTGGACCTCCAGGTTCAACCCTGAGTCCAAGAATACCCTCAAACTACGGATTTATATCTTCAGGGAGAGTGTAACCCCATCCAGCACTGGCTGATTCCCTATTCCCTGATCTTCCTTCCAGGTGACCAGGAGCATCTTTATCTTGTCTGGGTTAAGTTTCAATTTGTTTAACCTCATCAAGCTCATTACTGGTGACGAGCACTGGTTTAGGACCAGGACCTTGGGTTTTGGTGGAAAAGAGTAGTAGAGTTGGGTGTCATCTGCATATAGATGACACTGCACTCCAAAACTCCGGATGACTCTTCCCAGCATTTTCATGTACATGTTACACAGCACGAGGGTTAAAACAGAGCCCTGAGGGACTCTATAGATCAATGAGCTTCTTTTTATATCTTTTAGGATCTCTTTGGTTCTGCACCTAAGATGCAAAAATCAAGACCACACCAAGAGAAAGCAACCAGCTTACTCTTCAGCAGCGATGAGGAGGTACTATCTACAAAAGTTGGCAAAACAGACTTTATCTCTCTCTAGCTATTTGAAACCAATGCCATTCGGTGCAAGGTGTTTCAAAATGATGGACTCAATTTCAAAACAATATATTTCATGATGACAACATGTTACAATTACACAAAAAGTTACAAATAGTTTATTGAGTTATCAAGTTTTACTAACCATTTTGATCCAGAAACAAATCTAAAAAAAACAACTCTGCAAATTGATAATATCTCAGTTGGCCTTACGTTGCTGGGTCATTCTCTTGTGAATGCCTGAGGCTAGGGGCTGTTTGTGTACTGGGAGAGGCATCTAATGGTAATCATTTGAAACTGTATGCCCCTCACTTTCAAGTGGTAAGAGTTTATTTCATGAGTGGTTTGTGGTTACAGGGATATAGTGATTTCAAATCAGGCCTGTCTTTTTTAAACACCCCAAATCTCTATGTTTGTATCTCCATCACTTTGAAACACCCTGTAATATGTATATGGGATATTATTGTGTGCACTGAAATGTATGTGCTGCTGGCTTTGAAAATTGGCTGTCTCTCCATACTCAGCTTCCTCCTTGCTCACAGCAACTTCAGCAAAGTCTTCTAGAAAAGATAACAAATGAATAGCAACTCTTCTAAATTTTGTCTTGTGGTTTGCTTGCTCAAAAACTTGCACGTTACCTGGATAAACACAATGCAAAACAGTAGTGGTATGTTGTTTATTTTAGGACCAATGGAACAATTCTCAAGAGGTCAATCCTCCCTCTGAATTCAGCCAAAAGAAGAAAGCTACACAGCCTGCCTATTCAGTCAGCCATACAACTAAGAAGTGCCTCTTTGAGGAGGAAGGGGAGGAGGATATATTTGCAATCACTGAAGAGAGGTAAAATGTTTGGCTGTATCTAGAACTTTCCCTTTCATTAGATGTATCGTTTTACTGAAAAGAGCTTGGTGCAAAGAGGGCCAATGATTCCATTAGCCCAGTTTCAGCACAGTACACCAGAAAAGAGACAGCAAGTGTATTAATTACCAATCGCCTAATAATATTGGGCAGTGATTCTGATTAAAGAGCTGGGCATGTTTAGCCTGCAGAAGAGAAGTCTGAGAGGAGACATGATGAGGGCCATGTATAAATATGTGAGGGGAAGTCATAGGGAGGAGGGAGCAGGCTTGTTTTCTGCTACCCTAGAGTCTAGGGCACGGAGCAATGGCTTCAAACTACAGGAAAGGAGATTCCACCTGAACATTAAGAAGAATTTTCTGACTGTGACAGCTATTCAGCAGTGGAACCCTCTGTCCCGGAGTGTGGTGAAGGCTCCTTCTATGGAGGCTTTTAAACAGAGACTGGATGGCCATGTGTTGGGGGTGCTTTGAAAGCAGTTTTCCTGCTTCTTGTCAGAGGGTTGGACTGGATGGCCCATGAGATCATCATAGAGTTTGTTCTCCAGACCCTTGATCATTTTAATCGCCCTCCTCTGGACACATCTGCAATCTTAATTATTCCTGTATCTGTGTCTATAGTCTTCTGAAATGAGGATTTTATCTTTTCTGATGAATACTTTATAGGTTACAAATAGAATGTAAAACTATTATCATTGGAGTGTAATCCTTTGGCATGGTTGAAATATTTTACTATCTCAACATGTTTTTATGGAGGTAAATATTTTTGTATCCTTTTAGTAAATCAGCACTATTTAAAGCTATTGAGTCCAGCATTTGAAGATTCAAATTAAAGTCCTGACTGTCAGTATACTCCCAGAGGCAAAATTTTTAATTTTTGGGAACCTTGTAGAAAATCCCATTTAGTCTAAATTTGTTGCATAAGCTATATCAAATGCAATCAGGGTGTCATGTAAATGATGGAGTGAGTTTATTTTCTGCTACTCCAGAGACTAGAACAGTGGGTTCAAATGGTATGCAAAGTGATTTCAGGTAAATGTTAGGAATAACGTTTGTATAAAAGCTGTTTGGGAATGGAATCAGTTGCTTCAGAGGTTGGAAGACTCTCCTTTGACGATCTTTCAGCAGAAGTTGGGTGGCCATGTCTCACAAGCGCTTTAGACACTAGACTTCTCACTAATGTTATAATCTGTATGCAATTTAATTTGTGTCTTTAACAAAAATGTTCTAAAATGTGATGCAGTTAAACCTTTTCTTTCTCTTTTCCCTCATTATTACAGTAAAAAAAAATCTCAAAAAGTGGCTCTTCTGTTTGAAGATGATGATGGAAATGGAGATTCTCTCTTCAAATTTCAGTCCTCACCTCAGTCTTCAGTAATGGAACATGCAGCTCAGGTGCGCAGTCTCATAAACTGGAAATTTATTTACTTACTTAATATATTTCTACTCTGCTCTGTCTCACCCTGAGAGGGACTCAGAGCAGCTTCCATTTTTGGCAATTATTAAATTCCACAATTACACAAAACAACAATACATTGCACAATTAAACTGTTAAAATCAGGCAACATATAAATACAGTTAAAACAATTCCAAGTCTTTTATGTAGCTCATGGTTCGACTCCTATGTTTAAAACATTTTAAATTGTGAGATGATCCTTCTGTCTCCGATGCCCGTTTATCCAATCTTTTCTCTCATATGTGCGCACACACAAAGACTGCAACTGCTCCAGATATTAAAATCTTCTCTTTTCATTATTGATATTAGGAGGCTTTCTAATTTTAAAATGCAAGACTTCTCAACCTTTATTTCTTGGTCCACAGGAAGATTTTCTGGAAGTACCTCAGAAGAAACTGGCGGAAGAGAAGGCAGAAACGTTGGCTGAGCCTGATACATTGCATGATCTTGAACAAAGAGATGTAAAAGGAAAGGAAAGGAAGGAACAAGTGAGGCAAATTTACTTTTTTTACTTTTCATAAATTCTATTAAAATGTTATTTTAGAAAATACCTGTTCTGAGGTTAGTCGAATCTTGGAGGGTAGGTTTTAGGGAATTGGGCCAAGTAGGCTTTGGTTCATATTCTAATTAAGCTTGTTTGATGTGTGCAAGGTAAGTGAGTCTCTAACATGAGATGCCATTTGCAAGCACTTGTATTCTGAGGATTATTTTATACAAGTCCAAGAACATTTAAAATATAAAGAGATCCTATAAATACGCTGTTGATGGCATCAGTATAAGAAATTGAAAGACTGAAAATAATAACATTTCAAAAATTTAAGTATCATAGGCACTTAATCCATTACTTAAAATGACCTTCGCCCCTTTGTGTTATCTCAGCTACCTGAAATGGCTCCCCTATTTTGCTGCTAAACCCTTCTCAGGTTAAAAAAGAAAATAAGGGAGAAGGGATGACAGCCTTTCTTTTTTCAGCTTGAGCAAAAGGAGGCAGAGAATGGGTTGGGAGCACTTCTTGCCTCTGCTTCTTGTTTTTCTTTTTCTTTTTCTGTTCTTTTTTTGCCTTTGCACTGGGTCCCTATTCCAGCACTGACCTGTATATAAGTCGACTCAGGTTCTGAGAGGTGATTTGTGGCATACATTTTTTGGCTTCTATGTGAGTATGTATAATACTCCTCTATGTGGTGACACGGTAGGTTAAACCGCTAAGCTGCAGAACTTGTTGATTGGAAGGTTGGAAATTCGAGTGTGTGAATGGGGTGAGCTCCCATTGTTAGGCCCAGCTTCTGCCAACCTAGCAATTCGAAAACATGCAAATGTGAGTAGATCAATAGGTACAGCTTTGGTGGGAACACAGTGGCACTCCCTGCAGTCATGCTGGCCATATGACCTTGGAGGCATCTATGGACAACGCCGGCTCTTCAGCTTAGAAATGGAGATGAGCACCACCCCCCAGAGTCAGACATGACTAGACTTAATGTCAATGGGAAACCTTTACTTATTCTACTTTGGTCAGACCTTACCTAGAGTCTGTGTCTAGTTCTGAGCTCCACAAATTAAGAAAGATATTGACAACCTGAATGGTGTCCAGGGTCGAGTGACCAAAATGGTAAAGGAAACTATAACCTATGAGTAACAGAAGCTGGATAGTTTTAGCCATGTTTAAATATTTGAAAGAATGTCTGAATGAATGTCTGATTGAAAACAGAGCAAGCTTCATTTCTGCTAATCCAGAGACTTAGATTTCATACATTTAATGTGTTCAGACACTATTTTATCTGCCTTGGCTCAGTGTTATGGATCAGTGATTTGTAGCTTGGTGAGACACCAGCACTTTTTGGCATACAGAGCTAAACACCTTATAATAAGACAACTCTCCTGATGCCAGAGACTAGGACAAAGAGGGATGGATTAAGACTTGCAGGAAAAGAGATTCCACTTAAACAATAGGAAGAACTAAGAACTGCTGAATGGAGGAATAAGTTGCCTCTTAAGTGTGATAAAGTCTCCTTCCTTGGAGGTTTTTAAACAGAGGCTGGATGTTCATCTGTTGGGATTCCTTTTGTATTCCTGCATGATGGGAGCTTGGACTGGCCCTTGTGGTCTCTTCCAATGCTTTGATTCTATAAGTGTCATGAAAATGTTCATCCTTCAGGTCTAAGAGCAGGTCTAAGAGTGTTGAAGTAGCATAGAAGATGCTGAAATGTGTGGAGCAGTTTGCTTTTATAGTATTGGTGAACAAGGTTGCTTGCCATAGATGCAGGCGAAACGTCAGGAGAACATGGCCATATAGCCCGAAAAAACCTACAACAACCCAGTGATTCCGGCCATGAAAGCCTTTGACAATACATTGAACAAGGATTGTTGAAAATTCTGAACAGTTTTTTTTTTTTTACAAATTATCAATATAGTGGTAATATTTAATTATAAGGCATGTAGAGGCTGGTCCTTGAAATGCCATCCATATGTATATTATATTATATTATACTATATATAGTGAGAGAAGTGTCAAAGGACTTTGAATCAAAAGGATTTCTCTAAGTTTATGTATGTTTGAGAAATGTATCATTCATTGTCCCAGTAGTCTATTTTTTATGCCCTGGTCGTGTTTTTTCACAAAATATGTCAGAATTAAGACTGAGGATAGCTTTTGTGATAGCTGAAAGAGAGCCATCCATCATCTCTTTGCCCAATCACTAGGTTATGTGGTTCAAAAAATCAAGTAAACTAGTTTTAAATAAATCTTAAACAAAGAACAAATGTTTTGTTTTAGATGAGCTTATAATTCATATTTGTTCATTAACCCTTAGCCAATTTTGGAGAAAGATACCAGGAGAAAAAATAAAAGTGTATTTAGTTTGCTCGAAGAAGATGAAAGAAGTGAAGATATAAATTCTAATAAAAACACACAGAAAGAAACAAGAAAGGTGAGTAACAGAAAAGTATACCCAAACAAACTAACCTTCTTCGGGCTTTCTGTGAACACACACCAATGGGTTATTTAATGTTGCAGGAATTCAACATTCTTAAATCATGGGTGGGCAGCTTCTGAAGGTACATGGCCTGTCTTTACTTTCAACTTTGAGAAGAGATTTCCACAGGCCTAAAACAGGTTGGGGAAAAGGAGCCAAGATTCCACCTCCTAAAGTGTACAATTTCACTGGGGAAACATGGTACGGTATTTGAGGGAATTGCTAGGTGTTCTAGCTTAAAACATGCAAAAAGTTATGGAAGAACAGTGTAATAAGAACATGGCTAGGAAGACAAACCTACCTACTAAACTTAAAGACGTAACAATTCCTGTCATGACATGTTGTGTGTTTGTTTTTCAGTCTCCAGATGATATAGTTTGTTCCAAAAGCACTGGCGTTTTCCAGGATGAAGAACTTCTTTTCAGTCATAAACTACAAAAAGACAATGATCCTGACGTTGATCTTTTTGCCAGCAACAAAAAAGGGGTCAGTCAAGCCAAAATAACTTTACCATTTTTGCTTAAAAATTGATCTTTTGTTGCACAGAGCACACCCAAAACAAAATTTATTAAAACTGTTCAGTAAATAACTGCTTTTGATCTCCCATTTCTAAATTCCAGGTGTCAAAACCCAGAGTAAAGCTGCCATCTGCAGGAGATATATTTGCGACTGACAGTAATGATGGTGAAGACGGTCTTTTTAACTCTTCTGAAGCAAAGCCTTCGGTATTTAACATTTCATGTTAATAAACTTGAGGTAGCAGTTTGAATAACAGAATACACATCTTTTGCTTTATACAACAACACTAGAGATTATCACATGGAGCTTATTTAAGAAACCTCACCCAAAAACCACATAACCTTCATTCAGTAATTGGAATGAATTATGCAGACTGGGTAGATATGCTATTTATACTTCATAGAATAAATAGTGCAGCTGTTGAGTTTTGCAGGAATTTGAAATGTTTGTGTCCTTTTTGAGGGAAGGGTTTTAGATCATAACATGCAATAATGTGAATGAAAGTAGTTTGTAAAGGACTGAAGGATATAGGCCCCATCTACACTGCCATATTATGCAATTCAAAACTGCATTAAATGGCCAGTGTAGATTCATACAATAGAGTTTAACTGCATTATATGAGTCTATCTTCCATATAGTCCATACAATGGTTGTCAAGAAGAGTTTACAACAGTTTCAGTAATGTAAACTTCTAAAATGCTTTGGGAGATACATATTGGTATGAGTTCAACATTTCAGCAAAACTGGATTTTTAGGCAAGCAAAGTTATTTTGTTAGAGAAGTTGAACATCTTGAATTCTATACTCATATTGAGAATTAAATCTAATATGTATTACTCAAGTGCAGAAAATCTGAATTAATCACATCAAGAAATCTAAACTTCGGGAATTTTCCATAAATAGCTTCAGAATTTGGGAAATCTCCCTGATATTCTACAAGGTTGTCCTGTACTGGTCCAGTAGATTAGCAGCCAAAGTCCAATGTATTCACTTAGACCTTTTACTTTTATTTTTTGGAAGGTACCAGAAAAGAAAATACTAATAAAGACTATATCTTCTTTGGAGGTACATAGTAAGGTTTTAGAGAATTTATTAAAATACCAAACAAAATGAAGGAAGTTTAGAAACTACTGATGTTTGTAGTTTTAGCTTTGGAGGATGGGTTATAATATATGGAACTATACACCCAAAAAGAAGAAAAGCCATCTCCATTTGTATTAACTATGAGTGTAATTTTATAGTGCAAGCTTCCATTTACTGTTTATCAAGCTCTTCATAACATTATTTATACCACTGTTTCGTGTATCTAAATTGATATTTTATCCAGTGAATACTAACCCTTGACATTCCTTTCCACCATTGTAGCCTAGTCAGGGTCAGTTCAGTGACAGAACTGTCTTTTCTGGGCTGTCGTTATTCTTCTGACACTGTCCTATAAATATGGTGCACTATATGTTGATCTGGTTCAATTGCATTTACTCTACTGCAATTGTATCATAAATTCATTGTTCCTGTTGAAAGTGAACAGAAATAATCCTCTTTGGTTAGAAAATTTAAACTTTGCAGATTTCAAAATATGCTTACTTGACTTAATTTGGTGTAGTTGTTTTTCTTGAACTTATATTTGTGTTTGCTTGAGCCACTGCAGCCATTGACAGTAATCTCTCATTCACCTTCCAAGGCAAATTTGGATATCAACCCAACAGTTTTCCTGCCCTCTGGGACTTCGGGCATGAAGCGATTTGCATCCTATCCCAAGGCTTCATGTTCTGAACCTCATGGCATACAGCATGGCAAAATAGCCTCTGTTGTAAAGAGCAAAGATGAAACAGGAGTCAGCTTTGACAGCCCTATGCAAGCAGACACCTTGCAAAATACCAACAAGGTAACTTTTATTATGTAAAATGTTGATGCAAAATCACTCAACAAATGAGAAATGATACAGAAAGACTAAAGTCATTTTAGTAGAATTTAATTTGATCTATCCTACAAGAGGTGAAAGGTATGTGTAGGTTAAGAATAGACAATTAGTTAATTACATTTATTTATTTATTTCGTATACTTCTACCCCGCCCTTCTCAACCCCCGAGGGGGGACTCAGGGTGGCTTTGTAACCCAGGAACAAAAATCATATTACATAATATTACCTGGGCACACACAACCTTTCCTCATCCTACTGCAGCAGATGTAGCAGTGGGGGGAGTTATCAGCAAAACACACATTCTAGCTGTTTCCAAGGCTCCCCACGCAGGAAAAAAGTTACCTACATATGCCAGTTCACAGATGACCAGTTGAAAAGAACCTCAGTTATCCGTAAGTCCTCTGTTCTTTTTGAGACCAAAACATTATATGTTGTGTTTTAAATATGTTGCTCTCCAACTTGAACCACAAGGAGATGCGGGTAACAAATTATTATTATTATTATTATTATTATTATTATTATTATTATTATTCCTACTACTGCTATCAAGAAAATGATGATGACCTTATTTTATAATGTTTTCATTTACCAGGGCTATGAAGACAGACACTAATTTCAACATTATTTTAAAAATATAATACTATCATCCTTACGGTTAAATCAAACGCAAAGGTGTTTGTTTTTCATCTTGCATTCTTACGTCAACGAACTTGATTGCTAAACAGAAACCATAATTATACTCCCACAAAGAGCAAAAACAATGCAAGTTAACAATAATCAAAGTACATTTTGGGAGAGGATGCAGTTGAACCTTAGAGTCTCCTTGGCAGTTGATGGAAATTTTATCTAACTCTGTATTTCTGATCTTTTTTGCAAAAAAGGGGGGGATATTTTGTAAGTTACATAGTCATTTGTGTCACTCAGCAGAAACTGCACTGTTTCTGCAGTCGAGTTCCTTTTACCTTGCGTCAGCAAGGGTTTCAGGTGTTTTTTCTCTTGGGTCACTATACAGTGGGCAGATTAACAAATAATGTCTTCAACCTGACATTGATTACAAATACATAGTGCGTTTTCCCATGACACATTATGGTAGCGACCATCTAACACTGAGGTGGGCATTACTTGGAATCACAGCTCAGTGAAGGCAATTCTTAAAGAAGGTGTCTTAAGCTTAATCAGCTATCTAGTTCTGAAATATTCAGTTTTCAAAAAGCGAAACCATGGGGGAAAAAATTGAGTTCCTGGTTGATTGCAGAGTCCTTCTTGAATCAATCCAAACTAGCCAGTCTCTTAGTTGACTCTTAGCCATGTCCAGGGCAGAATTCAATTCAGGAAGATTGTAGTTGAGTAGGTGGTTTTCTAGGCCAGATTTCCAGTGTTGATGGTTACTCATTTCCTTGTAGCACAACACTGGAAGACAGTTTCTGTTTAGCATCTTTGGTGCCTGTTGTTTCGAAGATACTGCTGTGCGCATGTGGTGGTTATTGTCACAGCCTTGGGTTGTACAATAAACTATTTTGATTGATTGATATAATTAAAGGGCAAGTTTTGTTGATTATAATCACAGGACAGGATCAAGGTGAGTGGGAAACGAAGACCACCTTCCAGAATGGCCAGGAGACTAGCTGCTCAAGAGTCCATCAATAATGAAACAGTTGGTGCTGAGTATCTATCTCCACCTCTCTTAAAGGAGAACTCTGTACCATCAGGTTTAAAGTATCCCTCGGCCAGATTGCTTCCATCAGCCAGAAGCAGCAACCAGCTTCATGAGACATTTAATCCCATAAAATCAACAGGCCACTCTGATGTCTCCGATTTCTTTGATTCAAGTGTTTTGGCGCATAGTGCAAATTCTAAAGCCGCCTCCAGAGCAAAAACTGCAGTAGAACCAGAAAGCCATGCGAGCCATGTTCCAAAAGATGGTGGACAACTGTCTGTTCCCTTGTCCCGGGATGATACAAATTATGAAGACCTGTTCCAGCCTAGAAAGCCTGTAAAGGAGCCTAGTCCTTCCTCTTTCTTAGAGGATGAAGAGGATCTCTTCGCCACCAATAAAAAAACAGTGAAGAGAAAAGATCTAAAACCCACATCTCAGTCCGGACAGGATCCTCAAGTCCAAGATATTTTTGAGGTAATTTGGGGAGCATTTTTGTCCAGAGCTTTCTGCTCATTATTCTGTATTCTACTACTTTTTCTTACAAATTTTTGGTCACATGTGCAGTGGTGGGAAATGACTCAGCTGTGAGCTTCTTTTTAGACAAAGAGACCATAAAGTATAAAATGAGAAGGCATTCAGATACTTAATATTTTTGTTAGTGAAGCATTTAGTCTTTCTTGCTAATTAAGTGTCCAGTGTAGATAGCGGGGACCTTCCTAAACTGATTAATCTTAAGAATATGATTATTTGTATAAATCTGGGTCAGATTCAACAAGTTCATACAAATAACTTGCGTTATCCTTTTTAAAAAAAGTATCTTCATCAAGCAATTGCCTATGCCTGTTTAATTTTAGTGGCCTTCGGCATCAGATGTTTGCTGGGTCACGTTGTGTGCATTAGTTTATTCACTGCAGGGTTAGGCTACTGTGACCCTCTAGGTCAGTGGTTCTCAATCTGGGGTCCCCAGATGTTTTTGGCCTTCAATTCCCAGAAATCCTAAACGCTGGTAAACAGGCTAGGATTTCTGGGAGTTGTAGGCCAAAAACATCTGAGGACCCCAGGTTGAGAACCACTGCTGTAGGTGTTATTGGCCTATATTTCCTGTTAACCAGCATAGTTAATTTCAACATTATGAGAGATGCATTCAACCAACATCTGGAGGACTAAAATTGCCTACACCTGCTTTATAAAATAATATAGAGCATTAATTACCCACAGAAATGGAGATACCAGTCTACAGAATTGATTCTCATTGAATGGATTAATCACTGGTAGAATACACATTTCTTTTCCTCTAAAGTCATAAGGAAAGTGCTCCTTGGAGAGCTTGTATTCTTTGTAAGGGCATTTATTTGTACTGCCTGTTATTATTTCTGTGGCTTTTTATGGTGTGTTGGGTATTTTAGAGTCTTTTTGCACCCTCCAAAATTAAAAATGCATACTTTAAATGCTACTGGAGTAGCAGGGAAATACATTCAATTTGGTTTGTGTCTACACTGCTGTGTGGACATCTATGAAMAAATTGTTTATATCTATTTACAGATACCATTGTTGCCTACTCTGCAGTGAACTTTTACARAGAAATGTGTGGGAGGTACTGTGACTCAAAACTACATAATCATTGTGTAGCAGAAATGTGTTTTCCATCTGTGYCTTCATATCCAAATTTAAAACTTTAGACATGGAATGTTACTGATTTTAAAAGTCAAAAGGTTAGGAAGAAATTGAGAGTAGCCAGAATGTGGATTATCAAGAACCAGTTAAACTGTCCTAAACTGAATGTCTCTTGTTTAAGGGTGATATATTTGCATCAGAAGCTGTCAAACTACCTGTCAAAGCAAAACCATTGTTGGAAGCAAATCTCTTTGATGACGATGTTGACATCTTTGCTGATCTTGCTGTAAAACCAAAAGAAAAGAGTGCCAAAAAAAAGATGGAAGCTAAATCGATATTTGATGAAGATACAGGTAAGTTGCTAGACTTCCAGTATACCTGCAAATGCTTCAAAGTGGTTGTTTTACATGAGAAAATATGCCAGGGTTGGACAAATGATACTCATGTTGAGGAGTATCAAAATAATCATAAATGTCTTGAGAAAACGAGGAAGAACATTATAAAGGTCCCAAGTGGTTCATTTTGGCCTCTGTACACCACACATTGAGTTTTGCGCAGAACATTCTTGAACTCTGTAGCTTAATGGGCCCCCTTTTCTCTGTCGCACATGCCTCAACCGCCAAGCAACTATTTCCTTGGTTTCATTTCATCAGTCAACAAAGAAACTCCTTTTTTGTTGTTCTCGAACTCTTTGACATTCATATTAGATGCTGTATATATTTCATTTATTTTTTTCTTAGTTCTTTGCTCATATCTTATTATATTGCTATTGTAAAAACATCTTCCCATTTTATTTTGCTTTCCTTTGTTCTTCAACCACCATCTTATACCCCTTCTCCCTTTTCAAACTTAGGGTGAATGCAACTCATTGTAATACCAGAAGTCGTGTGTCCCTCCACTGCTGTTTGTGTTATTGTTTAACTGGATCTCACTGCTGACTCTGTAAATTTCCCACCACTGTCAGATACATGATCTTCATTTTTTTTCTTCACCTAGATGATATCTTCTCACCTAGTCAATTCAAGACGACCCAGAAGACACAGTTACTTCAGAAAACTTCAGGAATTAAAAGTGAAATTAAAACATCAAATACTTTTGATGATCCACTGAATGCATTCGAAGGCCAATGAAAATATGCATAGTATCAGTCTTATCCTCCCCAGTAACTATTTCCTTGCTTTCCAGTGAAATGACCAATATGATAAACTGTGAATATTCCTTAACTATTTCCTTACTCACATATCTAAATATTTTCCTGCATGGCACTTAATCAAGCAAAATATTGTATCTTTTAGGTCTCATGTTCGTAATGTTTCATTTATTGTATACAAAATATATTTTATTAACAAGAACTAAAAATAAGCAGAAACCAGTGATATTGGCAAATCACATTTGTGAAATCAGTGTCATAATGTCTTCTTACTTTACTTCCTGCTCTGTGATTTTGAAGTTCTAAAGAAAAAAGAAAACCAAAGAGCAATCCTTTTTGTAGCTCAAATTGTCATTGGATAATTTGTGTTTGTTTTTGATTGCATATCTTCTTTCTGATTACTAATAAACAGGATCAGAATAACAATTATTTAGTTTGCGCGACTAATCAAAGTCCAAATGTTCTCAGATGCCCCTCGAGTATTCTTATGAAGGTTTTTGTTGCTGTGTTCTGTCCCCTCATCCAGAAAGCTGGCCTCTTGCCTGTGCTGAATTTGACAGTGGCTGCTACTTTCTTTCTCAGGGCAGAAAAAGGCTTCACAAGGAGACATAACCAAATGAGCCACTAAACCTGTGATCTCACAGGGTGATCTACATCTGTGCCACTCTAGTCATCATTGCCTTCCTGTTCCAAAAAACTATTAAAAACTCCCTTTTCTTTCTTTCCTTCTTCCCTTTTTCCTAACACACCTTCCCCCAATTATTTCATTCAATTCTCTGCCTTCTTCTTTTTTCTTTCTCTTCTCACTTCCTTCTTGGACCTTTTTCTTATTTTTCCCATGCTTTTTCGCATACACCTTTCCCCTTCTTTCTTTCCATTCTGTCTTCCTTTCATCCCTCACTTCTTTCATCATTTATCTTTCTTTCCTTCCTTTCATACCTGTAAATATACGTAAACACTAAAATCAATTATCTACACTTTAAAATCCATTGTTTAAAACCATCTCAGATCAGCTATATACCGGATCTGGTCAGCAGGGTAAAGTTTCCTATTGTTGCCTTATTACACTGTCCCAAAGGCTTGGTCCCACAGCCAAGTGTTTACCATATTTATGAAGGGACTGGAGGGAGGGGGCTAATCTAATCTCAACAGGGAGGGAGTTCCATAGCTGAAGGGCAATCACTGAGAAGGCCCTCTCTCCCTCCCTGCCAATCACACCTGTGATGGTGGCAGGATCAAGAGCAGGGCCTCCCCGGAAGACTCGTAAAGGGAGATTGGACTGGTAAACCATGGCCCTGGTTTGGACTGGTAAACCAGGGCCATTTAGGGCTTTATGAGTCAAAGCCAGCACTTTGAATTGTGTCCGGTAGCAAAGTGGCAACCAGTGGAGCTGACGCAACATGTGAGTTGTGTGCTCCCTGTATACTGCCCCACTTATTAACCTGGCTGCCTCTTGTTGGATTATTTGAAGCTTCCAAACAGCCTTCAAAATCAACCCCACATAGAGGGTGTTGCAGTAGTCTATCCTAGATGTAACGAGAGCATGGACATCTGTGGCCAGGTCTGACCTCCTAAGGTTCTGGCACAACTGACACATAAGTTTAGTTGTGCGAAAGCCCACCTGGCCACCACCAAAACCTGAGGTTCCAGGCTCAGCAATGAATCCTATATTTTATATTACATATATTATTACTAATAATATTACAATATAATTGTATAGTACAATATAGTAATATATAATACTGATATTGTTCTATGCTAATAAATATATTGCATGCATATATATCTTGTAAGCTGCTCTGAGTCCCCTTTGGGGTGAGAAGGGCAGCATATAAATGCCGTAAATAAATATATCCCAGAATAATGATCCCATAGCACTTTGTCCTCCAAAGCACTTTATATTTTTTAGGTTTGCTTGTATGTTTTCCACAAACCACCCCATCACTTTTTCGCCCATGTCCAGCATTATTTTTTAATTTTAATTACATTTGGCCTACCCATAGATTTTAAAGTGTGTTGTCCTATTGATAATGCTTATGTTATTGTTTTATTGTTATGTTGTTTTTAAATTGCTGTTTTGTTTTGTTATTGCTTGTATTGTTGTATTTTGGGCTCGGCCTCATGTAAGCCACACCAAGTCCCCTGGGGAGATGGTAGTGGGGTATAAATAAAGTGTTGTTTTTGTTATCATTATTATTATTATTATTCCCAGATTCTCTGCTTTAAATTGGATTATATGAGTCCACATTGCCAGATAATCTGAGATAAGCACAAAACCTGGGATATAGTGCCTGTCTGGAAGGGGCCACAGATAATCCAATTCAAAACAGATAATGTGAATTATCTGACCTGATAATCTGGATTATATTCCAGTTTAGAAGGGGCCCCAGCTTCAAAGGATGACAGAACAAATCTTGCCAAGAAAACCCTTCGATGTGCTTGTCTCCAAGGTACAAGCAGTGGTTCTCAGCCTGTGGGTCCCCAGAAATCCTAACAGCTGGTAACCTGGCTGGGATTTCTGGGAGTTGTAGGCCAAAACACCTGGGGACCCACAGGTTGAGAACCAATGGCTTAAAAGCCTCCATAGAAGGAGAGAAGTCATTCGGGGAGAAAAAATTCCCCCCCCCCCCCCCAATTCCCATATCTCCCAGCAGCCCCCGCGGGTCCAAGCAGGCATCCGAGGTTGCCATGGGCGACGGCGACACACAACATCCGCCTTCTACTTTCCCGCCGCGGCGGTTCTGACCAGCGCAGGTGAGCTTCCGCAAGCCCCGCCCCTCCCCGCGGAGGCGCCCGTTGATTGGAGGCCGGCTGGAGAGAGCGAACGCCTCAATGGCCCGGCAGCGCCGCGTCGGTGACGTCACAAAGGCAGGGGGCGGGTGCGGAGGGAGGAGGAAGACGCGGTGCGGTTCTGAAGCGGCGTCTTCCTGAGGGCGAAGCTCAACGGCGGGCGCCTCCTTCCTCTTGGCCTTGCCTTTCCCCGAGCCTTTCCCCCACCATGAGTGCGGACGCGGCGGCTGCGGCTCTGTGAAGGGAAGGCCGAGGCCCGGAGGCAGCTGCTCTTGGCGGAGGGCTGCTGAGGGGGAGGAGGAGGAGGCCCCGCCCTCGCTTCCGGAGAGGACACCGGCCTCCCTCTCTCTCTCTCTCTCTCTCTCTGGCGCCCTCTCTCGGCCGGCGTCTTCATAGTGCCACTTCTGCGGTAACTATGCGCCCAGTTAGAACAGGCAAAGGACGGAGGAAACACTTTGGAATTGCCCATTTCCTGTGCCCAGGCCCCATCTGCACCCACCATTTAATGTCGTTCCAAGCTAGCTTCAAAAACATCATCTCCCCAAACGTCCTCCTGTGTAAACATCAGCACAACCAAACCACTGGTTTGAAACTGACTTAACTCGCCAGTCTAGATGGGGCCACAGTGAGGCTTTAGCTGCCAAATCAGCAAGCTCTTAGTTGTAATGTTTACATTGTAATTCTTGTTTTCCTCAGAAGTGTTTTTAAACAAACACACAAGACTTAAGCAGTAAGAACCATAGTGGTAGTGATGACAGTAGGCATATAGAAAAGTTTGCTTTGAACATGCAGTCATGCCGACCACATGACCTTGGAGGTGTCTACGGACAACGCCGGCTCTTTGGGTTAGAAATTGAGATGAGCCCCCCCCCCCCAAGAGTTGGACTTGACTTAATGTCATGGGAAAACCTTTTTACCTTTACCTTTCTTTGAACTATGAACATGTTGTTTATTCGTTCAGTCGCTTCCAATTCTTTGTGACCTCATGGATCAGCCCACGCCAGAGCTCCCTGTCAGCCATCACCATCCCCAGCTCCTTCAAGGTCAAGCCAGTCACTTCAAGGATGCCATCCATCTATCTTGTCCTTGGTCGGCCCCTCTTCCTTTTTCCTTCCATTTTCCACAGCATCATTGTCTTCTCTAAGCTTTCCTGTCTTCTCAGTATGTGGCCAAAATACTTCATCTATGCCTCTAATATCCTTCCTTGCAATTAGCAGTCGGGCTTTATTTCCTGAAGTATGGACTGGTTGGATCTTCTCGCAGTCCAAGGCACTCTCAGAACCTTCCTTCTTGAACACATTAGCAGGTTTCAAATTCAGCAACTGGCAACTTTAATCAGAGCCCCCTTCCAGACAGGCCCTATATCACAGGATCTGATCCCAGGTTTTTGGCAGAGTCCAGATAATTGGGGATAAACAGAAAACCTGGGATCAGATCCTGGGATATAGGGCCTGTCCACTTAGCCCTATATCCCAGAATATCAAGTCAGAAAATCCCACAATATCTTCTTTGAACTGGGTTATCTGAGGGCCCTTCCACACAGCCCTATACCCCAGAATATCAATAGTGAAGGTTTAAGCCCATTGTTCGCCCCTTCTGAGTCTCCCCTCAGACACATAACTCCATTTATCCATCTCAACCAGGGTTTTATTAATTTTACCCCTTGCATTTGGCCCACCCACTGTTTTAATTCCTCTACAATTTTATTTTGTGTTTGTTTTATTGTATATTTTGCTATTCTATGCATGTTACTTTGATATTATTAGTTGTTTGTTTGTATTTTATTTTGCTTTATTGTAATTCTTGGGCTTGGCCTCATGTTAGCCGCCCTTGAGGAAATTGTGGCGGGGTATAAATAAAGTTTATTATTATTATTATTTGAAACACAACAAGATGAGTCCACAGCAGACACTCTGCTGGCTGTTGAATTGGATCACACATCAGACACTTCCCAAGTGTCGAGGACTGTGTGATCTATCGGCGAATAATGTGTGCAGATCCCAGTAAGGTGGCCTTCTGCAGCTGGCAGATGGTAATTTTGTCAGCACCGATTGTGTTTAAGTGCAGGCCAAGGTCTTCAGGCACTGCACCCAGCGTGCTGATCACCACTGGGACCACCTTTACTGGAGTATTACTATTATTATTATTATAGAGCGATCTGGAAGGACCCTGAGTCCACACTTAAATCATGTGGGATTTTCTGCATTGATATTCTGGGATATAGGGCTGTGTGCAAGGGTCCAGAGTTTTCCTGTTTGAATGCCTTATACATAAGGGGGTTAGTGTTAATTACGCATTGCTAAGGGAGGCGTTTCTTTGTTGATGATGTAACAGCTGTATCTTGGTTAAGTAAAGGTAAAGGTTTTCCCCTGACATGAAGTCCAGTCATGTCTGACTCTGGGGTATGGTGCTCATCTCCATTTCTAAATCGAAGAGCCGACGTTGTCCGTAGATACCTCCAAGGTCATGTGGCTGGCATGACTGCATGGAGCGCTGTTACCTTCCCGCTGGAGTGGTGCCTATTGATCTACTCACATTTGCATGTTTTCGAACTGCTAGGTTGGCAGGAGCTGGGGCTAATAGCAGAAGCTCATGCCGCTCCCCAGATTCGAACCTGCAACCTTTCGGTCAACAAGCTCAGCAGCTCAGCACTTTAACTGACTGCGCCACCAGGAGCTACCGTATCTTGGTTAGGACCAACATAAATAAGGTCCATATTTTCCTATTAAATTCCTATAAATTGAGAGAGTTCAACAAGATGCATATAGGCCCCTTCCATACCACCCCTATATCCCAGGATCTGATCCCAAATTATCTGTTTACCCCAGGTTATCTGGCAGTAGGAGCCCCTGGTAGCACAGTGGGTTAAACCACTGAGCTGCTGAACTTGCTGACCAAAAGGTCAGTGGTTCAAATCCAGGAAATAGGGTGGACTCCCACTGTTAGCCCCAGCTTCTGCCAACCTAGCAGTTCGAAAACATGCAAATGTGAGTAGATCAATAGGTGTGGCCTAAACTAGCACTCCAAACAACTTAGGAGACCTCTCAAAGACCCAGGCAGCAGTGCAAGGAGGAGGCCACAAGTTGGATTCCTACTACAAAGGCTATTATTGTAGGCCCAGTAATAGGGTCAGAATGCATGGAGTATAAAAAGGTCTGTCACACACACACACACACCCCAAATGGGGCTGCAAGGCTTTTATTACTTTGACAGAGAATTATAATATAAGACACATTCTTATTGGTGTACAGTAATCAATCATTTCATTGGTCTAAGCTAGCTAATACAAATTTCATTGGCTCTCTATGACTTTGACAGGCAGGATCTTAACAATGTCACAACTATGCTTTCATGTCTCTGACCCTGGCTGTCTTAATGAATCAGTCTTATCCGTTCTTCTGTTGCAAGCATAACTCCAAGTGACTGGGAAACTTTGGCTTATAAATGGAGATGAGCACCACAACCCAGAGTTGGACATATCTGAACTTAATATCAAGGGGAAATGTTTACCTTTACTTTTATCTGGCAGTGGGGACTCATAAAATCCAGTCTAAAGTAGATAATCTGAGATGAAATCCTGGGATATAGGGTAGTGTGGAAGGGGTCTTAGTTGCTGAAGTTTATTAGTAAATTCTTGGTTCCTTCATGATAGATAAAGGAGTATTTCTTTTTACATTTGTAGGGAACTCGGAGCTATTCCTGGGCTACAATGATCACAGTCTGAGATTACATTCTTGGAGATCAATCAGAGGTGAGCTGGGCCCTTTTCTATTTTTTTATTTTTTTAAAAAAATGCTTATAGAATCATTGGTTTTATTAGTCCTGAAACAGGCTTTGTAAAACAAAAGTGAATGGTCAAGTGCCTCCTAAATCCCTTTCACATATACTTTTTCAAGTTAGGTGTCACCCATCCCATATCTCTGCATTTTATCTTTATTGCCTAAATGTACATTTCTCACTGATGAAATACATTTTGTTAATTTTTGGCCCAGCTCCCTAGTCTATTCAGGTCATTTAGGATTCTGATCCTGCCCTCTGATGTATTAGAAATACATATATTAAAAGTAAGATTTATTTGTTAATTTTGTTACTTTTTTGTGTTTAAAGTCCAAATTTCAGGAATAATCCTTAAAATCCATAGTACAAGAGTAACATCAAGAACCAGAAATACAAAAACATGAGATTCAGGAACAGTCTTCAACAACTTAGAAGCATGAAGCATGAACTAGAAATCCCTTGACTTGACAGAAGTTCTATACTCATACACCAACATTGCATAACTAGTGAACTAGGATGTTGATGGGTCTGCTGTTTCTTTATATCCTTGCCCCCTTTTCTACCTCTAAACAGCATCAAATTAAGTAGTTATCAAGGCTGGAAGCTTCAAAGCACTCGGTTGCACAAGAATCTAACCCAATTGATTTTTCGATGGGGATACCCCCACCCCCACCCCCGGTTCCTTCCCAGATCTTTGCAGGTGTTATTTTAACACAGAGCAAACCTGGAAATCCAGGTTAAACTGGATTAGCCAGAGACATCATTTGGATGTCTCTGGCTAATCTGAAAAAATACACAGAAAGAGCTTATGCTCTTCTATTACAACATTACAATCATGCAACTAATTCCACCATATTTTGTCACGTGAAAACAGCAAATCAGGCTTTTAACACTGTGGTGCTTAATGTAGTTTTAGTTATATGCTATTTTTGGGCCAAATCATAAACCAGCAAGAACATTTTCTGAGGTATGAGAATGCAGACTGTCCATAAAAAATCTCTTGTCTGAATAGGGCCAATTTTGATATCCGTTTTGTTGTGAAATGTTGTTTTAAATGTTTTTGTCTCAAGGTTCTTAGTTATTATCTCCTTAAATAACATTCCTGGGGTAGACTTTGAATCATGAACAGCCCTGCAGAGTTCCTATATTTAAACATGCCGTGGTTTGAAGTGGTTATCATTAGTGCCCAAAACTTCCCACCTGACTTTTTCCTTTTTTAAAGTTATCTAGAATGGCCAGCAAGAAAGAACCTCCTTTCTTCAATGAAGATACCATTGGAACATGCCATTGTGAACTTGCTTTCTATGACATTATGGAAATTATAATTGAAACTCTCACAGGAACATGCTTTGAACTGCGAGTATCTCCTTTTGAAACAGTTATTTCTGTGAAATCTAAAATTCAGAGACTAGAAGGTACATATATCCCTTTTATGTTATAATAATAGTAGAAAGCTTTTTAAAATAATGTGTATCTAAAATAATTATCAAAGCAGCATGCTTGCTACATCTTAATTTGAAGCAGTGTGAAATGTGTTTACTAAGAAGCTTATAACAATCACTAGTCTTAACGAGATTTGTCATTGATTTTTGCAAATACATTTTATTTGTTATACACTTTTGTATATTTGGGTTGGAATCTTTCAAGGATAAGGAGATTGAGATAATTGCTTGCATCAGAAACAAAATATTAAAGTTGTTAATAAGCTTGACCATCTTTTATCAGTCATCAAAGTAAGAGGCAGATGTAGTGTAGTACCATAGTTTCAGCATTGGACTGTGGTTCTGGAGACCAGGATTCGAATCCCCACTTGCCCACTCACTGGGTGACTTTAGGCAAGTCACGCCCTCGCAGCCTCTCAGAGGAAGACAAAAGCACCACTACATGAACAAATCTTGTGATGAAAACCTTGTGACATGTTCCCTTTTGGGTAGCCATAGATTGGAAATTACTTGAACACACAGCAAAACTTGTTCTTCATGGGGATATGTGTTCATAAGTAATATTCAGCAGGTAATTGAGTTTCAAGATCTTATGAAATGTAACATATAGAAATGTAACCTATATTCCACACTATATTCAGTGTTTCATGGTCAATTTGTACCATTGATTTTTCCCCCCAGGTTGATTATAATGAGTGTGCATAGGTATCTATTTACACATGGTTTTAGAATTCAAGTCCAAGTGTTCTTGCAGCCCAGTCCTGTGCGGTTGCATTTAGTTGAATGTGTGTAGAATTGCAGCATTAATGTTATTTGTGAATAGTTGCCTCTGTTAAGTATCAGTTACGCTGTAGAAATATATCCACATGTATTTCTCCATGCTAGAAGTATTTTCAGAGAATCCTCATTGTTATCTTCCCTCAGGCTGTTATTTACAAGCACCAAGTGCACCTTTTAAACTTAGTGTTTGGATTCAGTGCTAAGATAAAACATGATAAGCATTAAGTATGTATAATGCATTAAAATCACAGCTAATGAAGTGCTTGACCACAGCGTCTTATGCAATCAAGACTTTATCCAACACAAGGTCTAGAGAACTCTGGGAAGCATCAGAAGAACATGGAGAGGGGCAATCTCCAGAACTCCACTTGATGAGTAAAGATTCGCAGAGGGCACACAGATTCCCAATTCCTAAAATGAAATGAGACACCTTCCCTAGAGATGTTCTCATTCGAGTTTCGAATTATCATCAAAAAGTGCAGACATTCCGGGCACTAAATAAATAATGCCAACCCCATTCAATACAACAGGAAAAATATTGCAGTTTCCCAAGATCTAGCTCTGAAACTATATGTAAGAGAAAATTATTTCTCCAGTAATGAAACAGCTGGGACAAGTTGCAATGTGCTTCTTTTTAAATTGCTGCCCTTTCATAATGAAAAAAACATAGATTGCATGTTGCATGTTTTATGTTTAATGTGGCTTAGAATATTGCTAACCTGGAAGCCTCTCCTGAGTCCTCTCCACGGCTGTGATAGAGCGGGGTCAAAATGCAGCAAATAATAGTGGTAGATTGCCACAATTGTACAGTGAGCAGAAGCACTCTATAAATCTGGATGTTCCTATGCTCAATCTTATATTATATCAAAAATAAGAGATAATGAAATTGAAATCTTGGCAGATTTGATAAACTGGAAACAAAAAACCCCTTAATTTTACACTCCTTCCTAATTTGATCTCTCATTGAGTAAACCTGATGTCTAATTGCTCCCTTATATCAGACAGTGTGTTCTCTTCTTTAGTTGTAATTTCCTACTGTAGCCTCTGCCATGTTGTCATTCAACCTCTGCCATGTGGGAATTCTACCCAATCGTCATCTTTCCTGAGTTCATGTACAGTTGTAAACTCAAACTATTTACAACTCAAACTATTTACAACCACTAATGCACCTTCCATTTGCAATGCAGCTTTCTATAAGTCTATGTTTTACATTAGTGGTTGTTTGGTTTTTTAAAAAGAAAAATCAATAAATTTGCATTGGTTGTCACTCTGGTCTTGGACATATCACATCTTCAGGATCGTTAAGAAATTGATTCAGCAAGGTTGGTGCAAGAATACACTTTGGCCTCTCAGGTTATATTTTCAGAAAGCTACCCCTGGTACTGCATCTAGCTTTCAGCTGTTGCTTAATGTATAAAACTTTAATATGTTCAAAAAGTACATTATTGATCAAATCTGTTTAATGCAGATTGTAGGTAAAAATTAACCTTCCTGATTTTTTATTCATTGAACACACCATTGAAGTATCACATTTCATCACTTAATCTCATAGTAGAAATACAACAATTCATAACTCTAGCCAGATTTATTTTGTTTAAAATATGATTTTAATGCTAATGGTGATTGTATATTCTTGCTTTAACCTTATCTGCCTAAGTTTTGCTGGTTTCTAAAGAAATTATTTCTTAGTAAATGTGCTTAAAATGATTCTGTTAATAAGTCATTTTTTTAAAAAAAAAAATGTGTTTAGGTATTCCTGTATCCCAGCAGCACTTAATATGGAATGAAGAAGAGCTGGAAGATGATTATGGTTTGAATGATTATGAGTAAGTATTTAAAAGAAATTGCCTCTGACATTAATATTACTGCAGTTGAGGAAAATTGAGGGAAGAATTATAACTTTCATTTGTTTGTTTCTTTGTTTGCAGAATTTCAGAAGGTTGTACTTTGAAGCTGATATTGGCAATGCGAGGTGGACCTATTAATACTAGAAGAGGTAAGTGCCTGTTAATTTTTCTCTGAAGTATTCTACATTATTAGGATAAACTGAGAATTACCCTGTTATAGATTCTTCTGAGACCTGAGAAGAAAACTGAACATATGGTTTAGTGAATGGAAAACCACATGCACATTTCTTTCCTACTTTAGTCTGGCCTTTCATATCATGTACTCATATGATGTGGGGAAAGCAATGACAATGTATACTTTTCAGTCTCGTGTACAGTTGCTGTCACTTGTAGGACCTGGCAGTAAGCTCTCACTTTTGACTTTTTAACGAACACATTTGTATTAAAACATACATAGTGTTTTATACACACACATATAGAGGGTTCCAAAATATATAAACATTTTAAGAAAGGGGGGGGGGGGAATCCTATTAATATATACCAATAAAAATATTTATTAATATATACCAATAACATATGATTTCTCTAATTGCAAGAGATGCCAAAGTGGTTACCATTAGCATCCGGACAGTTCTGATTACAGCAAACTACTACTTGATCAGAGTTGACCAAAGTTTCCATTAGTATTGCTGTGCATACTGTTTCAATTTTTTTCTCAAAGTACCACAGTGTAGCTGGTTTTCTATGGTAGACTACATCCTTTAAGGTACGCCATAGATAGAAGTCGGAGTGTTAAGTCAATTGTACCTCTTTGTTCTCTCCATTGTCCTAGCAAACTCTCATGTCTCAGTGGAAGTACGATGGGGAGCCATTTTGTTGGAAGTAAAATCAATAATTCCCCCAAAGTATATGAATTACAGCTAAAATTGATGTGCGTAGCATATCTAGATATTATATGTGTTGTATGCTTGTTCTGCTAATTCCTCTCTCAGAAGTGTTTGGTACACTTCTGTGGCAAGCGTGTAAACTGTTCCAATACCATAGCACAAGAAACTGACTTGTTGCTGGGTGAGGTCTCCAGGATTTTCCCTTGTGTACATCACACACAATACCGTGAATCTCAAACTTATCATGAAAATGTGCAGTTGTTGAGTGTGTTGGAGGTTCTGTTGCATACTCACGCCTTCATTGTCATTGTACTTCCACAATGTTCTCAAATTTCAAATACTACTTCAAAATGGTCTTGTGCTTCTCCAATGACAACTATACTTCCACCATTTTCTAATTTCCTGCCAGTTGCATTGTGATGTTAGGATTCATCTGATTAATGAAATCTTTTGAGAGAATGTTAACTACACATTGTTACTATCATTCAGTTCAACTTTGAAAAGTAATACAGTGGAACCTTGACTTAAGGCAGGTCCTTCAGAACAAACCTTTCTGAGAAAAGGTTCATTTTGGGGTCACTAAAAGTTGCAAATGATCTGAGATCACACAACAAAAATTGCAGTAGTTGAAGTAAATGACAATGAAGACAGCCATTTGCTAATCATATATTGATCTTGCCAGTGAATGCTTCCCAAGCCTAATGATCAATAGCACTTCCATCTTGTTTCAATTAAATTTCAGTCTGTTTACCTGCATCCAGACAACAATTAATTACTAACACAACCGTTTTGGCATTTGTAAAAGAGAGAACGAATTGGGTGTCATCACTATAGTGATAACACCCAGTCCCAGAGATCCAGATGACTCTCCCCATGACTTCATGCAGATGTTAAAAACCATAGGGGGCAATACTATGGAACCCCAAAGGCGAATGGCCCAAAAGCTAAAAAAAACAGAACCCCAGAACCACCTTCTGGGAATGGTCACCCAGGAAAGACCAGAGACTTTCTTAGAATGGAGAGGTTAGAGAATGGCTAGTAGTTGCCAAGAGAATTTGGTTCTAATGTAATTTTTAAAGTAAGTCTTACAATTGCTTGTGATATAAGTTTGGTGTAACTATAACAGCGATGCTCTTTTACATTCAGCTAGACACCAAGGAAGCGTCCTACTAGTTATGAGTGCCCCTAACTGCACCTTACATATGCATATATCCACTTGGGGATGGAATGCAGGGTTCTTAGTTGCCATACTTCTAGACAGTGGTATCATGAGGTGGAAGTCACTCAAATCATTACTCTCTATCAACATTACAACTTTTACACAGTGGTCCCCTGTCACTGATGATTTGGCCAGTAAATAGAAAAAGTTAGCTAAGTTTGCAAATACTTTAATTGAAACTTCTTACAGTTCTGCCTTGACAAATACCTGATTATATTCGTTTTAATGTATTTAATTGCTAACATCTTAAAGCTAGTCCCTCAGTTTGATCTATTAGAGCAGATGTGGGCAACTTCTTGGAAGACTAAAGGACTGCATTCACTCTCCAGGAGATCTTGGAAGGGCCATAACAACAGTAAAATGAAATGCATTTCTCACTGTTTCTCTTCTCTGTAGTTCCTGTGGCAGATCCCATTAGGGAAATAACAGAATACATGGATCCCAGCCAGGATGACCTCTGGGAGAAGATCCCATCCAATAACCATGCTACCTTCTTGGTTTATCGGGAAGGAGACCAGCTGAACTTCTTCCGTATTATAGACAGAGGAGATGGAACTTTAACACCAATATCTGAATCTTTGAGGTATATAGAATTTTAATTCATTTCATAGGGGAAGTTCTCTACACAGATTATCCACTCAGGCGACCAAGGCTGTTTCAGTTCTGTGTCCCAGCATAAAGCCAGACTGCGCCAGATCTAGATAATCAGTGTCTACAAAGAATCCCTGGAGTTGTGAGGCCATCGCACATTCCATGACTTTGCCCAAAAAGGGGAGATTGGAAACTGGCTGAAAGTTGTTCAGTTGGGTGGGATCCAATAATAGTTTTTTTCAACAGCGGTTTTATTACAGCTTCTTTTAAGCTGGCTGAAATCTTGCCGTCCTGTAAGGACATTGTCCTTACTGAAAAGCTAGCATACTGTATTATTTATTTATTTATTTATTTACCACTTTTTTACCCCGGGGGAATCAGCCTTTCAACAGGCAGCAGTTTGATGCCATACACACATATATCAAATAAACAATTACAATTAAAACCAAACAATTAAAACATAAATCATTAAAAACAACAATTAAAATCACACCAACCAAAAACTATTATTATTAGTATTAGGTTTGCCAAGGAAAAAAATAAAGGAATACATGTTTGAAACAGTTTGGTAACTTTTCTTTATTTCACAAATCCCATCCTATATCCTCACAGGGTGTCTCAGAACAACAATTAACATTTTGATGAAGTAGAATCTGATAAAGGAATAATATAATATATCAGGTTAATGAAAAGAAAAGGATGGGAGATCCTAAATTATTTTCTTTTTGTAATTAGGTGAAAAAAAACCAGTGTGTGATTCTAGACTGCATTATTAGGAGTATAATGTGTGGATCTAAAGAAATAATAATACCACTGCTTTCTGATGCTCTAGAAACTGAAACATAGAGCAATGGATTCCAATTCCAGGAAAAGGGATTCCACCTAAACATTAGAAAGACCTTCCTGACAGAACGTGAATTTGGTGCCTGAGAATGTTGTGGGGTCTCATCCTCTGGAGTTTTTTTAAAAGAGAAACTTGATGTCTATCTGTCAGGAGTGCATTGGTTGTGTTTTCCTGCAGGGCATGGAGGTTGGCCTGATTAGTCCTTGGGGTCTCTTACAACTCTACTTTTCTGTATTTCTGTGCACAGGGAGGAGGGGGAGGAAAGCTTTTTAAAGTTTTCATTTACCACTTGCAATTACTAGCAGATAAAAGAGCAAATCCAGGGAAAACAAAACAGCCGCATTCCTAGGAATCAGTCTGCTTTTATGTCACAAATATTGGTATAGTTAAACTGAATTTCTTTGAATGCATTCTAGCTTTAAATGTAAATATTTGTGATCTTGGCACATCATTAATGTTTACATAATGTTTTCATCATCTTGCACATGTTCTTACGATATGAACTTTTTCTGAAGTATCTAAGAGTAGAATAGCCCGCTTGTTCTCTCTCCTTGTCAGTGCTGGTTCGGTTTATAATTTGGGTACTGAAAACAATGAAGATAAAGAGGCATGTCCTTCTAGTCAGCAGATGATTGAGAACTCCATCACAATGAATAAAATGAAATTGCTCAAGATGAAGATGGAGAACATAAATCTCAGCAAAAAAGTGAGCCTATACTCTTATGGCCTCTGCAGAATTATTTGTGTTTTTGCATTCCAGATCTTGAAAGTGATTGCTGTTCTCTCAAATGAAGGGAAATGTTTTTATGCCCCTAAAGGAGATAAATTTACCCACACTGCTGGTCCATTTTAGATTAGTATGATAGTTTAAAAAACTGACCCTTTTGATCAGTCTGTGATCATTTGTTCTCTTTATTACAGTGGCAGACTTTGGTCTATCTGTTTGATGTATTTGTAAGACCCACATAAGGCAAGGATCGAAAAAGGTTTTTCATTAACATAAACAATTGGAACTAGGAGTAGCAATTCTCCATCTCTTTGGAAGACCCTGAGAACTTCCCTATAATGGCACCTAAGGTCCAAGGAATTGTAGACAAAAGGTCTCATTGAGGAAGAGTAGAATAGTCATTGCTCCCATGAAATTTCTCCTGACAGAATCATTCCTCTCAGCCAAAGCACACTTTTAGGTCCTTGTCAATATGCCGTGTTTCACTGTGTAATAGTTGCCACCACATAATCTTGCATCCCTCTTTTCTCGTCCAAAAACTCATTTCTTGCCTTTCCTTGCTTAATTGTCACATTAAAAAAAAACCAGAAACGGAACCAGCTAGAACTATCCCTCTTTCCTCCTCCTTTCTCAAAGGGAAGATTTTTTTAAAGCACACAGAAATAAACCTCCCTCCTTCCTCCTCTCTTTTCCTTGTCTCTCTGAGGTAAGACAGTTTTTTTTAATTAAAAAAAACAAGGATAAAGCAGTTTTTTCTTCATATAATGTTCACAACCCCCCCCTTTTTTTGCAAGAAATTGCATTAAAATGCGACCATTATGCAGTGAAATGCAGTATGAATATCTCATCATTTTCCAGGTTAGTGTTTACGTTACTTTTATGTATGTACATACATATTTTAGCTATTTTCCATCTTTTCTTCAAATTGAACTTAAAAATATCCAAAGCTTTATTGGTTTTTTCAAAGTCTTTTGTTCATAGAATTACTGTCAATGTTAGACTACTGCTTAAAACAATTTGTATCAATTATTATTATTATTATTAGTAGTAGTAGTAGTAGTAGTAGTAGTAGAATAGTATAGTATTGTTATGTTTATTTATGCCCCGCTTTTTCTCTCCACAAGGAGACTCAAACTGCAAGACATTGCCAAAAAAAGTTGGCAGTTAAATGTTCAATTAGTTTAAATGGTCAGTTTGATTCAAAGAGAAAATAGAATGAGTTTATAGTGAGAATTGTCATGAGAATTTGTTTCCTTTTGCCCATAGGATTGTCTAGGTCAGTGGTTCTCAAACTGTGGGTCTCCAGGTGTTTTGGCCTACCACTCGCAGAAATCCCAACCAGTTTACTAGCTGTTAGGATTTCTGGGAGTTGAAGGCCAAAACATTGGGGAGCCCACAGGTTGAGAGCCATTGGTCTAGGTCAATGGTTTCCAGTCTGCAGAGCCTGGATATTGGGGAACTTCAACTCCCAGAAACTTCAGTCAGCTTGACAAATGGTGAAAGATTCTGGTAGTTGTAGCCCAGCAGTTATTTGGGATGCATGATTAGAACCCACTGCCATACTTGCTATTGCCCTTCACATAACAACACCTCTTTTTTCTCATTTTCACAGCCCAATAGAACTGTTAAAGGGACTCCTCATCCTCCAAATGCTCCACGTTCATCTAGCGGCTCTGTGACAAGTACACATCATAAATTACTCCGAACACTCCCCCACATTGGACAGCCCTGTTTACCTTCTGAAAATGTACTTACCTCAGAAACATCTCAAAAGACACTTTCAGTTTTGCCGGCTGCTGGTAGGAGAATGCCTTCCATTTCTAGCAACTTTATTACAGAAAACAACAGAATGGAAAGTATGCAACAGACTCAGTCGATTAGCAGCATTGCAACACCACAGAAAGTAATATGCATGCAGAAAGAAGATGCAAAAATATCTATAGACACAGTTCTTCCAGTTCTAGCTCCACTCAAAAGTTCAGAAAAAAATACCGAAACTGGTGGATCAACAAATGAGAAAAGTTCTATTTTATATCCCGATACCTCAAATGTAAACTCATATGCTACAGAAGAAAGGCTAGGAGAATCAAACTTTACTGAAGCATGCAGTGAATTGTATGAAATAGGAAAAGTGAATACAGAGTGCAGATTATCTGAGGGGGATGTCGACTCTTCCATTGCAGAGCATTCTAACAAGTCCATTACAAAAAGTCTAAGCATTACACCAGCAGATAGTACATTTCGAAGCTCTCAAGATATCAGTCATCAGAGAAATGCACAACTATCACCTCTTCGCTGTACAAATTATTCAGCACCAATTGTACATTACAGTCCTCAGAAAACTCAAACACACTCCAAATCTTTAGAAGTTGGTAACTTGAAGCCTGTTGCCTCTCCAAATGTCCTACAGCCGCTGGAGGTGCAGAACTTAGCAGATCCCTCTTATCCAAGGACTTCTAGATTTCATTGTGATGCACCGTCAAAGCATTCTGTTGTCAAAAGACCTGATACCCATTCTAAAAAGAAGGCAAGGGAAACCACCGGAGTGCCAATGAAAGCATCCAAAGATCCTGTTTTTTCTGTAAATAATGGGGGGTTTCTTAGTTCGATGACTCAAAGCACGAACAGAAATGGGTTGAAGAATTCCTGTGGCACAAGCAGGTTTTGGACTTCTGGTATTCCACTAACTACAGATCTCCAGCATTTTCAAGAAGAAAGATTTAGCTTGGTCCCTTCCTATGATGACATGCCGGGATACCTTTTGGTAATTAGTTTTATAATACCACTGCATTTCTGTTCATGTTTCCTTAGAAGATTCAGTCCATTTTTATTTCAGTCAGGATACTAAGTTCTCTACATCTGCAATTGAGAAATTGATCTTTTTGTACACACCTTGCACCAAGATCGCTCAGATAGACTTGACACAGATTTGCCTAGTTCAAGGGCCTTATTCAGGGTCTAAGTGAATCCATTGAGGCTAGAAATCTTCTAGTAAATTAGAAACAAATTGCCAATTTGTGTATGCATCTTGGACGTAAATTTCTTACTAATATTCTCAACCAAACAGACAGCCAAGACCCTTGGTCATATAAAGACACATACATCAAGCCATAAAATTTGTCTTGACAACAAAGAAAATATTCATTATGTAGATCAATGTTTCCCAAACTTTGGTCCTCCAGGTGATTTGGACTTCCATTCCCACAATTCCTAACAGCTGGAAGTCTGGCTAGGACTTCTGGGAGTTGAAGTCCCAAACACCTGGAGGACCAAAGGTTAGGAAACACTGATGTAAACAAAGTCTTAGAGGTCGGGTTCTGTTGTTCAACTAAGTATGTATGCATGTATAAGTATGCTGTGTTGTCCTGTTGTCAATTATCTGTGTATAGAATGAATGATGTAAATGTGACTCACGGGTTGCATACATTTCCAAGACCATTTTTGACTATAAAACTCTCAGTGTTCAAACTCCCCCCCCCCCCCCCCCCAAAATGCCCTGAAATTTTGTTTGGCTCAAAAGATACATTTTTCTCACAGGAAATTATCTTCTAAAACTAATTAATTTTTAATCAGTGCTCATTAAGAAGAAAAAATAAAATCTAGTTTGGGGTAGGGGTGGCAGAGAGTGTGACACTCCAAGCTCTCCCAAGGGGCCAGTGCAGTTTTTGTAGTGGTTTGTGTTTTTCAGCAGTAATGTTGTTTGATGAGTTAGAATCATAGAATCCTAGCGTTGGAAGAGACCTCGTAGGCCATCCAGTCCAACCCTCTGCCAAAAAGCAGGAAAATCACATGCAAAACACGCCCGACAGAAGGCCTCTGTTTAAAAGCCTCCAAAGAATGAGCCTCCACCACACTCCGGGGCAGAGAGTTCCACTGCTGAACAGCTCCCACAGCTAAGAAGTTCTTCCTAATAATGTTCAGGTGGAATCTCCTTTCCTGTAGTTTGAAGCCATTGTTCCGAGTCCTAGTCTCCAGGGCAGCAGAAAACAAGCCTGTTCCCTCCTCCCTAAGACTTCCCCTCACATATTTATGCATGGCCATCATGTCTCTTCTCAGCCTTCTCTTCTGCAGGCTAAACATGCCCTGCTCTTTAATCAGTTTTTCATAGGGCTTGTTCTCCAGACCCCTGATCATTTTAGTCACCTTCCTCTGGACACATTCCATCTTGTCAGCATCTTGCTTAAATTGCAGTGCCCAGAATTGGACACAGTATTCCAGGTATGGTCTGAGCAAGGCAGAATAGAGGGATAGCATGATTTCCCTGGATCTAGACACTAGACTCCTGTTTATGCAGGCCAAAATCCCATTGGCTTTTTAAGCTTTTGCATGACATTGCTGGCTCATATTTCACTTGTCCACTAGGACTTCCAATATCTTTTTCACACATACTGTGGTTGATTCAGGCATTCCCCATTCTGTATTTTTGCATTTCATTTTTTCTGCCTAACTGGAGTATCTTGCATTTGTTATTTTTGGCCAATCATCTCTCTAATCTGTTAAGATCGTTTTGAATTCTGCTCCTGTCTTCTGGAGTATTGGATATCTCTGCCAATTTGGCGTCATGTTTTCTACGTTATGTTCTGATTATTCGTTCTATCACAGTGTGAAAGGCCTAGGACAACCTGGAGTGTACAGTTATCTGTATTTTCATATGTGAGCCTCCTTGGAAATTATATTAGAATCATAAAATTATGGAGTGGGAAGGGACCACAAAAGCCATCTAGCCCAACCCTGTTCCCCAGTTCCCTAAGCTTCTCTCTTCGTAGGGCTTGGCTTTAAGACCTGTTGACCATTTTGCTTCTGCAGGTACATTCCAGCTTGACAATAGCCTTCTTGAATTGTGGTCTTCCAGATTAAGTCTGTCCAAAGTAGAAAAAATGATATTATTACTTTCAACAATCCAGGCACTATGCCCCTGTTGATTCAGTCTAGAATTATTTAATATAAGCAGATAATATTAAGCTGCTAGCAGAAATTAATAAAGACATGGCACAATTCCTGAAGAAAGTAAAGGAAGTGCAAAGTGCAAATTTCCCAAATAAATTAGGTTTACAGTTGAACATTAAAGAAAATGAAAAGTAATGATTTACGTAGCTTGTAAGGATACAGATTTTTCATCCTTTGGTTCAGTCATTAATCAGAATTGAGATTTCAGTCAAAAATTAGAAGACTACTATGGCTTGGAAGGGCAACTTTGAGGAAACTAGGCAAATTCCTGAAGTGTGAAGATAAATAATGGAATACTAAAGTTGGGATATATGTTATATGCATAGATAAATTAAGATTTGCTGTTGTTGAAACTGATGGACTTAGCTGAGAATAATAACCTGTTTGAATAGGGAGAAAACAATTGTTTCTTCTTTAAAGAATTGGGGAAACTTTTATGGACTTTTTGCATTAAAAGAAGAATGAATTGAATGGATTTGAGAATTAGTAGGATTTGAATTTCAAGAGAAGTATAAATTTATAGTTGCAGAAAAAAGTTGCAAGTTATATTCTTTGTTGTTTTTCAATGTATTCCCTGTTGTATGTGTCTGTCTTACTTTAGTATCATCTTTAATAAAAAATAAACCTAGAAAAAATTGGATTTTCCATGCCATCATATTCCCCATTTCTACATATGGTTGTGAAAACTGATAGGAAGAAAATAAAGTCTCATAGAAATGTGGTGCTGGAGAAGTTCTATAGGTATCATGGGCTGCTAAAAAGCCAAATAAATGGTATCAAAACAAATCAAACTCTCCCTCGAAGTCAAGATAACTAAACTGAGGCTGTCGTAATTTGGACATATCATAAGAAAACCAGATTCACTAGAAAAGACAGTAAGGTAGAAACTCAAAGCAAGATGGAAAGAGAAAGGCTACGTTCCAGATGGACAGGCTCAGTCAAGCAAACCATGGCCTTGCATGATGGTGGTCTCTTATTCATACAGTCACCATAAATTTAAGTCGACAGCAGGTAGCAACAATAGAAAATGAAACAATTGTTTATTTTGCTAGAGTTTAATGGCATCTAAGTGGGAAAATCAAAAGCTAGAGATACTATGGTGCGGGGAAAGTGGATACAGACTGCTGCGCATTTAACATTTTTTAGCCAAGCATTCAAAAGTATTTGGCTGAGAAATTGTGTAATATATAGTGTAAATTATACATCAAGGCTGTGGCTTCCTTGATTGAGTCTATCCATCTGAAATGTGGTTTTCTCTTGAGTTGTAGATTTGGTCTGCTTGCAATACAGTTAGAGTAGACCCACTGAACCAGCTGATAAATGGTGAGATGATTCTTACATACTGTAAATCCCATTTCTGTGTTATGGTACCCTGTTTGTAGAACAGATAGAACTGGCACTGAAATAATAATTATGTTTCATATTCAAATACGTAACTAACGTGGGCATCATTTGTATTTCTGTTTCCTCCTGTCAGAAGAGTTTGCAATTATTAAAAAGGGCCCCTTGGTGGTGCAGCAGACTAAACCGCTGAGCTGCTGAACTTGCTGACCAAAAGGTTGGTGGTTCGAATCCAGGGAGCAGGGTGAGCTTCCACTGTTAGGCCCAGCTTCTGCCAACCTAGCAGTTCGAAAACATGCAAGTGTGAGTAGATCAATAGCTACCGCTTCTGCAGGAAGGTAACAGCGCTCCATGCAATCATGCTGGCCACATGACCTCGGAGGCATCTATAGACAATGCCAGCTCTTTGGCTTAGAAATGGAGATGAGCTCCACTCACCAGACTTGGATATGACTGGACTTAATGTCAGGGGAAACTTTTATCTTTTTAATGCTGGGATGTTGTTGGATTTATTTTATTTTGGTGTCCAATAGTTTAGCCCATGGGACATAATTCCAAATTGATTCCAGATGTTTTTTTCTTCTTCCTGCTCCTGCTCCTCATCTTCTTCTTCTTGTTCTCTTAGTCATCTGGAGTTGGATTGAATGGAAATATTGTGAATACTGGGAAAAGAGCAAGTGAGTAATAAATCTGAATTCATAAATTGATGTTAATGCTTTTTGGTGTAATCAACTATAGCTAAGAGAATGGTGTAATTGTGTGTTTATGCAACAGTATGGCAGTTCAGATGTGACCTGAGAGCCACACTTTCCTCATCAGTTCAGTTTGTATTGTTAATTTGTATTTTAATATCATGTGTTGCTGGAATTTTAAAAAAAAATACACTGGACACTATTTTAAAAATTACGCTGGAAAGTGTTTTTTAACTCACAAAAAGTCTTTCCTGTGAGCTGCTGTTCTTTCTCCATTTCTGTGATAACAAATGTAATACTCATATTTTCTATTTCAAAGTAGGTGATCCAACTCATTTTCCACCAGTGAATGGTTCAGCTCAGCCTAAAAAGAAGATTACAAATCATTGTTTCTTTTGTGGAAAGAAAACCGGATTGTCTACTAGCTTTGAATGTAGGTAAGTTGCGTTTACATTTCAAAATGTGTTTATCCTAAAGAAAAAGCACAACAAAGCACCGAACAGTTTGAAGATGACAGAAAATCACCAGATATGTTTTTCAGAAAGGAAATGTTGTCAAATCTGATGCCTCTATTCAAAAGATTCAAATTATTGAAAGAGACCACTAAGACCATCTAGTTCAATGCCCTGGAAACACAGAGTCAAAGCACTCCCAACAGATGGCCATCCACCCTCTGCTTTAAAACCTCTGGATAAGGAGAGCACATCACACTCCGAGGCAGTATATTCCTTCAGCAAACAGCTCTTGCTATCAGGATGATCTTCCTAATGTTTAGGTGGAATCTCTTTTTCCTACAATTTGAATCCATTGCTCTGTGTCCTAATCTCCAGAGCAGCAGAAAACTTGACCCCTCTTCAGTGTCACATCCTTTCAAGTACTTAAGCGTGACTATCATATCCCTCTTAGCCTTCTTTTCTCCAAACTAAACATTCCCAAATCTTTAAGTCACTCCTCATAGGGTTTGGTTTCTGGACCTTTCATCATGTTAGTTGCTGTCCTCTGGACACCTTCCACTTTGTCAATATCCATCTTGAATTGTGGGGCCCAGAAATGGACACAGTATTCCAGGTGAAGCCTGGTCAAAGCAGAATAGAGAAATGCCATGACTTCCCTCGATCTAGACCCAGGCATGGGCAAATTTCGGTTCTACGGGTGTTTTGGACTTAAACTCCCACAATTCCTAACAGCCAGGCTGTTAGGAATTATGGGAATTGCTGTCCAAAACACCTGAAGGGCTGGAGTTTGCCCATGCCTGATCTAGACACTGTACTCCTTTTTATGTCGTCTAGAATCACAATGGATTTTTTAGCTGCTGCATCACATTATTGACTCATGTTCAACTTCTTGTCTACTAAGACTCCCAAGATGTTTTTCACATATACTGTTTTCAGGCCAGGGGTGACCATCCTATATATCTGCATTTCATCTTCTTTTTTTGCCTAAGTGTGGAACCCTCTGATTTTATTACTTTTGGCCCAGCTCTACAATCTGGTCAAATCATGTTGAATTCTGATCCTGTCCTCTGGGGTATTAACTATCCCTCCCAGTTTGGTGTCAGCTGCAATTTCAATAAGCATGTCCTCTATTCCATGATTAGTATCATTGATAAAGATGTTGAATACTCTTGGGTAATAACAAGGACAGTTTATGTTTTACCCGCACCTCCTTGTGGGTCAGGGCGAGGTACAACATGGTTGAAAACATTGTTATTGCTCACACGTTCCTTTTTGAGATGCAGTCATGGAAACCTGCTCCTCTAATGCAATCAGGGAGAAGTTTCTGATATAAAACACCTTTATATCACATCTTCTAAGAGACAATTGCTCCTTTTTTCTGACATATCAAGGTCCATGTTCATATCTATACACATAAGAAAAGTGAAAATATGTATGTGTGCATGTGGCTGGGATGCCCACTTTCAGAGACAGGCTCCCAATTCCACAAACAGCTAGATCATGTGACATCAATGGCCCTCACTCCAATGACATTGCAGGTTATAGCGAGCAACACGAACACATACAAGAGCCCTGCCAAGGTCCTTCACAAATACCATACTGCCCACCACCCAAGTGAATGCTTTCATTAAGGGACAATTTCTTCCTAGATTTTATGTTTTCCTCCACCATAGACATCTCAGCGTTTCTGACTCTCTCCATTAGTGTGGAATTTGCATGACCCCGCCCTTTGCYTTTCCCATAACCCTTTCCTGATGAAAGTTGTAGTTCACCCTGCATAGACAATGGACCTGGACCACAGAACCCCCATGACCAACAAAAAATACTGGAGGGGCTGGGGGGGGGGGGAAGAGTTGAACTTGATGTATAGGAGTTGTAGGTACTGGGATTTACAGTTCACCTGCAATCAAAGACCACTTTGAACCCCACCAGCGATGGACCTGGAACTAAATCGGCACACAGATCCCCCATGACAAATAAAAAATACTGTAGGCCTTTGGGGGGATATGTAGCAGTTGTAGTTCATCTTCATCCAGAGAGCACTGTGAACCGAATCTGAATCAAACTTGACTCACAGACTCAACATGACCAAGTTTGAATTTTGGGAATTGTAGTTCACCCACATCCTTATGCATTTTCTAATGAGAGCGTTTATAAAAAACAAAAGCAAATACTGACTTTTTTCTACTAAATACCATTACAAATTACCAAACTGATATTTAACATCCAAAAACAAACAATGCCTTTTTCAAATAACCAGGTCCCCAAGCCAGTATATAATGACAGAGCTGGGGGAAAGCCATGTTTTCTTTTTTTTTAAAGAGCTGATTTCCAAGATGACACAGCAATAATTTTAGGGCATCTCTGACATTTCCCTTTCTGCCTTCAGATGTGGAAACAATTTCTGTGCCACTCACCGCTATGCAGAGACTCACACATGTACCTATGACTACAAGAATGCGGGGCGGAGGTACTTGCAGGAGACCAATCCCGTCGTCACAGCACCAAAGCTTCCTAAAATCTAAGCCCAATTTTGTAGCATGCATATGTTTCCTGGAGGAACTCTTATAATATTGAGACTTGTTTGAGCTGCTTTTCTTTTGCTGTGTTCCCCACCTAAAGATGAACTAATAACAGTATCATATGAAGCTGCATAATATTGAAGAATAATGTGAACCCTTTTGCTGCTGACATATTTTATTCTTTAGTGAATCAAAATTTAAAGACTGTTTTTTTGAAAATGTATATGCTGATCTAACTTATATTATTATATCTCTTGTGTTAATTGTTTTATATTTGAACCTCCTCCTTTTGTTAGATAAGTCTTTTACAAGTTTTATTTTACTTAGTTGTAAGATACATATTTTCTGCTGGAATTTGGGAGGGTGTTGTTCTATTTTGCGTTTATTCACTCCAAAAATATTGCTTTTGTAAGAAGTTCCTCATTATATTGAGCCAGCCATTTGAAAATTTAGGGAGTGCTGAATTCCACTCATATATTTTGTATCTACTATGGTACAAAATATTTATCCCACTATTTCTTACCTGGTGTTTTTTTTTTTTTTTTTTTGGGGGGGGGGGGGGGGGTTAGAAAAAAGAAAAATTCTCCTGACATTAAATAGAAAAAATATATATTTCTTTTACCATTTGTAACTATTTTTTAAAGACTTTGAGCTTGGTGTGTTCAAAAGTTTGATTATATTACCAAAAATATAATAAATATTAAATATTCATATAAAGCAACTCACCTACTCTTTTCTCACTTTGCAAATAAGGTCAGTCTTTAAGGAATTCTATTCCCAGTGCTTTGTTTCAAAATTTACTAAAGCTGGCAAACTATTAGCAAATTCTGGACTGGCCCCCAAAGCATTGCAAGTCATTTCAACCAGTCTTGTAATGAGTATCCAATTAATGACCAAAACAACTCAGAAAAGAAAGAAAATTATCAAGCAACCCAATCATCTAAATGTTTAAATATCCATAAAAAGCATATAAGGGGGGGGGGGGGAGAAAGAGAAGGAAAAGAAGAAGGAAAAGAAGAGAGAGAAAAATTCAGAGATAACAGCTTCTCAGATTGCACATCATTCCACCAGGAAGTGTTTCTATCTAGTTAAGTAGTTATGTTCACATTCAGCAGCTCAATCTGGTATCAGCCACCTAGATAAACAGTCTCTTGTGTTCACAAAGGTATGTATCCTGTTTTTATTCTTCTCCTCTTAATTAATTTTTTATAAATAATGTTTTAAAATAAATAAGCCTCAATTGGGGAAATTGTTTCTGTGTACATTTTCGTCTTTGCCCCTTCACACCTTTCTCAAATTGCCTTTTAAAAGGTAAATTTAATACAGTTGCAACTCTGCAAACACAGGCTTACCCATAGATTCCACAAAAGCAAAAATAATTTTCCAGAGAAGTTCGATTTTACGTTTGAAAATTCAAGAGGAGAGGATGGATTTCTTTAAATTGGCTCTGTTTGTAGTATTTACCTTTGGAAAGTCACTTCCTCAGTGTTTAGTTTATCTGGTATTTGGAGGCAGAAACACAGTGAGGCAAGACAGCCCACCAGGAGATCTGCATCCCCCCTCATGGCAGATTCCCAATTAATGGAGACCTTAATCCAGCAACCCAGATGTCTCAGAAATTACTGTTAATAGGGCTTGATACTTGTTCACCAGTCCCTAATGATCTGTGGCTACTTTTTCCTTGAAAATGTAAAAATATGTAGGATATCAGACAGCATGGGGAGGCCCCATTTTTCTTTCACTGCACCGCAAACCTGGCAGAGCTTAAATGCAAGACTATCCTGGTCAATAGACTAAAGCAGAAGAAACTCTGCGTACATTCATGATACGCATTTTCCATCAAATGTCACTCAAGTCTGTGTTGGCGTTTCTCCAAACCTCACACTGTCATAAAAATGCGACATACATTATACACTTTTTTAAAAAGTAGGTGACAAAGAACAAGAAACAGTAATTCATATTCAATATCTCTTTTTTCTTCCTTGCCCAGAAAACTCACGGAGGACCTCTTGCAACAGGGCTGCATGGGGTTCCATCCCTAGTGTCTGAAAAGTGGAGCATATGAGTGCATGTTAGAGAATAAGGGAAAAAAATTTCACAAAGTGGAATGTTAATAAAATGTTTTCTTTTGTGTTTTTAGCATTCATATACATAAAAATTGCTTCACTCAAATTCTTTCATTTTTATTGGAAACAATATATTTAAGGTTTTTCTGCAGGGGTGGGGGGTAGAGAGAAAGGTATTTGCTCCGGGAGGAGGAGACACAACTCCTCAAATCCCCTCTGTCAGCCTGTGGAAACGTCCATAGCTCGGATTTCCATGATGCTGAATCACTAAACGTGGAGGTCGCAGTATACAAGAGCTAGCTCCATTGATCATGGCCTGATTTTGGGCCATTTTTTGAGCCAGTTCTCTTGACATAAAGCCACGCTGAAGCATTTTAAACTGTGCTTTTTGACTTTCTTCCAGCTTTTTCCAATGTTCCTCTCGCTGAGATCTCTGTAGAAGCAAATTATACATTTCAAATAATATAAAAGTTTGTATGGGCCCATTCCATCAATCCAACACAAGACTAGTTAGTATTTCCTTGAGCACCCTTTTTGTCCCAGGACATATGGACATCAGATGTCATTCTTTCTTAGTTCGTATTCCATATGATGCATGTGATCCATGCAGTCCTTTTACACATCACAAATGACTCCCTGGCCCCCTACATAACATTTTCACTGTGCTACAGGGACTACGATGGGAAGAAGGGGTCAGAGAAATTCTAGCAACTCTGGAGCAACACCTTAATCCAGATCTAACAGTCTTATTGAATGTGTGAACTCAAAGGGAAAATACTTTCTACTTTAAAATGGCACTTTTGGTGTGAAAACATGCATAAGACTTGGGTGTTTGGACAACCCTTTGAGAATATCTAGCCACTATGGTCAGTAAGTAATGATGCTGTACTTTCGTCCCTTGCCCTAGTTTATGAGATACAGCTTGCACTAGTTTATTCCCTTGTTCCTGTATACAGTCGGCCATGTTTTATAAGAGTTCTCACCATAGGTTATTGGGTGCTGTTTTGAGCTTAAATTATTGCTTTAGGTGCTATTGGTTTGTGTATGCATGAGCAACACACTTCCTGGCGCTCAACAAGAGATGACACATACACAGAGTTGAGATATAAAATGGCCATAACTTGTTTACTGATTACAGGAACAAGGTTTGGCTGGCCTGCATGGGTCCTGGATCAGGATCAGGCAGGCCGTTGCTGACCAATACCACTTAACACACCAGAGGGCTGGCAGCACAATACCAGGTTAACGTTAGCGTGGCACCCCTGGTAACACTGGATGCTCCCCCCCCCCCCCCCCTCTGATCAGCAACCAGATCCATGTATGTATGTATTTATTTTCCCCGCGTGGTAGGCCTGTTATTCACACCATTGGTATTCCCTGCGCTCGCGCAGGCCAGCAACGGACATTCCCAAGCTACTAACTGACCGTTAGAGAAGCCCCGCCCCTTTCTCTCCCCCCATAAATAGCCCTGCCGCGGGGCTTCCAGCCAGTTCTTTAAATCCGCCTCAAAAGGCAGCAACGACAACTCAAGCTATATTAAAAAGAAAAGATAGAGGCATGACTACCTCTTTTAAAAAGTGCATTTTGTGTCCAAACAAGATTCCAGACAATGACGCCCACACGGAGTGTGTGGGTTGCCTGGGAGAGGCCCATCTCTCTCAGGATTGTGAAATTTGTAAGGCTTTTACGCCTCAAACCAAGAAGAATAGAGAAATAAGACTTAAAGCTGCTCTTTATGAGCAAGCATTGCTTCCCTCAGTCCAAAATGAAGATGTGGGAACGCCAAAACTGAAGATAAATAAAAAGTTACAGACTGCAGTGCGTCCAAAAGGCGCCCAGAACGACGAACTTACTGTTAAGAAAAAGAAAGGGACCAAGCCGCATGTTTCCTTAAACAGGGAAAAAATGGCGGCTCAACAAATAAAGCCGCAAATCCAAGCGGCAAGAGGCTCCCCCTTACAAAAGGGAAATCAATGTGTGGGTGAGGGGGTGACCCCTAAGCAACCCACGGAGCGGAATGAAGGGGATTGTTTGAATGAGGCAGAGGTCTCTGAGTCCTCAGTAACTCCCCCAGCGCTATCGAAAGCTATTAATGAGGCACAAACCTTGATGGATGCTCTGGCTCCAAAGCAGCCTCTTCTCCAGTCTGGACCGACAAAGGAGCCTTCCCCTCGACGCCGAAGGGACCGCCCTCCATCTCGAGCGGAAGGGAAGCGTCGGCGTCGACGGCGCTCCGTATCGAGGAGCACATCAAGCTCCTCCTCCGACTCCTCCTCCAGCTCCTCCCCCGCTCCAAGAAAGGGGAAGAAGAAGAAGACCAGGAGGGACTCTCCCTCTAGCTCCTCCCCTGTTCCAAAAAAAGGGAAGAAGAAGCAGAGAAGAAGCTCATCTTCTAGCTCCTCCCCTGTTCCAAAGAAGGGGAAGAAAAGGCTTAGAGGAAGGAGCGACAGAGCCAAGCATCAGGCTCCTTCGAATTGGGTGGGCAGACAGGATGGCAAATTAGTTCCTATGCCCCCACAGGGAGGTTATTGGCAGATGACTCCACAAGGGCAAATGATTTACTGTGCAGGCCCTGCCCCTTGTCACTGCCAGCCGAGTAACTCCCATGGAGACCTTCATGGGAGGAATCAACATACATTAAGCCAAGATGAGGACCCATTAGAAGGTCCATCTACACCCTGCTTTCAACAAGAATCAGTACTAGACCCATGTGATTCTTCTGATGAAAATGCATTTATTCTAAAGGAACCGAAAGATACAGTTCTAGATAAAACTAATGCTGAAGAATTCAAAAAATTCAATGCAATGCTGGCCAGGATGATCAAGGCTCTGGATTTACCAACACCAAAGCCACAAGACACTGTGGAAGACCCTATGTTTCCAGCTGAGCAGCAGGAAACTCCAGTTAGTACTGCTCTCCCAACTTTGCCATACTTACTCAAGCTAACAAAAGTACCTGAGGGATCTCCAGCAGCTGCACCAGCAATGCCTAGGAGAGTGGACAGTTTATATAGAGTAGACTTAGCGAATGCTGATTGGCTGGTGCGTCCGTTCAGACCCAACACAGTGATTGCAGAAGTGGGTCAAGGGAAGAAACCCAGGAAGACAGCGTCAGCCCCAGCAGATAAGGAGGGCAAGAAAATTGATGTGATGGGAAAGAAGATGCACATGGCAGCTGGCCTCATATCAAGGATGGCCCATTATGCTACGTACTTCAGCGCTTACCAGACTTATTTATGGAACAGAATGGCACCATATATTACTCTTCTTCCAGAGGATGAGCAGCGTTTACCAAATGCATTTAGTAAAGAAGCCCTTATTGTTTCAAGGTACCAAAAAGACTTTGCTAAACATTTAGCAGAATCAGCAGGCAAAATGTTTGCTATTGCTACGTCAGCTAGACGTCATGCATGGCTAAGAGCTTCGGACCTATCTGAAGAGGGCAGAATATTAGCGGAAGATCTTCCTATGCATCAGGATGGATTGTTCAATCCAGTAACAGATGAAAGACTCAAACATAACCAAGAGATGAAAAAGACCATCCAAGTTTATGGCTTTCCGAAGCAAAATAATTATCAACAGAAACCGAGGTGGCAGAATTCTTCACCATATTACAAGAGAAATTTCGGTAACTATATGACCACGCAGCAACGCCAGCAGTCATCACAATTTAACAGATCATTTGGACAACGAAAGCAGTCCTATGGGGCAAAGAATCGCTATCAGCCATACCAGAATAAGCTTAGCCGTCTGGGGGGCCCAAAACAGCGTTTTTGACATTGGTTCCGCTGTGAATGGTCCAATGGGAGTTTCCCCTGTTCAGGGAATCGATCCATATGTTGAAATTCAGAATGTTACTACAGTTACTCATAATTCCTGTTTGGGACTTTTAAGTAAGGAAATACGTGCTAAAGTGCATCCCTTTTTTGAAGATCGCTTAGCACCTTATTTTGACATCTGGTCTGAAATTACTAACGACCAATGGGTCTTAAAGATTATTAAAAGCGGTTATTTTATTGAGTTTAACGAACTACCACCAGTTGGTAGAGTTAGGGTTACAACCCCCTCCCCTTTACTACAGGAGGAGATTAACACTCTATTGTCTAAAGGAGCTATTTCTCCATTACCGCCAGGGGAACATAGGCTATGCTTCTACTCAAGATATTTCCTAATTTCTAAGAAAGGAGGAGGAATGCGACCTATATTAGACTTGAGAGATGTAAATTCATTCATAACACCTAAGAAGTTTCGAATGTTATCTTTGAAAACATTGCTTCCTTTGCTTAATAAAAATGATTGGTTCGCAACGGTAGACCTCAAAGACGCTTATTTTCATATATCAATTGCTAAAGAACATAGGAGATATCTAGCGTTTATGGTAGGACGTCAGGCTTTTACCTTCAATGTCTTGGCGTTCGGACTAGCTACCGCGCCAAGAGTTTTTACCAAGTGCATGGCGGCAGTGGCGGCTTCCCTACGCACCTCAGGGATTACGGTCTATCCGTATATAGATGACTGGTTGGTAACTGCGAAATCTAGAGATAAACTCATAGAGCATATCAACACAACGTTGTGTTTTCTCCAGTCCCTAGGTCTGATCGTAAATTGGGAAAAGTCCCAGCTCACCCCAACGAGAAGAATACAGTTTATCGGAGCGATATTGGATTCGCAGTTGCAGAGGGCGTTTCTTCCGGACGACCGTTTCTTAAACTTAGAAAGATTAATACGGGAGTTGCTCCAACGAGACAAAGTTCAGGCCAGAGAGATTCAAGTGGTCCTGGGTCACATGGCCTCTACAACAGCAGTAACCCCTCTAGCAAGACTGCACATGAGACCGCTACAATCATGGTTCCTGTCAGTATTCAATCCTTTGGTGCACAGGCCGTACACGCTCCTCTCATTACCTGGGGTGATACAAGAATCCCTATTGTGGTGGTTGGAGCGCGGCAATGTATGTGCGGGACTGCCTTTCCGGGAGTCTGCTGCTTCCAAGGTTGTAACCACGGACTCTTCACTTCTGGGGTGGGGAGCTCATGTGGACGATCTCACAGCTCAAGGGAAATGGTCAGCAATGGAATCTGTTTTACACATAAACCAATTGGAACTACTTGCAGTAGACAAGGCGCTAAAGGCCTTCGAACCAGTGTTAGAAAATCGAATTGTCCAAATTCTCACAGACAATACGACTGTGAAATTTTACATCAACAAGCAGGGCGGCACACATTCCCCCACTCTGTTGGCATTGACACTTCAAATATGGCACTGGTGTGTGGAGAGGAAAATCCAACTCACAGCGGTCCATCTGCCAGGGAAACAGAACACCCTGGCAGATTTCCTAAGCAGAAATCCTCTCAGCCATCACGAATGGTCACTGCACGGGGAGGTAACATCCCTTCTTTTCAAAACATGGGGAACACCAGCAGTAGATCTGTTTGCGACGCAAGAGAACAGGAAGTGTCGCCTGTTCTGCGCGTGGACAGGAGGGGATATGAGACAGGATTGTCTAGGGGACGCATTCTTACTCCATTGGGGAATACGGGAGGTTTATGCATTCCCACCATTCCCTCTGATACTGAGAGTAGTCTCAAAACTATGCCAAGACAGGGCAACGGGAATCCTTGTAACTCCATGGTGGCCTCGCCAGCCGTGGTTTGCCCTAGTACTTCGATTGTCAAGGAAAATTTACAAACCACTTCCAGGCAGAAAGGACCTGTTATCAATCCAGAACAATCAGGTCCTATACCCAGACGTTCAGACCCTGAGGTTGACTGCTTGGAGGATCCTTCCAATTCAAGAGGAATGAATTCGGATTTCTCCAAAGATGTGAAAAGGGTCCTTGAGGCAGCACAGAGGGTATCCACAAGAAAATCATACATTTACAAATGGTCACGGTTTACGAAATTTGCTCAGGAAAAAGGAACAAACCCATGCACAGCCCCAACAAGGATAATACTAGACTTTTTGATGTCACTTGCTAACCAAGGCCTTACCTTGTCCTCATTGAAGTGTTATTTAGCTGCTCTAACATGGTTCCGTAGAAAGGCAGGACTTCCGTCTTGTTTTAGCGATCCGCTAGTTTCACAATTCATGAAAGGTTTTGGAAATATCAGGCCCCCAGTAACGCCGGTGGCCCCGGCATGGAGCCTGGAGGTAGTTCTCTCGGCTCTGACGAGACCACCATTTGAACCTATGGCAACAGTAGATCTGTCTTTCCTATCTTGGAAGACAGCGTTCCTGGTGGCTATAACATCAGCACGCAGAGCAGGAGAGATTTGTGCACTTAGACATGACGAACCGTATTTAAGATTGCACAAGGATAGAGTGGTCCTTAGGACTGACCTAGCTTTTCTACCAAAGGTAGCCACGAAATTTCATCTCTCTCAAGAGATAGTACTTCCTGCCCTTTTTCCGAACCCAACTTCTCCTTTGGAGAAGACCCTTCATTTACTGGACGTACGTAGGGCCATAATTTTTTATTTAGACAGAACTTCAGCTATTAGGAAATCCCCGAGGTTGTTTTTGAAGTACCGCAAGGATGCGTTAGGCTTCCCAGTGTCATCACAGCGCCTTTCATCATGGATAGTTTTAACAATACGAAAGGCTTATACTTTGGCAGGGAAGGACTTACCTTTACAGGTGAAAGCTCACTCTACAAGGGCGATGGCGACGTCGACGGCGTTCTTACGTGGAGTACCATTGGATGCGGTGTGCAGAGCTGCAGCTTGGTCAACTCCGTCTACCTTTGTGGCACATTATAAACTGGATATAGCATCAAAGAAGGATGCAGCCTTCGGACGGGCGGTCCTGTTTTCAGCTGTGGCATGACACCCTCCTCCAAGGTTAGCAGCTCGCTAGTCTACCAATGGTGTGAATAACAGGCCTACCACGCGGGGAAAATATGGGTTGCTTACCTGTAAACATAGTTTCCCGAGTGGTAGCCTGTATTCACACGTCCCGCCCATCCTCCCCACTCTTTTGGTCATGCCCCAGGGCTTCTGGCTGCCTTTTTTTGCGGCGGAAGAACTGGCCGGTAGCCCCGCGGCAGGGCTATTTATGGGGTGGAGAGAAAGGGGCGGGGCTTCTCTAACGGTCAGTTAGTAACTTGGGAATGTCCGTTGCTGGCCTGCGCGAGCGCAGGGATTACCATTGGTGTGAATACACAGGCTACCACTCGGGAAACTATGTTTACAGGTAAGCAACCCATATTTATGTCAAGTTAACATGGAACCAAAAACATAACATTGTAGAGTGAGTGGAATGGATAAATACTAGATGCAGGTACGGTGCCTGCCATGGCCCAGGGCAGACTTACAAAGGCTGCCAAAAGAGGATGGTGGTGAGGGCCAGCCAATACAGGGCAAGTGGGGGGTCTGCTGCCGATAGGCAAGCTGGCAATGAAGCGAGAAACTTTCCCGCTGTGCAGGGGACTTCTGGGAGGAAGAAGCCCCCCTCCAGGCGCCATGTCCAATTTGAGGGCACCCAGGCTTGCAAAGGCCCTGCCCTGTAAGTTTGAGCTTTTATTGTGTATTTAGGTGGTATACAAATACCAAAAATAAATAATATAAATAAATAAATAATATAAATAAATAAATTGTGCCATATTGTAAGCCATCCTGAGTCCCTTTTGGGAGATGGAGGTGGGGTACAAAAATAAAGTTATTATCATTCTGTTCTAGAATGCAACTACACCCTTTATTGAACAGTTATATAAAAGTAACTGGTGGCTTGTGGTTCCAATGTCAGTGGGGCAGTGATTCTATTTTGGGTAATACAGTAGAGTTTCATTTAACCGACCTTTGCTTATCCAATATTCCGTGTTATCCAGTGCTCTCTATTGGGATGCTTGCACCAGGAAAGGGGAAAAGGAATCCTCTGGTGCGGCCTCCCTTTAGCTCGAAGGCAGGGCAACGTGCCCTTCAGTGCCTTAGTGACAACGGCAAATCTTGGTTGTCTGGCAATGGGGAGAGCCGTTGGAGAGCACTTGTCTGCACCATGCGTGGCGTCAGAAGAGGAGCAGAGGAGGCACGAGGTGGAGGTATGGATGGAGGGAGGGGGCCCAAAGCGGAGGGCGGCCTCCACGGCTCTGAGGGGTAGGGTTTGGGGCTTCTCCAGGCCAGAAGAGAAAAGGTAGAAAATGCTCCCGCTTTCTTAATCCCTCCATATTTTCCAACATTTTCGGCTATCCGATGTTCTGCTGGCCCATTTATGTTGGATACGCGAGACTCTACTGTAGTTCAAAATGTAAAGCAGCTATTCGTGGTGCTGAACCACTCCTTTAAAGTCTGGATTGGAACCCAGAGTTCACCACTGTGCCAGCAATGCAGGAATCTTACACAATGAAATCAATTTCCCTCTAATAAGAATCACAATAGCTCAAGTGCTATCAATCAAAAGGTTTTCTGCAACAATTCGATTTTTCTCTTTTAGCACAAATGAAAAAAGAACACAAAAAATAGCCAAACCCCTGTTCTATGGTTCTTTGCAACCCTGTTAAAGCATTATTGTGTAAAAACAAAATCAAACAAGGCAGTCAATTGAAAAACAAAGAGATGTATATATATTTTCAGTTTCAAAAACTGACAAATGAGTATCAAAGAAGGAGAATAAAAATGCTGCTTGAGCCTTGAAGAATAAACTAGAGGGAATTCATTTAACTAATACAAACCTTGTGATTTTGGTTACAAAAATTCCAAATTATTGTCACCTCCATCAAAGAAAAACAAAGCCAAGTATTTGGTGAACAGGGTTGAATTAACAAATGAAATATTATGAAATGAATATCACCTGATAATATTATCTGTCTCCTTACCTTCTGTGATATCAAAGATTTCTTTACACCCTTATTGAATTTTTCAGGTTCATTTTGTATAGATCCAGGTGGCATTTTACGCTGCGTCAACTTTTCCTCTATTTTTTCTTGTAGATCTAAAATCCGTTTATCTTTCCAAATGGCTTCATGGAAAGGTTTTTTGATTTTCTTTTCCTCCTGTCTGCAAAGCAAGTTAAAAGACTATGTAAGCAGGCAGCATATAAGAATATTGTGACAATGTTCAATTCAAAGTATGAGCTTGCCAAGATTAGGCAATTCAAGTCCTACTGTATCTTTTATGCATCTTACTGTATCTTTTACTGTATCTTTTACAAATTATATTTTAATATGTGTATTTTTGGTATTTTTACAATGTGTATGTGTTTTAATTATTCTGTAGCCTGCCTCGATCCACAAGAAGAGGCGGGTAAGAAATAAACTTATTATTATTATTGTGAAGTCTCGGCCTAGTATTTATTTCCCTGTTTGCTTTCTTGCCTGTGGACTGTTCCATTTTGCTAAGTTTAGGGGAGAAGCTTAGGTTCCCCCTAGAGGCCGAGCTCGGTTGGTGCAGCCCATTCTGACTCAGAGCCAGAATGGGCTGGTGAAAGAACCTTTTATTGCATTCTTTTTGGTCTTAGCTTGAAGTTAGTTAGCCAGAAAGTGTCTGGTCTGGCTTAGCAGTCTGGACAGGCTATCCTTAGTACATACATGCAATAGTTAATAGATATACATGCCATAATTAATAGTTGTACATGCCCCATAGATTATAGATTTGTATATGCTATAGAGACTAGCGATAATAGATGTACATGCTTCTCAATAGAACTTAGAGTTTATATCATTATAGCTTATTTTTACCTCATAATCTCCTGTTATCTATATTTACCTCAAAGTTATACCTTATATCATCAAGAATCAAACTGTACCTTGTTTTAATTCACCTTGATTGTTCAGTAAACTTAATTGGTTGAATTTTAGTCTCGTCTTTAGAGTTTTATTTTGGGGGAATTAAAGTACTCATAGGGCATACCGATGGTCACTGGGAAAATAGCCAGACACATTTAGTTTTCTCATTAGATCTTCCAGGTGTGCCATCATAATTATGGTGTTGTCGAAAGCTTTCATGGCTGGAATCACTGCGTTGATGTGAGTTTTCTTGGCTGTGTGGTCATGTTTCAGAAGCATTCTCTTCTAACATTTCACCCACATCTATGACAGGCATCCTCAGAGGTTGAGAGGTCTGTTGGAAACTAGGCAAGTGAGGTTTATATATCTGGGGAATGTCCAGGTTGGGAGAAACACAAAAATGCTGGACCACTCTAACAATTACCATGTCAGACTACACAGAGAAGCCACTGAAATCCAAAAGCATGTGGACAGTTTCAACAGAAAGGAGGAAACCATGCAAATGAACAAAATCTGGCTGCCAGTATTCAAAACTCTAAAATCGGGATAGCAAATAAAGAACAACACTAAAAAACGGGAATTCCAGACAAGAATCAATCAGGGTTAGCTAACATCACCCAAGAAAGGTTCTCCAGGCAGCAACCAGCTAGGCTTTGAAGCTGCAAGGCCATTAAATGCTAATCAGCAGACAAGAGTTTTTCCCTCCATGCTGGACATTCTACAGATATATAATCCTCACATTCCTAGTTTCCAACAGACCTCACAACCTTTGAGGACATCTGCCATAGATGTAGGCAAAACGTCCTTTGATGCATTGGTCAGAACCTTAAGATGGAGCTCTACAGGTTCCAAAAAGATATATGCTAAAGGTTACAAAGAGACAGACTGGATTTAAACTACAGAAGACAGAAGATTGTGTTTTGATGAAAACCTGTGATGTAAATTGGTGAAGCAAACATTGCTTTTAATATTTGCTCCACATCCATGGTCAATATGATTTACCAATAACCGGGGTATTAGCTGAGGGTATGGAGCTAAGTGGCAGAATTCACCGATAATAATAATAATAATAATTATTATTATTATTATTATTATTATTATTATTATTGTACCCTGCCTCCATCTCCCCAAAAGGACTATTTTTCTTATGGAACTCCCACAATCTTTAAACAATAATAATAATAAAATTCTATTTTTTACCAAAATACTCACTTTTGTCATAATATTAAAATATGCCCCTCATATTGATGAATAATTATTTGCAGAAAGGTATAACAAATATTACTGCATATCAAACTAACTTCAAGGCCGCTGCTCTTCCTAATTGTTCTCTGAACACAGAGATCTGTTCCAGGGTGTCCAAAAGAAGCTGTTCCTTCAAGTATTTTTCATGGATTATCTGATCCCTCTTCTCCTCTTCAGCCTTCTTCTGAGCGTCCTTCAACAAGGCTAATCGTTCTTGCAGTTCAACTATTGACATCTCACCAAGAACACCATGATTAGGGGTCTACAAAAAATAATAACAGTGATGAAAAATTCTGTACTTTTGGTATGTCTTAATTGATGCACTAATTAGTGTAAACTATGCTATCATTAGAAATAGGATGGGAAAAACTGTGCCTCTCCAGTTATTTCTGACCTACAATAATAATAATAATAATTATTATTATTATTATTAGATTATTATAAGATTGAGCTGCAAAGACTCTGGCACAAGCCGGTAAAGGTGGTCTCAGCGGTGATCGGCACACTGGGTACAGTGCCTAAAGACCTTGACCTGCACTTGAAAACAATTGGCGCTGACAAAATTACCAAATGTCAGTTGCAAAAGGCCATTCTACTTGGATCTCCACACATTATTCGCCGATACATGACACAGACCTAGACACTTGGGAAGTGTCTAACATGTGCACCAATACAACAACCAGCATAGTGATCTTGTTTGCTGTGTACTAATCTTGTACTATTATTAGTATTAGTATTAGTATTATTATTTTACTGACACAAAAGCACAGTATGTCACAGCAAATGAGATCTATATGCTGGATTTATCATAAATTATTATTATTATTACTGTTATTATTATTTCTGTCCTGTTTATCTTTTTTTTAAAGAAACCAATATTTGTTACCAGGCATAGCCTTTAGAAAATAAAGAAAGCATCAAAGGACTCTTTTTTCCTCTCTTCACTGTTCCTGCCTGTCTTAAATGTCTGTCCATTTCTAATCAGATGAAAGCCTTTATCTGGTTTTATATATCTCTATTACCTTCACCTTATATATAGCTATCTTTTTTCTAAACGGAATAACCTAAGAAATAGATTCATCCTAACTTTCTGGACTTCTGGAACAGATGTTGGAATAATAATACACATTACTTTAACCTAAATGTGTTCATGAATGCCCCCATGAGTTCCATCTCACGGAAAATTTAGATCGAAAACACAAGACGATTCTTAAACAAGGCGCATGGATGATAATCATGGCCATTCCTTCACATATATGATGCTTTCTAAAATTATGAATCGGGGAAACAGAAATCAATTTTATTTCTAAGGGAAAGTGAAGAATCAAAGGACCCTTCATACTGCCTTTGGCTTTAAATTAAACTTCAGATATAAAACTGACCTCAATCACTTTTACTATTTAATGTTACTGGATCTCATTCTAAACAATGACAGATAATTGTCTCACAGAGATATTTGATAATGATTCAAGGATAATCAATACATATACTATATTTGATTTGATTTTAAAGTATGAAATACCTGTGTTAGGTCAACAAATTTATTCTTTATAAATGGCACATATTCGATTGCCCTTATTTGTTGAATGAGTTCGTATCTTTTTTTAGCTTTCTCTTCTTCTTCTTTCAAAGCCCGAGCAAGGATTTCTTGGCTTTCTTCGGCCACTTCTTGAGCTGCAAAAGGAAGGAAGGGCTCACTAAGTAGAAGAATTTTCAGACATCGTCTATCTGGATTCATCTTTTACCTTCCTCTCTCCGGACTAATGTATCATTCGCATGTGGCCCTCATCTTTCCAGGAACATTCAAGGATTTTATAGAACAATATATTCTGAATACTCTGAATAAGCTAACGCCTGAATAAGTCTGAACGAGCATCCTGTTAGTAATATATGCAGATGTAATTAAGACTTATGCATACTGTATTTAAGACATGGCGCAAAGAAATTGAAAGGTCTCTTGTAACTGTAATCCTTTGACTGACCATCTTTAAAGTGACAAAGATAGGGTTTACAGTGCCTGCACAGTATATCATTTGAAACTTTCTAGAGGTGTCATGTAAATGTTTTGGCAGTAACTCCTCCTCCCTTGGTACACATGGCCAGCCTTATTCCTGCTGAAAGTCTCCATTCCCTAGGGAGCTAGGGAGATCAGGACATAATGTGGTGGGGCGGGGGGAGGTTGTCGTGTGAGTTCACAGATGACTTGCAAAGGGTGGCAGTCCTCTCAACATAGAAGGTGAGTGTTCATTGAATGTAAATACAATGAAGACCCAAGGCAGGATTCTGCATGAATGCAGGCAAGACAATATCCTCCTAGTTTAGAGGGGAAAAACAATAACCACTTAGGGGGCAGGGGGAATGATATTCAGTCGCAGCATCATTTTGCCCTCGTGGAACCTTAAGTATGAAGGTACCACATAAAAGGCACAGAACTCTCCTGTCCTTCTGATAGACATTATTGCCATCAAGAAGGTTGTCTTCCAGATGAGAAGATAGATCTTGAGCTCCACTTTGCTTGCATGGGAGATCAGAGCAGTAGCCAAGAGATATTAAGCATTTCCAATATGTGGACCATTGTTTGTTGGCAGACTTTTGTTAAAATGTTGATGAATTACATCTCTATGGCTTGAGTATCCTTTCTTTTGGTATCATATCTTTTTAGTTATGTTCAGGATTCTGAAAATATTTCTGTCACTTTTGTTTTGTTTCTTGTCTGCTCTTAATAATTTGAAGGGTTTTAGAAACAAAGTGATTTTGATGATGTATGGAGAAAATTTATTTAAAAAGGATTTAAAAATAAAGAAAGTTGCCTCCACAAGAAGAATTGACATTTTGGACAGATGATATGTAAAAGCCGTGGCTTGGGAGGGGAGCACAGCGGTGAGGGATAGATAATATGTATAAACAGAAAAATAATACTAGATGCCAAAAGTTAAAGCATGGTAGGTTGTATTGAATAATATGTATCTGCTGTAAAACAAACAATGTATAACAAATGTATTGAATCATGATAAAATGTTTAAAAATATCATTAAAAAAACCAATTTGAAAAGTTTCATCTGTCATCCAGTTAAGCTTTTATTTCTTTTTGCCTGCATATACGGTTGTTGTGCATTCTTCCCTGATAATGCCCCTTGTTTTGATCCAGATTTTTTTTCTGGTTCCTTTTCAGGTAAGCCTAGTAGTGCAGATCTGTTTCTTTATATAGTCTTTAAATCTTACCATGACGCATGGACCAGCCAAACAGACACACGTTCTCTGTCTAGGTTGCGGCATAGGTCAACCAACAAAGTGAGCAAAGCTGTCTTTGTCCTATAAGCAGGCCCAAAATCAGACTGAAATGGATCAAGATAATCCATTTCATCCAGAAATCCCTGGATTTCAGAGGCCATATTATGCTCTGGAATGTTGCCCAAGAATAGGATATTCTAGACTGGCTAATAAATGTCGAGCATGGTGGATATGGAGAGGAGTTTTTTTTTTTTTTCAGAGATAGTCTCATTAGTTAGGAACCTCCAGTAGCACAATGGGTTAAACCCTTGTGCTAGCAGGAGTGCTAACTGAAAGATCAGCGGTTCAAATCCAAGGAGTGTGGTGAGCTCCCATCTGTGAGTTCCAGCTTCTCATGCAGGAACATGAGAGAAGCCTCCAACAGGATGGAAAAACCTCCGGGCATCCCCTGGGCAACGTCCCTACAGACAGCCAATTCTCTCACACCAGAAGTGACTTGCAGTTTCTCAAGCACTCCTGACAAGAAAAAAAAAGATGGAAACTTTCTTTGCTGCAGTGAAATATAAACCATTCCACTTGCACACTCAGTCAGTCCTCCTCTAGTTGCTTTAAAGAAAGGACATGGATTACTGATGGGTTCAATCTCTTCAAGAATTCTGTTCACATCCTCAGATTGAACCGATTGATATGTATCCAATAACAAAGAACATCTGCTGGTTCCTTATCAAATTCTTCACAGCAAGTAATGAACTGTCTGCATGTTGTACTTGTGGGGAGAGTATAAAAAGTCTCTAACCACCCAAAACAACTCAACTGGGTGACACTGTGCAGTGCACTGTACTGTACTGTGTACATCATAGTCTTTCAAATGAGTTCTAGCCAGTATTCAGTTAGACTTGCCAGCTTAAGTTCAAGCTCAAGGCAGCTCAGAAAAGTTAAAATGCATGCAACTGGTTTTCTTCCTTTCTCTCCTATTCACATATTCACAGAAAAAAAATAATCTGCTTTCCAGAGTCCAATCTTGGTTTGAAAGAATTCCCCTTTCCTCATAAATCATTTGCAGAAGCCCTCTTGATTACCAGAGGAGATTCTTCACAAATAACTCTGCCAAGACAGACTCCCTACACATGGATATTTAGAATACATTTAAATACTCAGTTTCTCTTTCACTCCTTAGTAATATTCCAGTGAGTGAACAAGAAGAATAGCTGCTTTTCAGAAAATGTGGAAAAGATAAGATTCTGCTAATTACCTATCTGCCGTTTACATTTTTGGAGCTTCATTTGTGCTTGCTTCACATTTTTGCGTGCTTCTGTCACCTGCTGTACAGTTTTTTGTCTTCCCCTCAGTTCTTTAAGTTTTCTTTGTTCACAATGGTGACTCATTACTTCTTCCTAAATTCCAAAGAAAATTACAAACTGCAATTCTGTCCAAGGTGCAGAACGTTTCATTTGTCAATAAATTTTCTTGTCAATCCCATCCCTCGTCTCAGCTTGAATTTGCTGCTTGTAAATGTTAAATTGCTCCATGGATTGATTTCATCAATTATTTGTGTTGGGATGAGAAAGCCAACTCAATTCTTTTATGTCACATGTTTTTTATGTCTACTGTTATATTATGTCATCTGTGATCCCACAATCTATCAGAGTCATAATAAAAAAGAGAGATAATGTTGATCTGACATAACTTAGTCTAGATTAATTTGTGATATTACTGTCCACAGACTGACTGCTTAACCACTTATTCTTGAATTTTTTTTCAGTATCGAGGTCTTATCGCTCAACTTTTCCCATTGCTCAACTCTTTCCAACTCTTTTTCACTCATCATTCAAATCCCAGGGCTTTGATGATCCCTACCTTGATAGAACTGCCTGGAAGACTAAGGAAGGTTTGGGAGACCCTTTTGGTTGTTGCAATTGTTGAAAATGTATGATATAAACCAGCTTATAACATTGCAAATAGTAAAGAAGATCCCAGGGGATCTCCTCACCCTGCTATTCAGAAATCCATCTTAATCCTTTCAGCTTCTGTGTTGCTATCCAAGTTGTCCACCCATAGAAGTCACAACCTGAAAAAATCTGAACAATACTTTAATATAGTACCATTTCCCTCTCCTGCTCAGCTTTTTTCTGATTTTCCCGAATACAATTCTGACGTGCTACAATAGCTTCCTCATAGCTTAGTTTTCCTTGCAGCCGCCTACATTCTTCTTCTGTGAGCTGCTGGTCCAAATCTTTCCTACGCATTTGCTCTTGCCATTCCAGGTATTCAGATGGATCTCGGGCTCCTCGTAGAAGGTGTTCAATTCTATATGGGGAAAAAATGAGATACTACTATGTTGCTGCATTGGGAGAGGAGAGAAAGAGAGAGCAGATACCACAGACTTCCAAAAAGTCCAATAAATTGATGCTATAACGGAACAAGCCTGAACTCTACCTAAAAGCTAAATCTAATAAACTGAGGCTTGAGATGATACGGCTCTTTAGAAAAGAATATAAAGTTTGAAAACAGACCATGTGAGTCAAAGGAGACCACAGTGAGAAAAACTACATAATGAAAAAGGATCGCAATTTAATTCCTCTTGAAATCTTGACATCATGGAGTTAAGCAAGTGATAACCAGTATGTACCTGTTAAGCTCTTCTTCCACTTTCCGCTGATAAAGGACACCTTCCCTTAAGATGGCAGTTGCATTTAGTTTAACTGGTATATTATCGATCTGTCGAGACATTGATTGCATAAATATTTAACAAAGACAGAATTTTAAAATGCAGCAAAAATTAAATACATCAAAACATTTCATAAAGTTCTGAGAGTTTGTATAAAATGTTTGGGGGGAAAATCAGCACAAAATGTGCAAGCATATTCTTTAAGCCTCTTGTAGCCCTTACTGCCAATTGCCCTTTTACACCCAAAAATAGCCTATAAAATGGGAAGTTACCCAAAAGATATTTCAGATCTGGCACAAAGCAGATCAAGAGGTACTAAAATAGCTTTTAAATAGGCAACTGCACCACCATCAAGCAACTGAGGCTGGATCTAAACTTCCATATAATCTGGATTCAGAAACTGGATTATATGGCAGATTAGATGGGGACTGATTGTTTTTGTGCTAACAATCCCTGGATATTTTTTTTCCAACTTGGATATGTGAAGTCAGGAAGTGGGAAATGTGATGAGACTTGAGGGGAGGCAATAACATGTCTACTTGTGTAGTAGATGCACAGCAGTATTTCAAAAACTAAAAGGTTAGGATGAATTGAGAGATTATTTCTTAACTAAGGGTGCATCTACACTATAGAATTAATGCAGTTTAAGCCACTTTAACTGCCATGGCTCAATACTATGGAATCATGGGAGTTGTAGTTTTTCCCTTCTCTATCAAAGAGTGCTGGTGCATCACCAAAACACAAATCCTGGAATTTCACTGCATTGAGCTATGGCAGTTAGTGGTGTTAAAACTGCATTAATTGTATTGTATCTATTTTGTAAGGAAAACTAGGCTATAGCATAATATTTATTTATTTATTTATTTATTTACTTTGCTTGTATACCGCAGTTTCTCAGCCCGAAGGCGACTCAACGCGGTTCACAATGATAATGATAATAAATTCTTCTGTATAGATGTACCCAGAGTTATCTTTCTACATGTAAAAAATAAGCTAACTAATACAGCAATAAAGTTAAAATATTGGTTCACAAATCCTCCACAAATATATCAATTTATTGGGCATACTAATGAGGGATGTGAAAGATAAGAGTATTTTGATGCACTTCCAAAAAAACAAAATCAGAGTTATCTTGCTGTCTTGAAAGAAGAAACCTTGTTGAGACAAACAGTCCCTTTGTTTTCTATTTATCAGTACAGGAAGCCAATTAAAACAATACAAAGTCATGATAATTAGGTTGCTCAAAACAGATAAGGTGACTAAACAATAAGAATGTTAGCCGAACCAGTTTCTACCCTGAAGATTGGAGCTTCCTCTTTAGGAGGATGACATGTTTCCCTGCTGTCAGTGTCCAAAGAAATGGCTTCTGAGATGTCATGCTGCCCTCAAACCAAGGAAAGGGGCCAACTGTATTGTGGAACTTTTCTTTTTGCCCATTCTCACAATAGGATGAACTGTGAACTGTACAAGCTAATCTCAGTATTACATTGCACAAACGGGTGGGGTAATGTTCAATAACATTGTAAAACAAGTGAGGTAATGTTCAATAGTTTAATAACTACAGTTATTTCACTACTGAACATTACTAAGAATTCCTGATGGATGAAACCTTCTTTTGCATAAAATGAATACAACAATTACAGCCAAAGTTCAGCAAATTCTAGACATTTCACAGCTCTACATGTTACCTGAAAATTGTCTGAAACTATTTTTCAAATATCAAAAAATGTCACCTCTGCTTGCAATATGAATTGTTCCACTTGTAATGCATCATAATGCACCATATGCATAGAACAGAAACACACAATTTGCTTTATTCCAGAATTGTCTAAAACCTATTTCAGGAATTCTTTTAAATTAAATGTCATAAGAATTCTATTCTTCCTTAGACCCCTTCTCCACTGCCATATAATCCAGATTATCAAATCAGATAATCCACATTATCTGATTTGAACTGCATTATATGAGTGTACACTGTCATATAATCCAGTTCAAAGATTTTATATGGAAGTGTAAATGGGGTCTTCAAGAGTTCTGTTCCTTTCAAATTCAGCAATGGATAACTACCAAATGTGAATCAATCCAAATTGCCATCCATCCTAAAAATCAATTAGGTAAAGAAACTCACCTTTCCTTTGATCCTCTGAGCGTGAAATTTTTTTTTAGGGTTTAGAACTTCCATTGCAACCTAAACATCATAAAATAATTATTGCAATCTTTTTTCTACAAATTATTTTATTAAAAAATAATATACAACCAAGGTAGACAAGGTACACAATTTAATGCCAAAAACAGATTGTATGATGCTAAGTCTGTACGTTGGAATTGCAGATATACACTCAAAACTAAAGTAACAATACATGCATATTTGATAATAACTGCAATCAATGTAAAGCAGTTCAGGAATAATGAAAGCAAGAGAGGTCTTTCATTTCAGTTATTATCTTTTAACTTCATATACCCACATATAGTACTGTAATAACAAAACTAAAACGGAAGTCTCACAAAGATGGTCATTTACATATTGTATCTGTAGGCTGATCTGAATTTCCAGATGAATTCTTGACCAGATAGGTCATGTTCCAGGTTTTGCAATACAAAAACACTACCACTTGGAAATATACTCTCAACAACAGAATGAAATTACAATGATTACTCCAGAGGTTCTAAATCAACATTTCTCAACCTGGGGGTCATGAGGGGGTGTCAGAGGGGTCACCAAAGACCATATTTCTGATGATCTTAAGAACCAAGTTTGGTCCAGATCCATCATTGTTTGAATCCGCAGTGATGTCTGAATGTAAGTGAACTGCAACTCCAAAACTCAAGGTTAATGCCCACCAAACCCTTCCAGTATTTTCTGTTGGTCATGGGAGCTCTATAAATCCCAACAACTACAACTCCCAAATGTCAAGGTCTATTTTCCCCAAACTTCACCAGTATTCACATTTGGGCATATTGAGTATTTGTGCCAAGTTTGGTCCAGATTCATCATTGTTTGAGTATACAAAGTAAGATCTCTGGATGTAGGTGAACTATAACTCCCAAACTCAAGGTCAATGCCCACCAAACCCTTCCAGTATTTTCTGTTGGTCATGGGAGTTCTGTGAGCCAAGTTTGGTTCAATTCCATCATTGGTGGAGTTCAGAATGCTCTTTGACTGTAGGTGAACTATAAATCCCAGCAACTACAACTCCCAAATGACAAAATCAACCCCCAACCCCACCAGTATTCAAATATGGGCATATCGGGTATTTGTGCCAAATTTGGTCCAGTGAATGAAAATATATCCTGCATATCAGATATTTACATTACAATTCTTAATAGTAGCAAAATTACAGTTATGAAGTAGCAACGAAAATAATGTTATGGTTGGGGGTCACCACAACATGAGGAACTATATTAAGGGGTCATGGCATTAGGAAAGTTGAGAACCACTAGTTGCTCTCCACCCACGTTACACATGATTACAAGATTAATTGGATTCTTTTCTTTTTTTTACTTACGGGACTTTTATGTTCAAACTTTGGGGCTGCACATCTGAACTGGTTCATATTTGCTTCTAACAGCAGTTCCTAAAGTTAACACAGTAATTTTAATAAGATGATACATTTCCCATAAATGTTAAACTTCCTTTTCTCTGGATATATAAAAGAAACTAGCATTCAAATACACTTGCAGTACAACTGGAACCTGATATATAATGCTGCAATGTGCAGTTCTGCTCTTAGGATTCCAGACACTAATTTCACTCACCGAGCCTCTTCCCAAATTTTTAAGAGAAAAATATTGATTAAAATCTACATAGAAAAAAAACTGAATAAATCATAAAAACAAACTACAAAAACACACAAAACTGTCAGATATTATCAAAATAAAGAAAAAAGAAAAAACTTACTCCATAAAAATAGAACAAAACAAGGATGCAGTCACACTTCAAAATTATAGTAGTTTGACACCGCTTTAACTGTCATGCTATAGAACTCTGGAATTTGTAGTTTACAATGACATCTGAGCTCTCTGATGAATGCTAAATACTGTATCTCACAAAATTAAAAACCCCAGAATATAGAATTGAGTCGTGACATCGAAAGTGGTGTTAAACTAATATCATTGCGCAGTGTGGTTATACCATAAGACTCACAACAACAAATAAGGAAAATAGGTTCCAGCTATATTTTGCCTCATTATATTTTAAATCTTACAATCCAATTGCTTTCCATAGGTGGCGAGTGGCGCCACCTATGTTTAGAACTGTTAGTTGCAAGATTTAAACTGTTGTATCATGCTTAATCCTGCCCCTTTTCCCCTGCTTATGTATAGTTGTATGGATTGGTTACTTATAGCTGTCAATCAGTACTGTTTGGCTCCACCTCTTCCTGCAGGAGGGGAGTGCTTCCTTTCTTTTTCATTCTGCCATCAGAGTTCCTACCATATGGACATGAGTAAGAGACTTGACTCTAAAGGACCCTGATTTAAGTTACCTCTTAGCACCAATTCTGAGGGTTTTTTTACCCTTGGGACTCATGCTTTATGTCCAGATCGTCCTGGACAACATTGAGGAGACCCAAGCGCCTTCAAACCGGTTCTTTTGGCACCAGAGGAAGATCCTGAGTCTTCAAAACATAGGCCATCTGAACTGGGGTTGTGGTTTGCTCCGGCATTCACAGCCATTGAGGAAAGAGGAAACTTGGTGAGGCTTCTCAGCTTCAAACACCTTGGACCCAGGACTAATTGAGACTGTAACGTATATTTTCCTTCACCTCTCTGAAGTTTCCAGCTCATTGCTTTAAGAAATAACTCTTTGTGATCAATAAAACTTATTTTGAGTTATTTACAGCGTTTTGGGTTTTTGGGAGATCCAGTTTCCTATAGGAGGACAAGAAGCAATCCCTTGAGGGAAAGATGCCACGTCCATCCCTCCTTCTTTAAGAAAAATAGCCCCCAAGCGCGACGGCACAACTATGGGGTACAGCTAACAAATGCATAATCACAGAGATTTGAGAAAGAGCCATGGTTTAACTGTAAATGAAAATTGGTTTACAGTTAACAAATTTTTCTCAGACATATCAACCTTCAACAGATTATTTGGTAACCACTATTATATTTCAAAATCCAGCAAATATAGTTAATATACTCCAACAATTATGTCATACAAAACAGATAACAATGAAATCAAAATGAATTCACCTCTGCTTTGCGTCGATTCTTTGACTTTATTTGTTCTAGTTTCTGACCCATTTTAGGAATCTTATAAGTGTTTGCAGGAACCTTAAACACAACCAAGAAAAAATATAGAGTTAGGAAGCATTTGACAAATAGGGTTCTGAGAGGAAAGACCTGCATGACATATATTTCAATCATTTCCCATGAATGCAACTCTGTGGGTTTGAGCAAGAGAAGTGTAAATAGTTTAATTAACTTTTGGGTTTGTTTTTTTTATAGAAACAAACATATTCAACACTAATTCATCTTAAATTGAGTGAGGTGAAGTCTATTGAGTGTGTGTTTCCAATTAAAAACTCTCCAGCTAACCTGGCAATAGAATATATTTTCAAAAATAAATTTGTGGGGAGGGAGGAGAGAAAAGACTAATATTTTTGCTTACAGAAATAAAAAAAACTTGGACCAAATTACACAGAATTTAGAGTGGTCTTGGGTATCTCTGTCTCTTACTGGATGGAACCACATTAGCCATTCAGTAAAATTCAACGAACTCCAAAATTCATATAACAATGATTTCTTTATAAGGCCAAGTTTAAAAAAAACACAAAATAAAATATACAAGCACCTAACAGTAGTGCAGCAGAGGTAGCTTTAACTCTTGTGGAATGTGCTTTCAAAGTCTCATTAACCAATTGCTATGTCAACTATGTTGTCTGAAAACTCACTTTTTGAAAAGATACCTGGAGAAATATTCAGGAATACCATAACAAACAAAAAATCTATTAGAAGGATGCACACATTGCTGGGAGAGTAGCAATGAAAGTGAGCAGGGTGTAACAGGTGATGACACAGAAGGGTACGTATGATGAAAATCTTTAAACTTCTTCACAATGGAATGTACAAGCAAAGAGGTCAGAGTTAGAGACTGATGTGAAACAACTGCCTTTGGGTATACTTTGATAGACAAGGCATGTCCTAATTGTTTCAAGCATAAAGTACAGGACTTTAGACACTACTGGTAAAAAAAAACAAACACAGTTCAGATCATGAAACTGCACCATTCTTAGTCATATTATTTCCTTATAGTGTCTATACAGAAGGCCAGGAGAACTTCTTGAATTTAAGGAGAAATAATAAAACTATTCACTTCCAGTTCTAATTGAAATCTGTCAATAAATATGGAAAACAAAACAATGACACACAGATTGGAAACACTAAATATATAGATTGCAGTAAACCCCAGACTATTGCATTAATCTCCCATGCAAGTAAAGTGAGGTTCAAATTTCTATAACAACGACTTCTACAGTATATGGAAGTAAGACATGCCAGGTGTGCAGGCTGGATTCAGGAAAGGAAGAAATAGTAGGGATCATAATGTAAATACAGTATACATTACACTAAAGAATTTCAGAAGAAAATTAGCCCATGCTTTACACATTATATAAGATTTTTTTTTATTGTGTTGATCATGAAAACTATGGATTTCTTTTTAAAGAAATGAGTGTGCCATAATATTTAATTATCCTGCTAAAAGGTTTCTATTAGGAGTACAGAATACAGTGAATACAGAGAAAATGAACATTTCCAATTGGCATGGGGATCAAACAAGGCTGCATTTTATCACCCTGATTTAGGCTTTCCCCCCGTGGGATGAGGTAGTGGAGAAGCTGTGATGGTGCAGGGCAACAGGTCCTCACACCCCCTTCCTGTTGCAGCGAGATTGCCCAATTGAACATATCCCGCATAAAGCTGGGTTAGACTTAAGGGAAGGAGGTGTGAAAATTGGATGAAGGAGCATCAACCATTTAAGAGATCCAGATGACTGCTAGCAAAAAATATCAAAGACATTGAACAATTGCTAAGTTAAAGAAGAAAGTTCAAAGAAAGCTTTACAGATGAACATTAAGAAAAAAAGATAATGACCACAGATGATTTTCATATCTTTAAAGTACAGAATAAAATAGAAATAATTAAAGCTTTTTCATACATTGTCTTAATGATGAACCAAAATGGAGCCTGCCATCAAGAAATCAGAAGGCGAAGGACCTTTTCACATGGGCTTATTTTCGGTGGCAGCAACTGGGTTCTTAATTTTGGCCACAGAGCCTGACAGCTCCCATCACATCCAGTACAACAACTCCCGATGCAACTCTGTGGCCAAACTGGAAAAAAAAACCCAGCCACTGCCGAAAATAAGCTGGTGGTGGATGACAGGAGGCTCCCTGTCTTTCCATTAGGAAAGATAGGTCGAGCCAGATTTAGGCTTCCCCCAGTGGGATGAGGTAGTGGAGGAGCTGTGATGGTGCAGGGCAACAGGTTCCCACGCCCCCCTCCTGTTTGGGTGCCACTGGCATGCAGCAAGATTGCCCAATTCCAGCAGCGCATGTGACAAGATGGTACAACATGGAAATATTGCTATGAAGGAACTAGGTTCAATCCTGAATCTATTATTCTATGAAGTATTTCACACGCACATATACATTTCAGAAGAAGAATCTCTACAAAATAATTCCTATCCTATATTTCATAAATTGTTTGTTTATTTATTTATTCATTAGATTTGTAACCTGCCTTTTTCCTGGGATGATATCCACGGTAGCTTCCAAAAGTTTAAAACAGAACTTAATAAAATCTCATTTTATAAAAGTAAAAACAAAAAAGAATTAAATGCATTAAAAAACTTTCAAAAGCCAAGAATTTTCGAAAACAAACAAATACTTACAGGTCTTGTTTTCTCTTGCTGTGGAATTAGCTCAGGAATCAGTATAGCTCGTGGATTAGGTACTGTCAAGTTAAATTCCTGTGGTTTAGTTATCTTTGAAGTTATAGTAGTGTGTTTATCGAATTTATCATCGAGTCCATCAATCATTTGTTGTATTTTTGGCTGCCATCTTTAAGTAAAAAGAATATATATTTTTACTTTCATTTCCGTGCAGTGTCTGTTAATATATTCCTACTCATGTCATACTGATATACTGGGGGTCCTTCTACACAGGCCCTTAAACGCAGAAAAAACTGGGATAAAAGGCGGAGTGACTAAATGACATTTAAGGAAAATGCACAGTGATTTGCATTAACAGCTGAAAAACATGTGTTAAAAAGGCATATGAAACCACTGGCATTTTTTTGTTGTGAAGCAGTGTTGGTATAGTACACAATGATACTTGTGCGGTTTGTTGAAACTTACTTGATTCTGTAACAATGCCAGAATCATGAACTACCATGGCCTTTGCGGCATCTGTGCACACATCAATACAATTGTACCATGGTATCAAGTTTTCAATTAAGAAGGCAACAAGCAGGGGAAAAATTTACTACTGCTTGTTGACATGGAAGTGGCTTGCAATACAAAATATTTTCATAAAAAAAACCTGAAAATTTGTACCGCACAAACACCTTAAACACAGCTAATCTGACATCATCCATAGATTTGTCCAGTTGTAACAAAAATTTTGTTTGACTTATATGGAAATTGTGGCATTTTAAACACTGTTTGATAGATCCTGGATTAGATTACACACAATGTTATTTGATATGAGCACAATAGATATCAAGTTTGAAGAGTTTTTTTCCACCACGCAGTTCACTACCTTCACTAATAGTGGTTTTATAAGAGTTTCAGCAAGGGTGTGAGGTTTACCAGCAAGAGCCAGGTCATGTCTTACAGCTGTTGTTATCCCCCTTTGACTGAGCAGTGGTTGATAGCTAATGACTCTCAGGTCTTATGGAGCCCATCTTAAGCCACAGTTTCATTTCAATGGCAGTTTAGCAGTTAACAATTGGAGGAAGAAGAGGAGGAGGGACGCAACATAGGCTGCTTGATGAAGCCTCTCACAATCACTCGCGGAGCCCCAATGGCTCTGCGGAACACACTTTGGGAACCACTAAACCAGGCATCCTCAAGCTGCGGCCCTCCAGCTGTTTAAGACTCCAACTCTCAGAGGCCCTAGCCAGCTTGTTCAATGCCCCGGAATACTGGGAGTTGGAGGCAAAAATGGCTGGAGGGCCACAGTTTGAGGATGCCTGGTCTAAACCATAGTGCGTTCTTCTCCTGGCAGCGGAATGAAGGAGGTAAGATGTCATATAGATTGTATCAGTCTCACAGCTTCATTATGGATTATGCCACCACCCCAATGGAGGGCTGAGATAGTGAAAACAGTATTGCAAGATGCTCGCTACCACATGAGATATGGTGATCCTTTTCCATGGTGAATCAGGCTCAAAGGACAACAAGAACCAAGCTTGAAGAGGCCTCATCTGTATAAAACTGCCGGGAGGTCTTGGATTGGGTACTGGATGCTACCCCAGTAAGTTCCTGAATCCATGACTTTGTAAAGTCATAGGTGAGCACTCAAAGTACTAGTTACAAGTAAGGACCTCTCCTCCTAAAACCATAATGTGGTGAGTCACAGAAACCACAAAGAAGAATGAATTCATATTAAACAATAGTCTCAATGGTCCAATGGAATTCACAGTAGTGCTTTTAAAAAGTTCAGAACTACATGTCCTAAATTACTAATATATATAATTTATCATGAATATAAATTTCCTTACTAGTAGATGGGCATCGAAGTACAATTAAGACAAAAATACATTGCCAGATATTGCATAGTCATTGGCATAAAATATGACTTTATCTATTTACTTTTAAGGCTTTGCTTTAATATTCCACTTCTTTGTTTCATTCATTCCAGTCACTTTGATTTTACATTTAGAGATGTTACTACTGCTTGTTCTGAGTGTTCTCAGTTAAATGATAACATTCTCCAAGATCCTGGATTGATTTCAACTGCCAAAGGCTGATAGTATCAGCACAGCCAAGTTCTCATTTCATTGCATTATAAAGAACCATAAGAATATACTAAGAAGAACAAGTTAAATCTTAAGAAGCTGGCTACTAGTAGTTCAAAAGCAAGATCTCATTCATGCACAGCCAGGGATGGAAGTCAGGTTCCTTTCTACTCTTGTTGTTGTTTTAAACCAGCAAATGCTTTTGTCTCCACTTACATCCTTCTAGGTAGGCTGATAAATTGCCAAGAAATATAATTCAAAAACAATTTAATATCTGATTTCTGCAATATAGTTGAGGTGTATTTTAGCAAAGAGCTAGATTAAAATCTATTCACATGTGTTCTCATAAAATGCCTCTCAAATGGAGTCCAGCACAGAGCAGATATTTTAATCCACAAGAGACCCCCCCACCCGATATGCTGGACTATACAGTCAAAGCACTCTTAATTGATGGGAGGGTATTCCACTGTTGAACAGTTCTTACCATCAGCAAGTTCTTCCAAATATTTAGGTGGAATCTCTTTTCCTGGAATTTGCATCCATTGTTCTGTGTCCTAGCCTCTGGAGCAGCAAAAAACAAGCTTACTCCGCTTTCAGTATGACATCCTTTTACATATTTAAACACTGCCATTATGTCTACTCTTAACTTTATCTTCTTCAAGCTAAACATACCCAGCTCCCTAATGTGAAGATATAATTGACGCTATAGTGCCAGACTCTGCACCATGAGTAAACAACAATTTTTCAGTACAGCCAACGTTTACCATGTTCCAGCTGTCATGATTTTTATAGATTCATGTGGCAATGTAATGCAAACCTTTCTCAGAAATACTGCATTTGCTTAAGATGCATAAAATTGTACTGATACTTACCTTTGCAATGGTTTGATCCAGTTATTATTTACATAAACAGAATCATACATTTTGTTCCATTCATCTTTTATCCATGTACTCAGATTTATTCTATTGAAAAAGAATCTAAGGAACTGAAAACAAATTATGGAGTAATGAACGTTGGGTAAATACAGAGAAAATGTAGAACGTGCCATTCTTTTAAAAAATATAACATGTACCATAATCAACTGTTGAATAAACAACTGGTCACATTTTATATTTTTATAATTCTATTGAACATAAGTAAAGGTAAAGGATTTCCCCTGATATTAAGTCCAGTTGTGTCAGACTCTGGGTTGTGGTGCTCATCTCCATTTCTAAGCCAAAGACCTGGCGTTGTCCATAGACACCTCTAAAGTCATGTGGCTGGCATGACTACATGGAGTACTGTTACCTTCCCGCCGGAGCGGTACCTATTGATACCATATTATCCATATTACTCCAATACTTTTGAAAAGAGGGTTTCCTACTTTGAGATCTGATTTTGGGCAACCAACTAGTACCACTTTGTTTTTCTTTATCTAGTTTTTGAGCCACAATCATTTGCATCTTAACAATATTCCATATCCTTGGTGTATCAAGTGGTAACAAAAAAACTAAACCATTTCATTCCCATCCTATATAACACAACAAATGTGGAAAAGTCAAATTAGGATGGTTTTGCTTGTTTTGTGGCTATCTCTGAACAGCACAACAGAGAAAGTAATATGATGAGGTAATGCTTTAAAGCAAAAGGAGAGTGAGAAGGAAAAAGAAAAACTCTTCTGCTTCAAATAATGGAAAATCAACTCAAGAATAAGTAAGCTGTAGTATGATTGATAGTCTATTTGTTTCTTTTTAAAGAGGCTAAAATTATTACAACATTCAAGAGACAATCCTGCTCATCACTCCTCAGCCTGCATCAAGATTTAAGAATTCCTGCCAAATCTTTTGGAAATTGATACTCTTTTGAATCTAAATATAGCACACTATTTGATGGGACAGTATATTTAGAATATACTGCCTACATTCTTTGAGACTTTGGAATTCATGTATTCTTTCAGTTCTACAATTTTATATTCTGAGGTGTATGTATGACATACTTAAACCAAACCCAACATTCCTTCATATTCTAGCCAGCTAGCTTGTTTTATCTCAGGGTCAGCTTGCTTTCTACAGTATAGGCTACTTTTAAGATTATATTAATCCTGGGATATTTTACAGTAAGATTGAGATTATATTCTTTCCCTCCTCCTTCTCACACTTCTATGCATCCTTTTTGCTTCCACACATTAAATAACCGCAATGCTATTATTTTGTTTCATTTTCCCAAAAGCACAATTATTTTAATTACCTTACATATCTTAGGAACATCCAGTGATTTGATAATTCTGCTGAACTCCCGAAGTCCAAGTTCTTCCAGTTGAAAAATGGCCAAATAACAAACAACTATCAGAAGACAAATACATAAAGACCAATGTCATTTCAGATAATGGATCCATTGTATTTTGAAAAAGTTTTTAAAATACCATGTCATTACTCTGCATGACACTTTTGTGTATGTTACAGTCAAGTCTAATTGGACAGAATAGCTTTCTACTATGAATAATTTATTACATATTACCATAATAATTCATTCCTAAGTCTTCACACACATTCATAAATAAAATAATTATTCTTAGGAAGCCTCTATCAGCTTTGCACATTTGGATCTTGCAATCGGTCCATCATTTTTGGCAAAACTGCTACAAAGTTGTTAGTCCTGAGTACATGTTATGCACTAGAATAATCAACTATTGTAGTACACCCACTTCTTTTAGAGTGATACATTTTATATATACTAAAGAAATATGAGTTGCAACCTCACATGGGATTGACCTAACTTTATACTGGGGTCACTACAAACTTCTGAGAGAACTTAGCAAACAGAAAGGAGGTGAGGGAGGAGGAGAAGAGGCCAGGAGTTTCTTCCTGGAACCTTGCTGCCGTTGCTTGCCTTAGAGAGAGAAAAGAGAGCGGGGAAAGGAGGAAGGGAGGGTTTCATTGGAGACCCAAGCTTTGAGACCTCTGGAGCAGAGAGAGGAAGCACCCCTCTCACTTGTGAGCGTATCTGGGTTTTCCCTTCTCATCTTATGAGTATTGTGTGGGTTTCTCCTTCCCGTCCTGTCTTGTGAGTGTGTTGGTCTTTCCTTTCCTTCCCATCTTAGGAATCTGGGTGTCTCTCCTTCCTTTACCATCTTAGAAGTCTGGGGTCTCGCCTTCCTCCTTTCTTTCCCATCATGAGAGTCTGAGTGATTTCTCCTTCCTCTCCATCCTGTTGTGTCTTCATTACAGTGGGAGAGGCATCAAGTCTAGACTTAATTCTTCTCTTTCACTCCTTTTGCCTCAGTAAAGTCTGATTTGTATACATATTTTACATATCTGGGGTGGCATATACATTTCACAGACAAAATGGGGTCAGGACTTGAAAAAGTTTTAATAAGCCCTGATCCATACAATCAAAGACTTTGCTATAATCTTAAATAGGTCATTTGCTGTTGCAAACCTCTGTTTTAGGGCTACAGAAAATATGACTAATATTCTTAAGAAGATTATGACACAAAAAAGTAGAATGGATTTTAAAATTAAGATCTTTTTAAAGGAGTGGAGGCGGAACCTGATCTCTCAATCTTGTTAATTTCCTCAGACCTCCTTTCAACACAGTTGCATTATATACTTGAAGACTATCTAACTTTTCCTCCTTTCTCTCCCCCTACATAGGCTAACAAAAAAACCTCTCAATCTAGTTCCCATATTTCTTTTCTACCCTTTCAAATGGAATTAGATTCTCAGTTTCAGAAATTTTTAGTCAGATTTTAAATCAGTATATACAGGCTCTAGACCACACGTGTTAAATACAAGGCTTATAAGTCAAATTCAGCCTACCACCTCATTTTATGTGGTCTGCAAGGCTTTCAGTTCCAGGGGAACATAGTTACTTTTATACAGTCTTACATTTACAAATGGCCCTTAGAAACAACCATAAAGCTGATGTGGCCCTCAGGTTGACACCCCTGATTGAGACCATATGCAAAGATTTAAATAAATATTCTTATGTCCTTGTATATTTACTGTAAATTTATTATTTTATATAAATTTTAAAATGCAATAAAATATACAAAGCCTGAAATAAACTGAGTTTTTTCTACAATAAGCAGCCATATCTTGGGCTCTTTGCGATCCTTGTCTCATTTTTTCTGTGTTGTAAATATATAGAAATTGTATCAAGCAGAAGTTAAATAAAATTGGAAGGTGGGAAAATATATCTGCCACATTGCAATTGCTTTCAAATATGTACAAAAGATATAAACATAGAGGAATATGTTTCAAGTGCATTCCCTTTGAAATCTTACACAAGGAAATACATTTTAAAGCATTTTTTGGAGGAGGTAGCTATTTTGGCATCAAAAAACATAAAATCTAGTTTCACTTTAAAGTTTCCTTATTTTAACTGATATAAACTTTCACAGACTGTAGCCTCAGGCCCCATCTGCACTGTCAGGTTATCTGCTTTGAACTGGATTATATGGCAGTGTAGACTCATATAATCCAATTCAAAAAAGATAACGTGGATTATATGCTTTGATAATCTGGATCATATGGGAGTGTAGACAGAGGCTGCAGACACACTGACTGTTTTCTGTGTCTTTGGCAAACTGTGTCCCAAGTGTTCCTGCACCTAAAATTTTGGAACACAATTTCAAGTGAAGCAAAATATTAAATGAATAAAATCATCCAGGTACAACAATTAACAAAACCTTAGATATTTTTAATGTTCCATTACACCCTGACTACATAATTAAATACCTACCTATATACAGATTGCGTTCAGACAACAGGCAATGTTTCCCATCTCGACTATAGAATGCGCTGACCACCACATCCAGAAGAGGCTTAAATTCTATACAGCCAGCCAATGTCTCCATCAAAAAAGTTTCATTCTTCACTTTAGAATTCTAAAAAGATAAAATTGATTTCAATTTTAGGGGGGGGGGGGAGTTTCACACAGAGGAGGATGGAGATCACCCCCATATTGCATGAAATGATAACTTGTGTGTCCAATAAGAATGTCTGACTTAAACACACTACAGGCCCTTTGGCAGTGATGGAAGACTTTTGAGAAAGATTGTGAGGTTGATGCACACTTCATGAATTATCATTCGGGGGGGGGGGGGGGCTGATGGTGCCATACTCTATACATGGGTTAATAGTCCATGCCAACCTGATCAAGATTGGAACTGACAATTCTAAAGCCACTGCCCTCAACAGTCTCCCTTCAGTTTATAGACTTGCTGACTACCAAGAAAATGAGTAGTGATAGAAAACACAGATTTTTTAAAAACTCTTTTTATTACTACCCTAGGTGGGAATAGATTACTCCTTCAGCCTCTCTGGAATGGCTATTCATGGTCATGATCTTCATTTTTATAATGATTTTTGCTAAAAGAAAAAATATCATAACGCAACAATGATAAAACAGGCAAACAGATTATATAGCCATATATTTTTGAGAAAAAAACTAGTCATCTACCTTCTAACTCAGCAGTTCTCAACCTGGGGGTCGTTTGGCCATTTCGGAGGGGTCGCGAGACTGCCTCCTTTGGCCCCGCCCCCAAGTCTTTGGCCCACCCTCCAAGGCTTTGTGCGAGGCCAGGCCTAGCGTGAAGGAGCCCTCACTTGCCTCACGCTCTCGTTGGCCAGCAAGGGTGCGTGCCAGGCGAGGGCTCATTCGCGTGAGGCCTGACATTGCACAAAGCCTGCCTCGCCTGCTTTGCACTCTCGAAAATAATTTTATGGTTGGGGGTCACCACAACATGAGAAACCATATTTAGGGGTCACAGTGTTAGAAAGGTTGAGAACCACTGCTCTAACTAATATTAATACAGTACAATTATATATCTACTATAACTAATAAAGCAAAAAGCACATGAATACACAAAAACAAATACATAGACATAAACACAAAAACAAAGTTAACAAACAAATATAAAACTATTCCACAGACCTCTCACTCTCTGGTGGTTTTTACATTCTAACTAGTTTGTTCCCATTATGCACAACAACACTTAATAACATATTGCTGCTTCATAAATCCCACAGTTGATGAATCTAGCCATAATTGTTATAACATATTAGTCAATAAACTCCAATCTCTCTTTAAATTGGACCAATACTTCAGCTGAATCAATTTGTCCATCACAACTAGTTGACAAATTATTGTAAGCTGTTATCAAAACTTTCAACTTGTGTTTTCCATTCTGTTTTTCTTCCTGAAAGCACTCTATACAGGAGATCCTACTGTCTTTCAGTTCTCATCTGATGTGTATTGGTCTTGCTGTGGCACATGACTTCACAAGAGAAGTAATGGTCAGATTTTCTAGACAAGAACTATGGGGATATGATATAGATAGATAGATAGATAGATAGATAGATAGATAGATAGATAGATAGATAGATAGATAGATATCCCAGAAATGACAGCTCCCCTGCAGTCATATAGAATGAGGATCAGAGAAGGACAGTGACACTCACTTTGAAGGAAGATAAGAATGATCAAAATAGACTGACAATAACTGAAGAATTAGACTGACAGTAACTGAAGAATATGTGTGTGTGTGTGTATATATATATATACACACACACACACACACACACACACACACACACATTGTTAAATCTAATGTTTTTCCATCCTCCATTTTTATGAATGGGTTTCTTCTTAACTTATCCTTGGAAAGCATTCTGCTGTTTAGTGAAACTAAACTAACTTCATTAAAAACGTATTTGCTTATGACGTACGGGAATATTAATAATAATAAATTTTATTTATATCCTGCCACCATCTCCCGAAATAGACTCGGGAAGGCTTACAAAATACTCCAGGTGCAATATAACAAATCTTACATGAATATAAAACAATATCACATATAAAGTTATAAATCAACCACTAACACTGTAAGAATACAATGTAAGTATACAATGTGCAAACAAATGTTGATATAATATTTTATACTGATTAGAATTCCAATTTAAAACATTAAAATAGAATTGAATAAAGAGGCAACCGACATACCTGTAATACATGAGCAGATTCTTCCAAGAAATCTCCAATATTCTCAGTTACGGGATTTAACTGGTTAAGCCGCTGGATTACTTTTTCAATGTGTCTCATCCGAGCATCCATTTTTGCGCTGAAGAGTCCTGTGAAAAATGAAATATATTCACAGTCTGACCAACACAAAATAGAGAGGCACCATGACTTCCACTGATCTAGACCAGGCCAGTGTAAATTTCGGCTCTTCTGGTGCTTTGGATTTCAACTCCCACAATTCCTAACAGCTGGTAAACTGTCTGGGACTTCTGGGAGTTGATGTCCAAAACATCTGGAGGGTCCAAGTTTGCCCAGGCCTGATCTAGATACTATACTCCTTTGATGTAGTCCAAAATCCCATTGGCTTTTTTAGCTGTTGCATTACATTATTGGCTCGTGCTCAACTTGTCCACAAGGACTCCAAGATCTCTTTCACATGACTGTTGCCAAACCAAGCATCATCCATCCCGTTTCTGTGCATTTCTTTTTTTTTTTTCTGCCTTAGTGTAGTATGCTACATTTCTCTTTATTGACATTCGTTTCTTACGTTTGGCCAATCAGCTCTCTAATCTGTTGAGGTCCTTTTGAATTCTGATCCTGTCTTCTGGAGTATTATCTATCCCTCCAGAAGCAAAACAGTCTGGAACTCCAACTTTCAAAACACCCCCAACAAGAAACAATTCAACAAACAGCAAATCTTCCACATTAGCAGAAAATGTTACTTTTTTTGAATAAACATGAGGACCCTTCCACACAGCTGTATAACATTTAACTAGATTATATTGCAGTGTGGACTCAGATAATCCAGTTCAAAGCAGATATTGTGGTTATCTGCCCTCTGGGTCGTCCGTACAATAATTTCGATCCAAAGGCTGCCTTCTGTTTACAAATATGATGCAAGTGGTTTTCACTTGATCTCCACATGACTATTTGTAGTGGTACATAGCATCCTTGAAGTCTCTCTGAGTCCTCAAAATAAAGTTCTAGGCCCCTTTCTACACTGCCATATAAAATCCAGATTATCTGCTTTGAATTGGATTATACAGAAGTCTAGACTCATATAATCCGGTTCAAAGCAGTAACGTGGATTATAAACTCTGGCCCCTTCCACACAGCTGTATGAAATCCCATATTACCTGCTTTGAACTGGGATATATGGCAGTGTGGACCCTAACCCTTTCCCACAGCCCTATATCCCAGAATATCAAGACAGGAAATCCCACAATATCTGAGTGTGGACTCAGGTAACCCAGTTCAAAACAGATATTGTGGAATTTCCTGCCTTGATATTCTGGGATATAGGGCTGTGGGGAAGGGCCCTGGGTTATCTGAGTCCACACTCAGATAATGTGGGATTTTTTTACCTTGATTTTCTGGGATATAAGGCTGTGTGGAAGGGCTCTGGACTGCCCTATAATGCAGTTTCCGTATACAGTTGGATTGCATTGAATTGCATTATACAGGGTGAGGTAGCATAACTTCCCTTTTTAAAATGCGCTCCATTCAGTCAGTTGAAGACGTAGCGGAGCGCTAGTAGTCTCCTTCAAGAGGCGGCAGTATAAAGTTTTGTCCTGACACAGTTCAGTCGCCATCATGCGTTGGGACAATGAGGAGCATGATTTTGCCGTTGAGGCCTACTTTTCGAGTGGATTTGGAGTGGCCAGTCCGCTCTCCAGATTTGGCCCCTTGTGATTTTTTCTATGGGATTTTTAAAAATCCGGCGTTTATGTGAACCATCCAAGGACCCTACAAGATTTGAAGACCAACATCCTGGAAGAAATTGCCAACATAACGCCTGCTATGCTGGCAAGAGTCATGACAAACGCAGAAATCCGTTTACTCAGTGTATGACTTAAAATTGGTTGCCAATGACACTCTGGTTTCTCTTCAGATCGTATAAATCTTTCGCCTTTTACTCAGTGTATGGAAAATTGAGGACGTCACCTACCTAATTTGATCTTCAAAACTACATAAAATAAAACTTTAGGTATGCGCCTACATTATAAAAAAAATTAAACATTTCAGATTCATACAATGGATTTTATTAAGTTTTGAAAAAAGGAAGTTATGCTGCCACACCCTGTATGAGTCTGGACGGCAATATCTGTTTTGAAATGAGTTATCTGAGTAAGCACTGCCATATATTCCAATTCAAATTAGATAATGTGGGATTTTATTTAGCTGTGTGGAAGGGGCCTCAGGTAAACCAGTTCAAAGCAGATACCATGGGATGTTCTGCCTTGATATTCTGGGTTACATGGCTGTGTGGAAGGGCCCTTTGATAATCTGTATTATATGGCAGCGTAGAAAGGGCCCTGGGCGACCTTCTGCTTAAACTTAACTGGGATGTTTTTGATGAGCCGGAATCCCACTGCACGAGTGATGAGGCTGCCCTCAGGAATCCGGCTCGCCCTTCCCGGAAAACGATTCCCTGCCCTTTGGGTCCTGCGAAGAACAAGGAGCAGGCAGGCTGTTCTTACCACGGGACCCGCTCCTAAGAGAAGCGACAGGGCAGTCACCGCGAAGGCAGCCCGAAGGGAAACACAACGGCGGTGTCTGTTGCTACTAGTTGCTTAGCAACTGGGGGAAAGCAACGGGAATGTGACTTTGGGGGGCTTCTGAAATATCGCGTGGCTTCAGAAGACGCGCCTTTGCACAATGTTTACAGCGTCGAGGTCTCGATTGGCTGGTCCCCATGGTAACGGCGCACGACTGTCGCGTGGAGCTGACTTGTTCGGCCAATGGGAAAAGAGATCCTTGCTTCCGGAAGCCTTTGTGCTGAAGGATGCCTGCCTTTCCCTCTTCCTTTCCTCCCTCATACTGATACTATTTTATATTTTTATAGGGCCCTAGAAAATGACATTTGTAACCCAGGAACAAGAAACGTGTTAAATGGGCCCCTTCTATACTGCCGTATTAAATCCAGAGTATCTTTCAACTGGATTATATAGCGGTGTAGACTCATAATCCATTTCAAAGCAGATGTGAATTATCTGCCATAGTGTTATATATATAGACTAGCCATGCCCTGCCACACGTTGCTGTGGCCCAGTCTGTGTATATGTGTTTTGTGTGCGTATATAGAATCTTAGAATCATAGAGTTGGAAGAGACCTCATGGGCCATCCAGTCCAACCCCCTGCCAAGAAGCAGGAATATTGCATTCAAATCACCCCTGACAGATGGCCATCCAGCCTCTGTTTAAAAGCTTCCAAAGAAGGAGGCCCCACCACACTCCGGGGCAGAGAGTTCCACTGCTGAACGGCTCTCACAGTCAGGAAGTTCTTCCTCATGTTCAGATGGAATCTCCTTTCTTGTAGTTTGAAGCCAGAACAGAAAACAGAATGTTGGGAGACAGGAAAAGAGATTTAAAGATGGGCTCAAAGCCAACCTTAAAATCTCTGGCATAGACCCCGAGAACTGGGAAGCCCTGGCCCTTGAGCGCTCCAGCTGGAGGTCAGCTCTGACCAGCAGTGCTGCAGAATTTGAAGAGGCACGAATGGAGAGTGAAAGAGAGAAATGTAGCAGGAGGAAGGCGCGTCAAGCCAGCCCCAACCAAGACTGCCTTCCACCTGGAAACCAATGCCCTCACTGTGGGAGAAGATGCAGGTCAAGAATAGGGCTCCACAGCCACTACGGATCCACAAGAATACTGATCATGGAAGGCTATCCTACTCGTCCAACGAGGGATCGCCTAAGCCCCTAAAAGGTAAAGGTTGTCTCCTGACATTAAGTCCAGTCATGTCTGACTCTGGGGTGTGGTGCTCATCTCCATTTCTAAGCCGAAGAGCCAGCGTTGTCCGTAGACACCTCCAAGGTCATGTGGCCGGCATGACTGCATGGAGTGCCGTTACCTTCCCGCCGGAGCGGTACCTATTGATCTACTCACATTTGCATGTTTTCGAACTGCTAGGTTGGCAGAAGCTAGGGCTGACAGCGGAAGCTCATGCCGTTCCCCGGAATCGAACCTGCGACCTTTCGATCAACAAGCTCAGCAGCTCAGTGCTTTAACCCACTGCGCCAACCGGGGGCTCCAAAGTAAAGTGTATATAGGAATAAGAAGAATTGGAACAGACCAAGCTGAAAACGCTGACAAGAGCCACTCTTTGGGCCCTTCCAGACAGGCTCTATATCCCAGGATCTGACTTTGTTTATCCCAGATTATTTGACAGTGCGGACTCATAAAGCAGAATACCTGGAATCAGAATACTGTGATACAGGGCCTGTCTGGAAGAGCCCTGGGAGATTTTTATATATATCATATCCGTGGGCCTGTACTGGGCTGCATTGTAAAATAAATTAACTTGCCTTTACCACCTTAATAACACTGGGATACGGAAACATGCTACCACATCACCGTAATAGACGCTAGAAATGCAGTTCTTAGTTTACAAATAACTCTTCTATGTCCTGTTATGAAGCAAAGTGGCCTATTCTCAAGGAAGGCGAATCAGCCTTTCCTGCAAGCTCAAGATTGGCTTCGCCCCCGTCGCGAATCACGCGCCCCTCCCTCAGAGCATCCCTTTTATGCGAGCGAGCCTCATTTGCATAGACCCGGCGCGTCCAATCACGCGCCACTGCCTCCTTTGCATGGAGCCAGCCGGCCAGTCAGGGAAGCCGGGGCTGGGCCCTCACGTGCTGTTGCTAAGCCCTCGCTTCGAAGTTGTTGCCTTCGTGGCCAGCCAATCAGAGGGCGGGACTCCAGAACTGTCAACATTCTCTCAGCCTCAACACCCTGGGCTTGTACCTGATTGGTTCTGTCAGGCTCAGGAGCCCGCACGGCATGTTATTAACTGGCTGGGGCAGCTGTCCATCAACCTGACAGCCATGGCACCGAAGACTTGATTTGTTGGGAGAGACTTTGCAAGGCCCGTTGCTCTCGCGAACTCTTAAGTTTTTCCCCTGCGGCTTGCCGTTTCTGAGGGAGAGCTCTCCGGCCCCTGGGAAGATGGAGTGGAATTCCTTGCTGATGCTGCTGGAAGCCGCGGAATACTTGGAAAGGAGGGAAAGAGGTGAATATCTGCCTGGCGTTGAAGGGTCTTCTGTGCCATTCTTGCAGGCCCTCACTCCCTCTCCACTCGCCCCTTCCCTCCTGTTGGGTGTTGTTTTGTGGGAATAATAAGGCGTTTATTGGGTGTTTGGCTTTTCCTTCCCTCACAGAAGCGGAGCACGGCTACGCCTCGGTCTTGCCTTTCGAAAGTGACCACCCCGCAAGGAAAACGAAGTTCGGAAAATCCCCCAACAACCGGTAAGGCCCCGTTCCCTGTGTGTGTGGGGAGGAGGGGGGAGGTGAAGGCGGGGGCTGGGCCTGAGGCCGGCCCCGCGGGCCCCTCGCCGCCATCTTGCCCCCCGCGAGCCAGCCTGGGGGCGGGACTTCCGGGGAGCGGTGCCACGCGCGCAGGACCCGCTTCCTGCCCAGCCCTGCTTTCCCAACCCCGGCTGGTGTTTGTGCGGCCAACGCTGCCTCTTCAACCCTACATGAGGTTCCTTTAGCTCAGGCCTGGGCAAACCTCGGCCCTCCGGGTGTTTTGGACTTCAACTCCCACAATTCCTAACAGCCTACGGCTGTTAGGAATTGTGGGAGTTGAAGTCCAAAACACCCGGAGGGCCGAGGTTTGCCCAGGCCTGCTTTAGCTTAGTGTTGGAGCCACGAAAACATTTGGACCTTAACGCCACCTAGTGGCTGATTTAAACATTTACGCCCATCTGTTGCTCAATGTTTACAGTCTACTGTGCAGATGATGCTTCCCAGAAAACGGGAAAACCAGGCTTCCACATGCTGATATATTTTCAGTAAATATTTAATCTTTCTGTTAGGGAAAACTACAGTAATAGTATGATAGCTGGGTCCGGAAGCTCCAAGCATTACCCAGCTATCATACTACAGGGTATTTATTTATCGTATCATCAGCAACCAGACATTTGTATTACATTTTTAACAAAATCAAACAACCAAACAGACAAAACACAGAATTTGCAAGCTTGGTAGTTGATTAAATGTCCTTTGACCAGTACCTGGCCACTTGGAGTGCCTACAGGGTGAGGCAGCATAACTTCCTTTTTTCAAAACTTAATAAAACCCATTGTATGAATCAGAAATTTATTATTTTTTATAATGTAGGCGCATACCTAAAGTTTTGTTTTACGTAGTTTTGAAGATCAAATTAGGTAGGTGACGTCCCCCATTCTCCATACACTGAGTAAACCGATTTCTGGCGTTTGTCATGACTCTTGCCAGCATAGCAGGCGTTATGTTGGCAATTTCTTCCTGGATGTTGGTCTTCAAATCTTGTAGGGTCCTTGGACGGTTCACATAAACACGGGATTTCAAAAAACCCCATAGAAAAAATCACAAGGGGCCAAATCTGGAGAGCGGGCCGCCACTCCAAATCCGCTCGAAAAGTAGGCCTCAGTGGCAAAAGCACGCTCCTCACTGTTCCAACACATGATGGTGACTGAACTGTGTCAAGACAAAACTTTATACTCCCGCCTCTCAAACGAGAATACTAAAAGTTGAGCATTCAGCTCATTAGCGAGCAGTGCATGAAGTGCAATGTGATGTGGCTGTAAAGAATTAAGAGCTTAGGCAGGCAAAGATGCAGAGTCCAATCTTTTAAAAAAATCACAAAAGGTTTATTTACAATAATAAGAAATAACTGCATTTCTTAATAATCAAGAACTGGGTCTGAGCTACTCTAACACCCATCTCGTCTAAGGTTTTAAAAGAGGGGGGAAACAGCAAGCACTACATCTCTCCTGACAGGCATGCACAGAGTGATCTCAAAGCACACAGCACATATTCCTATGTAAGAAAAACTAAAGTAAAAAAATTCCTGTAGAAAAGTATCCATTCTACACAACCAATCAGAATGAGAGCAAAAACAGAGAGGAGAGAAAAACAGATAAATTCCCAACTTCCATAAAGGAGACATGGGGGAAGGGAAACCCTCAGACTATTCTAATGCTAAGTAACGTCTCTTCATTGAGGACTTGGGCAGTGTGGGGTTGATTTCCAACACTTTCTACCTGTTTTACATAATTATCTGCCCAGGGTCCCCTGCAGATGCCTCAGGTAGGAATCCAGACTGACAAAGTTTTGGAACACAATACACCAGACATCATGATTGTGGAAAAGAAAGAAGTTTAGAGATGATGTTGCCATACCAGGTGACAGTCGCATTGAGGAAAAACAGCAGGAAAAACTCAGCCATTATCAGGACCTCAAAATCGAACTGCAAAGGCTCTGGCATAAACCAGTACAGGTGGTCCCAATGGTCATTGGCACACTGGGTGCCATGCCAAAAGATCTCAGCCGGCATTTGGAAACAATAAACATGACAAAATCACAATCTGTCAACTGCAAAAGGCCACCTTACTTGGATTTGTGCACATCATTCAAAAATACATCACACAGTCCTAGACGCTTGAGTTTGACTTGTGATTTTGTGATACGAAATCCAGCATATATATCTCGTTTGCTATGACATATTGTGTTTTTGTGTCAGTAAAATAATACTTTATTTGTACCCTGCTCTATCTCAGGGTGGTTTCCCACAAAAGTAACAAAACGGCAGACATTCAATGCCAAAATCAGACAATAATAAATCTAAACAGTGGACAAAACACAATCTCAAAACAAAGGTTGCAAAACTATATTTAAAAATAATACGTAATTGAACTTAAACATCACACACCATTTCCACAGGCTGAAGTAGGTGTCCAATATCTAGGCGTGGATATATATAAAGGTGTGCTAGTCTTCCTCCTCTCAATATGCTAAGATGCATAAATGAGTTTTTAAAAGCTTTTTAAAGGAGAAGAGAGAAGAAAAAAAGCTTTCTAAGCTGATTTCTCAATGGAGGGGTCAGCATTGTGACTGTCATTTTCCACAGGGCTTTGTTTTAGGCATCCTTAGGTTGGCAGCATGCATGTCTTCCTTGATGGTGTCCATCCATCTTTTCTTTGGCCATCCACGTGTTGGTCGTCCTGCGATCTCCAAATGCAATGCTGTTTGTTCTACTGACGTTGGTTTTCTTCTCACGACATGGCTGTACCAGCATAGTCTTGCTTCCTGTATTTTCTTGCTGATCACTTTTAGTTCTAGTCTTTGATGGATGTCATCATTTGGCACATGGTCAAGAAGTGTCAAGCCAAGTGTCCATCTCAGCATTTTCATTTCCATTGTGTTAAGGGCTTGTTCGTGTTCCTTTGTTGCTGGCTATCACTCTGCCCTATTGGGGCTATTGGGCAAACAACTGTAGTGTAGATCTTAGCCTTGAGTTGTTCAGACTTTTTTGCGTCACACAGAATGCCAGTAGTCTGCCGCCATTGCAACCAGACTGCATTTAATCGCAGCCATACATCTGGCATTGTATTGTCATCTATGGAGACCAGAAAGTGGGATCATAAGGAAGGAAGTATTTCTGCGCTAACAAACATAAGAAGTAAGCTAATAATTTTTTGAAAGTTTTCACATTAAAATTGCATTGCTCATTTCACTCCTTTTAAAACTTGCTTTAGAGCCATAGAGATTTACTTGTACAATAAGATGCTGAATATTGAGCTTTTAGGATATTGAGAACAAGGGATTAACAGTGGTTCAAATTACTTCTTCCAGTTCTTTTCACAGTCCTACTTTTTCGCTGTCCCCTGTTAGCATTTTGCCAGTATCTGCACATAGGGGCCCTACCTTTTCCTTGATCTTTTTTTTTTTTTTTGGAGCAGTAACTGTTTTTTTTTAACTGTACCTGACCACGGGATCATACTCAGTTTTACTGTAAGTTTACTGAAGTCTAGAATGTGTGCCTGACTGTGCTTGACTTCACCTTTTCTGCTGTATATAAAACTCTAGAAGAATGTGGTCACTTCAGCCTAAGGAACCCACTAACCCAGGCATGGGCAAACTTCGGCCCTCCAGGTGTTTTGGACTTCAACTCCCACAATTCCTAACAGCCAAGGCTGTAAACATTGTAATGAGGGAGCAGTGACTAAGCAAAAGTGCTGGACGAAGAAGGCAAATGCCTGAAAAAAGTAGAATAGAAAACGTAGGAAGGAAATCCAGGGTATTTGGTTGCTGTCTACTACTTGTCATCTGGGGCAAGCCTCTGAGGCCTTTGATAGCTTAAATGCTTAGCAGAAATGTAACAAGTGCAGCTTTTTGCATCCATACTGAAGAATATTACAGGCATTGTATTCTTGTTTACCACATGACTTTCAAGTGGTGTCTGACCTTGTAAGCAACTCTATTTTGAGTTTTGAAAACACAAGGGTTTGTAAGCTGTATGTTTTCCAAAACTGTTGTGCAAAAACATCTGCATCTGCACTATAGAATTAATACATTTTGGAATCTCTATAGGTTCCTTGGCTCAATGCAGTTTTACAGGTCTTTATCCTTCTCTGTCAAATAGTATTTGTGGTTCACCAAACTACAACTCCCAGAATTAGATAGTTAAAGTGTGGCATCAAACTCAATTAACTCTATAGTACGGATGCACCCCAGGGCACATCTAGAGCATCCAAAAGTCACTTCAGTGAGACTACAGCACAAGTCTATATTGTCTTGTCATCTTACTGCAGTGACTGCTAGCACATGAGAAATTTAGTTTCATTTAATACAATATATGCTTCAGACGGAATTTACTGCATATAGATTCACAAAATGCATTCAGGACACTGATCTGAAGCTCAGTACAGCATACTCTAATACATATTCAAGGCTAATTTTAAGGTTTTATTAAATCTCTTGAATAAGCAATGTCTTCATAGGAGGTGGATTTGAAAATACATTCTTCCACTTGGAGCTTAAATTTTCTTACAGCAAATAATCTGAAATATTGCGCTTTCTGTTTTTCTAGGTCTTCACATAATGAGCTAGAAAAACATAGGTAAGTAACAATCTAATAAAACCATGTGGTCAGGCAACCAGAAAGACCACACATTGGTCTTCTGGCATGGTCGTGGCTTACCATATAACTAATTTGTACTTTGAATAATTCACACTAGGTACCATCAAGTCAGTTTTAAATCAGACCTGTTGAACTCCGTATGAATTGTGTTCACTTAAATGTATAGTTCACATGCCTTATCCAAACACTTTTTCTCACTGCATTGCCATATTGCATTACACACTGCAGAACATGCTACATATGACCATGTTATTAAATCTCTTGGGTTTAAAAAATGCACTCAGATCTTATTCCTGTTTTCTATGATCTCCAGACAAAGGAAGAGCTGAAATAAAATAAGTTAATAGTTCAAACCATCAGGGGAGGAAGTCTGTTAAGTAGCACAAAAGCCATATTCAAGCATATGAAGAGATAGCATGTACAATAAAACTTTAAAGAAACTTGGTTTCTTTTTATTAGCTATAGGAATCATCATAGGGACACATGGAAACAAGTTCCCACCAGACATAGACTGCATTTGGATAAAGGTGATGTTTTATTGTGTATATACAAGACTCTCAGATAATTGGAACTCAAGCAAACAACTCTCAAGCAAGTGGTAAAAAAAAGAAATAATACTTTAACTAAAAATTATATATGTATAATACAGTAAAACTGTTGCATTAAGTTTGTATTTATTTATCTTTATTTGTTTTTAATTTCTATATTTCAATATTAATATCAAGTCAATACAGAGTTTATGATATGGTAAAGTATGAGGTATAGTATTAGTTAGACTAATTTTTAATAGTAACTCTCAGGCAACCAGAAACTATTTCTAACAATCCCCATAGGTGCCAGTTAAGTGAGAGCCTACTGTATAAATATTGTGATACAATCTACACACATAGATACTTAATTTAGTCTTTTAGTTATTTTGTATCTTTATCTTTGTATTTCTTTGTTTATATTTCTGATGTTATTTTTAAAATTTGAATTGTGGTGCCCAGAACTAGATGTGGTATACTAGATGAAGACTGACCAATGTGAATAGAATAAGTCAGTACTTCCCTTGACCTGGACTCAATGTGCATGTTGATGTAGGCCAGAATTGTATTAGCCTTTTTTACTCCTTCATCACATTGTTGACCCATGTTTAGCTTGTGGTCTGCTATGATGTGTAGATCCTTTACACTGCTCTCAAGCCAGGTGTCAGTCATCCTTTATTTGTGCCTTTCATTTTTCTTGCCTAGATGTGTTGCCTTATATTTCTCCTGGTTGAAATTAATTTTGTTAGGTTTTTTTAAAATTCTAAGAACTGTTTGACAATAGAATAAACTGCCTTAAAGGTGGTGGACTCTCCTTCTTTAGAGATATTTCAGGGGAGGTTGGATGAACATATTTTAGGAGTGATGCAGGTGTAGATTCCTGTGGAACAGGGGATTAGACTAGATGAATCTGCAGTCCCCTCCAACTCTTAAAGTTCTGTGATTCTATTATGTTTCCATTTATTATACCAGTACAGGGTGCATACTATCTATTTGAAATTAACATTTTGCAAAAATCTGGAAAACAGGGCAATTTTTGTATGCTAATGAGCTGTAGCAACATATTTTTTTATAATTCCAGACGAGCTAAACTCCGGCTATATCTAGAAGAGTTAAAACAACTTGTACCTTTGGGAGCAGATAGCACTAGACACACTACACTCAGCCTGCTGAAAAGAGCCAAGATGCATATTAAGGTAAGAGAGAGACTGGCACTTTTTAAAAAAGAGAATTGAAATTGTTTTGGTTTTTTTTTTTTAAATAGTTGTGTTTGTGGGCCTTCAGGTTGTTTATGACTCGCATAAACCCTAAACTATCATGGACTTTTGTTGGCATGATGAATTCGAAGCAAGGTCTTCCATTGCAAACCTGAGGTTGAGACTATGTGATTTGGCCAAGGCTGATTTTTAGGGGTGTTCTGTTTTCGTTTCGAATTTCTGGTTCCCCGTTTTGTTTTCAGGAAAATTCCAGGAGATTAGGAGGGAGGTAGTAATTCGGAACCCTGAGTTCCATTTCCATTTTGGGAAGAATCTACCTGAAAAAAAAGGGGGGGGGGGATGAAAACAGAAAAATATCTGTGACATTTCACGCACTCCTATCAATTATTTCTATAATCAAACAGGAATTTGAACACTGATCTCCTGAGCTGTGGATCAGTTTTCAAACACAGTGCCATGATGGAGCAAACACCCTAGGCTAAATATCTCTGCCATCAATTATATTTTCTTAATACATATTAAATAGATGAAACCTGCAACAAAATATTGGACATATTTCAGTATTCTGTTTATTCCATTTCTCAACCCACCAATATTCAGTCGTCAGGGTCCAATGATAAAGATGGTAGCCCCCCTTCCCGTATTAGCAGAATTAGAGCATCTGTGTTACAAATCTGCAAGAAATGTTAGCATTTCAAGGAGTCTGTTTTAAATAACTCTTTTAAAGATTGCATAGAAAGTCATAGAGTTATTGGCGTAAAGGGGGTGGATGCAATAAAATGGCGTTCCATACAATAATGCTGGCCACATGACCTAGGAGGCATATATAGACAGCGCCAGCTCTTCGGCTTAGAAATGGACAAGAGCACCACCCCGCAGAGTCGGACTCAACTAGACTTAATGTTAGGTAAACCTTTACCTTTACTTTATGCAATAAAACAGAGGAACACCGAAATAGAATTCTTAGTATTTAAGGTTTTATGACTTGTTTGATGTAGCTATGTAGCTCAGTTTGATTAGATGTTCAGGGGGAAAATAACTTTCATGTTATGTTATACTTCTGCACTGTTTGACTGAAAGTCTCAGTTGTGTGAGCTGAAGTGGCCATTCCTAAGAGTTTGATCCCAAAAGGATTGGGGTGCACAGGTCATGCTTCAAAACAATAGCATAAAGCTAAACATTTCAAACGCTATATTTTTATTAACTCCCTTAATGCCTAGATCAGGCATTTGCAAACTGCGGCCCTCCAGCAGTTTTGCAAACTGCGGGCCTCAAACTCCCAGAATTCCTGGCCATTGAATAAGCTGGCTAGGGCTTCTGGGAGTTGGAGGTCCAAACAGCTGGAAGGCTGCAGTTTGAAGATGTCTGGCCTAGATAGTTAGATTTTTCTTTCTTCTGTTTCACTTGGTGGTAGTTATCTTAATTCAGCACAATTCTTTGTTTTTATTGCTCAGTAGAAAATGCACATGTGCAGTAGAAAAGGTACATGAGATTAATGCTACCTTCTTTCCATTATTAAGCCCCTTCCCACTTGCAAGTAGCTGCAGGGTCTCTGAAGTAATGGATTTGAAGTACACCTTCTGTGCTGTTCATAAAAGCTCTGACTCACACATTCTAGTTGCTAGGTAGATATATGTTGGAAGTTTCCTAAAGCAATTTTTGACCGTAGCCCCACTCTCTCTCCATTGCATTCTCTATTCACAGAGATTGACTGCAATTTATTTGTGTGTTTTTTCTTAGCATTGTTATCCTGTTTGGGTTTTTTTCTGTTCTTAACAGTTATAATATATTGAGCTATTTCTTTTGGTATTTCAGTATTCTTACATTGAATTTTACAGTTCATGGAAACATATTAATTCATGTCTTGCTTTGTCTGATAACATCCAAAAGAAGTTTCCAGAACTGAAAAGGGACTCATGGGCACTTCCAGTTTAGTTTTGGTGGGTTTTATGGGAAGAAACTCCCCTGGACCCAGAGGTTCATTCACTTCTACGTCAACTACATTGGAAAAGGGAAAACTCCATAATCTATATATCACTTTGAATTCAATATGATTTTCAGGCAGCTTTAAATTCTTGAGCCTTCCTGAAAAGATATAAACAGAGCATATCGATCATCATTTCTCCCTAGAAGCCAAAATGACTAAATGAAAACTATTATACTTTGAATAGATCATTAGATGAAATAATTCATTGGAAAAGATGATGATGCTTTGCTGGATGGAAGGAGAAAGCTCACACCACAGCCCTGAGTTTCTAAGATTTACCTGAGTAGAACTTGAAACCAGGACTAATGGAAATCTCATTTATAGGGTCACCGTGAATCAAAGCTGGCTTGGCAGAAAATAACATCCTGAATAATATTTTATTAGACTAATACTGATGTAAGCAGAGCCTAGACAACCATCTTTGGTATCATGGAATGGTGGCATACGTTTTTGAAATGTGTTTGATGTTGAGCTTTTGAATTTACTAAGCAGTGTTAGTAGCAACCAAACATGTCTAGACCTACAAGCATTGAACTGACATAAACATGCAGCTATTGGAGTGGAGTTCTGTTGTGTTAAAATTATTTGAGCATTTGTGATGAGAAGTAACATTAGAATTAATACTTGGAACTTCTGAATTTTAAATATGTTTGAGGCTTAATTTTCAAATAAAGGAGACTAAAGTTATTCCTGACTTAAAGCTAAGATGAAAGTTTTTCAGAAGGAACTGAAAGAATATCATAGAATTGGAGTAGAGTTGGAGGGTCATCTGTCAATATAATACTGACACATCAAGATAATAATTAAGTAGAGAAATAATGGAGAACACCAAAGCATTTCAGAAGAAAGTCACACTAGTCTTTATAGATTATAGCAAAGGCTTTGATTATGGCCTAAACTTTGGCCTTCAGGTGTTTTGGACTTCAACTCCCACAATTCCTAACAGCTGGTAAGCTGGCTGGGATTTCTGGGAGTTAAAGTCTGAAACACCTGGCAGACCGAAGTTTGCCCATGCCTGATGTAGATCATGAAAACCTTTGGATCATTCTTTATAAAATTAGTGTTATTTATTTCATGTCAAAAGCATTGCATAAATAAGTGAGTTTAAAAACTGATAAAATAAAAGGATCACAAGCAGCTAGTTTAAACCAAAAACTGGCAATAGCGACTGCATTGTCTGCAGCTTTAAACCATTCTTCCTCTGTGCATGAGGCAGGACATTGTGGGCAAGCATACAGATGCAGAGTTGTTTGTTCTGCTCCACGGTCGCACATGGTGGAGGATTCTTCTAGGAGGTGCCATTTTCCCAGGTTGTCTTTTGTTCTGCCCACTCCACTTCTGAGTCTGTTCAGGGACTTCCAAGTTGCCCGTTCTTGGTTTGCTCCTGGAGACAGACCCTGAAGCATTGTTTTACAACATTTTAACCTGGAGGTGTGTTCCTTTCCTCCACAAATAGACAAACACCAACATCTTTATCAAAACCACTTTTCATGATTATGTCTATTAATATATACATTGAGTGTGACAACATTTGATTGTCCTGATATGTAACCTGTTCTCAGGACAAGAGACAACCATCAGGACAAGCTACAGAAAGACAGGCTGTTTTTTTCTCCTCTCTCCTATTTAGCTTCCTTAAGGATAGTTAAGAAATCCATGTTCTCTTAATACTGTCCCATATGCTGCATTGCCTTTCTAACTTAATTCAGAATTGTCATATCCTCTCTTGTGCTTCCTTTTTATAACTAAACAACAAGATATTGTATTAATTTTTGCTCCTTTGTAGTTTCCCCCCATTGCTCTTGTTCCAGCATTGAATTCAATCTTCAACACACCTGAGCAAATATGGATATATTGTACTGGCCTCACTGGTGCCTTTAAATGTACTAGCGATTCATTACCTATGTGAGAAATACCAATACATCTAGGACTGGATTTAACTTTCCCACAATGACGTATTCATATTAAAACATCTTACAGTTATTTCTTTTCCTTGCCATCATTTCCAGAAGATAAGCACGATAACTAACATAATCCCAAGCCCATGACTTTGCAGCATTGCATTTCTAATTCTGGTTCATGAAGTCATTCTCTGTCTCTACCAACAGTCATTCCATCTGGCTACATCTGTGGGGGAGATGACACAAAAAGGACTCCTCCATCGTCTTGGCTAAGACTAATTCTTTCTTCCTCCTTACCCTGAACTGTTTCCTGTGGTGACTATTGCACCTGGTCATTGTATAACTTCATTGTAAAATTATAAGAACCCAAATTCACTTTCCCGTTCCTTTTTTCCTTTTTCACATCTATGTTGCTTAGATTGAAATCCATTATTTTAAACGGTAAGTTACTTCAACTGCTTTAGAAGTGCTGTACCAGTAGAACATTTTGATTTTGAATTAATAGATTAGTCGAGGAGCCTAAAAAGAATACCTAAGGCTAACTAACCTGGAATCTTTTTCCCCACTATGTCATAAATTCAGTTATTTGCATCTTCGGATAAAAACGAAAATCATTTCTATGTAGAATGCAGAAATCCTGTCAATTGATGTAAACAGTGCTGCCAGTGGAATAAAACAAAGCTGCCAATTGATATAGAGAAAGTACAGAGATAAATGAACTTGTGGTCTGAGTTATACTTGGAATCTAGTAATTCTTGTCACATTCTTTTTCTGTAGCCTTCTCAAGTAAGGCCCCCACACTCTATAGTTAGTTGTCTATTTATTTCCTATTGTTCTTCTGAAAACTTTTTTATATTTAGATGCACTTCCTGAAACTACATCTTACTTGATATGCAAATTGCTGATAATGTTAAAGATGAAGAAATCATTTTTCCTGCAGGTTTGACAATAATGTACACAGTAAAATTAAATTTTAAAATGAACATCCTTCTTTTAGTTTTATATGTTGTGGTTTTCTTGTGAAAGAAAGTTTTCAATCCTTTGATCTATACATTATGGCCTTTGTATGTGTCATATACCAGCTTATTTAGGACCAGCTTTAGTTCAGAAGCTTTTCTCACAGTTTTTCTAAAGGAAGAATAAAATATATAGCTGAAATCATGTTTAGTTCTAGTTCCTTTCCATCTATAGTTCTGCACTAAAATATTGAAATAATGGAGGCATCAGAAGATACACCATGTTACTTATTTGTTTATCCCATTTATTAGGTAAACTTTACATAACTGCTTGAATTTTGTGCTTCCAGAAGATAAAGTTGTTGGAAATTTCCCCTGAAAATAGGCCAATCATATTTAGATGACTATCTATGTAAGTCAGTACTTCAAAGGCTTTTGACTAGGGATTTGGGGGGGGGGGGGGGGGGGGGGGGGGTGGTGTGAGAGCAATGGCCTTGCTAATAAAAATCCTACTCCCTCCACCCATGACATTTTCCTTCAATTTCCAATTTCTAGCATTGAAATTCCTTAAAATTTCAGTTGAGTGTTTAGAATTTCGGCATCTAAAGGGGAAGCACAGACAAAGTTAACATGGCAAGGCAAACACAGCAAAAGTAAAAGTTCTACATAAGAATTGTTTTCAGTAGCCTCATCTACACTTACCATTTAATGTAGTTCAAAGCTAGCTTCAAACTGAGGCAGCAAGACCGCAAACTTCTTTAAAAGCACACAAAATAAAGTCCTTAATGCGCATCAGTGCTCTGTAGTTGTGTAATCACCATGCAGGCCTCAAGCTGGTTCCAGCATGTCCTATGTAAATCCAAAACAAAACCACTTTCTTCAATACCGGTTGAAACTGCATTAAATGATCTGTGTAACTGAGGCCAATGTTCTCACTTTCTGCAATGCTTGAAGGTAAAGAACTGAATTTAAAAAACATTTTGGCAACAGTATTCTTATCTGGGGGCAGTGGCCTCATCTGATAAATATAACCCTGTTTGAGGAAGATTGATAACTTGTATCAATTAATTTTGTAGCTCTCTGTGAATAACTTATTTATGAATATGATATCAAAGCTCTTCCTTGGTAATGTGTATATCTTCAGCAGGAGAAATGTAATGGAGCATTAAACATCATCCCGGATTAATTGGTTAAAACCAGTTGTTCGTCTCTACTAAAGGAGGCACATTGAGTTAATGACATCTTAAATAAGTGTAGATTTTCCATTAATATTGCATATAGCTTCTTTTCAATACTTAAGTAGATAAATATCAGGTCATAAAATCTGGTCTCACACTAAAGGAAATATTAATTCAATGACTTGATTTTAACATTGCAGGACTGAAAATATCCATAACATCAGTGGAAATCATATGGTCCTCCAGATATTTTTTTACTGCAATTTCCCTGTATTCTTCACCATTAGTTATGCTGGCTAGATTCCTGGGACATGTAGTCTAACAAACTTGAGGCCCTCTGTGGTTCCCACTCCTCCTCTGGGACACATTCTGTTCCCCCATTCTTAAGTTGATTTAAACTACATAATTTTGCCCATTGTGTTAAATAAAGAAATAACCAGACTAAATAAAATGTCCCTAGCCAGGTTTTTTTGAATTATTCAAGCAAGTTAGCTATATAATAAACACAATGAACCAAATGTGCAGGAATTATATGATAGAATGAACTGAATTTTAGTTTCAAGCAAAATTGAGTATGTGGTTGTTGTTTATTCGTCCTTATGCTTCCAACTCTTCATGACCTAGTAAAATACACTTTTGGTTATTTTGATAAATTCCCTGGAGATTAATTTTCTAATTTAGTGAGTCCCTGGCAGTGTAGTGTGTTACTGATGGTAACCTTTGTTACGTTGTTCCCAGCTCTCTGCATGTCATTCACTAGGTTCCCCTGTGTGATTCTGGGATTTTTGCTCAGTGTTCTTGTGATCATTTTGACCTCATGGGGTGAGATCTTGCGTAGAGCCCCAGATTGAGGGAGATTATCAGTGGTCTTGTATCTCTTCCATTTTCTAATTATTGCTCCCACAGTTGATTTCTTCACACCAAGCTGCTTACCTATTGCAGATTCAGTGTTCCCAGTCTGCTGCAGGGTGAAATTTTGTTTCTGGTGTCCTTCGACAGTTCTTTGGCCTTCACCATAGTGGAGTTTGGAGAGAGACTGCGTGAGGTTGTGGACAGGTGTTTTTTAATACTCATAACAAATTCAAATAGGTTCCATTACTACAGGTAATGAGTGGAGGACACAGGAGCCCCTTAAAGAAGAAGTTACAGATCTGTGAGACCCAGAAATCTTGCTTGTTTGTAGGTGACCAGATACTTATTTTCCACCATAATTTGCAAATAAATTCATTAAAAACCAGACAATGTGATTTTCTGGATGTGTTTTCTTATGTTGTCTGTCATAGTTAAGGTGATGTCAATTACAGGCCTCTCTCATCTTTTTAAGTGGGAGAACTTGTACAATTGACATCTGACCAAAATACTCCCCCCCCCCCACTGTACATGTCCTTTTCTGAACTTGTTCCAACATGTCCATATCCTTCTTAAAATGAGGCATCCCAGAGCTGAATGCAGTATTCCAGATGAGGCCTGACCTACACAGAATAGATGGGGTGATAACTTCCCTTGACTTAAAAATTGGTTGTACTGAGACCAGTATTATCATCAAACTCAAGGTCCTTTCTACATGTGATGCAGAGCCATGTATCCCTTGTATTATACTTGTCTATTTGGTTTTTGTGGCATAAATCTAGAATTTTGCATTTGTTTCGATTACATTTCCTTTTATTAATGTCTGCCCAATTTTCTGGTTTATCTACATTAGATCCTTTTGAATTCTGTTCCTATCTTCCAGTGGACTAGCCACACGTCTCAGTTTTGTGTCATCTATCAGTGGAGGAAGGGTCATTAGAGAAAGGGATATGTGTATGTTCAGGTGTGTTGCTAGATGTAAACTCGATTTTAGAATGGATAAAGTTGATTTTTGGATGGATAAAGTTGATACACAGTTTTCTAAAGATTCCCTTCTTAGTTTAGACCATGAAGGTGCCATCAATGTAGCACCACCATATGAAAGGTTTGTCACTTATTGCATATTTATGATACATGAGATAATCCCTGCAAGTAGAATATTTTTTCATTGTTGAATAGATGGGTTTTATTAATTTAATTCTTTAGAAATTGGAAGAACAGGACCGAAAAGCACTAAATATTAAAGAACAATTACAACGAGAACATAGGTATCTCAAGCGTAGATTGGAACAGCTCTCCATGCAGGGCCTGGAACGAATTCGCACAGACAGCCTGGGATCAACATTATCAACAGATTCTGAGCAAGGTAGTATCTAGATTCTGCTATCTATTACAATAAATGTACATTTTGATCTCTTGACCTAGAAATGTTATATTTGGAAACCTAAAACATATCAGAGTGTTATCGTCCCATTGTTATAGGAATGCCAAGTATCTCTGGTTTAGTAAAGCTAGTTATAACAATTTAACAAGGTTTTATGAAGCCATAGAAAAGAAATTTGAGAAGAGATTGGCTGATTTTATGTGGAAAACGGCAATAAATATAGCAAAAGGTACAAGATACCGAAAACTAAAAGCATCTAAAGGTATTATAATTGAATTGCTGCTGAACCTTGGATTGGTGTGTGTGTGTGTGTGTGTATATATATATATATATATATATATATGTCTAGACTGGTGTTGGCTGGATGGAATATATCTTGTCAGAGTTAAAAACTCCTCCACCAAAGTATTGTTTTTGAATTTTCAATGTTAGAATGCTGAATGTAAGAGTAGGGACATTTATCTCAAACTGTTTTCTGAAATTTATGGAAATAAAACAAAATTTCAGAATTGGAATTTACCCATTGTAGAAACCAGTTCTGAATGAGAAAAATAAAAAAGCATGACATAGTAGCACTCTCACAGATACATCTCTCTCCATTTCTGAGATACAGTGAGGCATGCATGATATCCTAAAGCCAACCATTATAGAGTTGCAAATGATCTCAGCAAAATGACACAGTTACTTCAGTACTCAACCAGTGTGTAAGAAAGTGAGAATATTATATGCATCAGATTTGCTTGTAAGGATTACTACAACCAGTAAGCCGTGATACATTTTAGATGTCTGTAAATCCATACAAAGAATGGCCTCTAGGTGGAATAACTTTCCTTCAGATGCTATTTTTAGTTCTGGAAAACTGCCCTCATGACATCATTAGCTGAGTTCAATGGGGTGGCAGACCAATTTGTACATTCTGTTACTGCTGAATTTCTAATGACTGGCTAAAAAATTCTGAGAGTCCTTGGACTGGTAGAGGCAGAAAACACGGGGCCTTTGTTGTTGTTTTTACAGTGCCAGGCCCATCCTGAAGTAATTATATAAACTAGTGAGGATGGGCAGAAAGGGTTGAATTTATCAACTGATATCCACCATGAGTTGAAGCTACATTTTAAGAAACCCTATTAAAGCCTGTGATAACTATTTTAACTGGCTTATATTCATTAAATTTCACATTTTCAGGTTCCAAAAATGCAAAATTCAAATAATATGGTTTTTGTTCCTCTGTTAGCCCCCACCCTCATTCTGAAATGAGCATAACATTTTGAACAATAAGCTATTGATAATTATATGCCTCTTAGTTTTATTCAGTTGATCAGAAGCTCTGAATATGAAGGATGTCAATCAGAATGAGAGGATGTTTGCAGTAGTCAGAGCATATAGTCCTTATCTTTAAGTTCTAACATTGTAATGTGTCAATAAAAGGGGCCGTGGTGGCATAGTAGGTTAAACCGCTAAGCTGCAGAATTTGCTGATCGTAAAGTCGGCGGTTCAAATCCACGGACAGGGTAAGATCCCGTTGTTAGCCCCAGCAGTTCGAAAAAACGCAAATGTGAGCAGATCAATAGGTACCGTTTCGGCAGGAAGGTAATGGGGTTCCACGCAGTCATGCTGGCCACATGACCTGGGAGGTGTCTACGGATAACACTGGCTCTTCGACTAGAAATGGAGATGAGCACTACCCCCCCCCCCCCCCCCAGAGTTGGACTCCACTAGACTTAATGTCAAGGGGAAATCTTTACTTTTACTTTTAAAAGGCTCAAAATGAGTTGTTCACCTCAGATGTTCAGGTATAAATCCTGCTAGTACTCCAAGACCCAGTGAACCAATATGATGTTTATATTAACTTTACATTCTAGAATAGATTTAATGGGCCAGCTCTGCTTAGAAATATGGAGTAGGATTCTGGATGCAAAAAACAAGGATGTGAACATCTGCCAACAGAAAACAGTTTTTTTTAATCTTGGCCCGACATAAAATAATCCATTTTTTCCTACCTTTTTCTCATAGTAATTTTTAAATATATATTTCCAAGCTTATAGTTTTGCATGAAGCATGTAAGAAAATATTTACAGAATTTTACTTGGAATCTGTTGAAGGAACAGTCTTACATTTCTATATGTTTCCGTCTTCACTGAATTACAATGTTTGAACAAATGTAAAATATTGTTGAAGGCTTTCATGTCCGGAATCACTGGGTTGTTGTAGGTTTTTCGGGCTATATGGCCATGTTCTAGAAGCATTCTCTCCTGACTTTTCACCTGCATGTATGGCAGGCAACTTCTGAGGATGCCTGCCATAGGTGCAGGTTAAACGTCAGGAGAGAATGCTTCTAGAACGTGGCCATATAGCCTGAAAAACCTACAACAGAAGTCTTGTATGTATTTTACTTAAGATTATGGTATGATGCTCTTCCTCACTGAAATATCTGTCTCCTGTGTTTCAATTTAGAGGTAGACATTGAAGGAATTGAATTTACAGCAGCTGGAATGGACAATAGTGGGAGTACCAGTGATGCTGAAGACAGTTTTCAAGGCAGCTCCAGTGACGGTGGCTATACATATTCCCTCAGAGTAAATGCCAGACTTCTGTAGCATTTGGCTGAACTTCTCAACTCAGGACCTTTTTGACAGAAGCACTTACAATGAATAAGAAATATAATTCCAGAGTTGTTGAGTGCTACTTTCCCAGAAAGCCTCTACCTATCACAATGCTCCAAATGGTGTATTGTCCAGGATTCGTCGGATTATGGTGTATATTAAATTACAAATCATGGATTTTGCAAAGTAAGATTTTGTTTTCAACTGCTTTAACGTAGCCATTGTTCAAACTTTTTTTAACTGTTGTGAGGAGAGTGCTTTTTAAAGTCTCCCCAGTACAAAAAGATCAAAGCTTGTTTGGTTTATTCAGCATTTGTATTGTAGTTTATTGAAGTTCAAATTCTCAGGTTTACTAAACACTCAGCCCTCATTAACCACTTCTCCAAAGTCTATTAACGAACCAGATAAAGGTGTCCTTTTGTCACAAAAAGGAGACAAACCTTAAGGCAACACAATCCAACAAATGGAAATGACAGGTATAGGTGAAGAACATACACTGTTCTGTCCATCTGTCTGCTCATGATATCATTGAATTGGGCATCCTGGGGCACATCTACAGTGACCACTTAGGTTGATATGAAATCAGCCAAGAAATAAGTAGTTTCAGTGTGCGAATGATAACATATTAAGTACTGGAACCAGTTTCAAGGCCTGGATGATATTTATATGACCCAGAGGCTTCCAGGATATGCATTATTATTATTATTATTATTATTTAGTGTGGAGACATCATGATGGTTTATTTCCGCCATCCCCTCCTGCCACACAGCATATGTGTATATCACCAGAGCACTTGTCTCTTAATCAGTTTCCACATGCAATCTGGATTTATTTTCGTGCATTGATGTGCATTAGGAGCCCCCAGTAGTGCAATGGGTTAAACCCTTGTGCCAGCAGGACTGCTGACCAAAAGATTGACAGTTTGAATCCAGGGAGTGGGGTGAGCTCCAGTCTGTCAGCTCCAGCTTCTCATGCAGGGACATAAGAGAAGCCTCCCACAGGATGGTAAAACATCTGGGCGTCCCCTGGGCAATGTCCTTGCAAACGGCCAATTTTCTCACACCAGAAGTGATTTACAGTCTCAAGTCACTCCTGACATGAAAAAAGGGGGCTCTATTTTGGAGTATTCCCTAACATTGCTTATCCCGGTTTAAAGCTCTAATCCACATTGCTGCATGTGTTTGCACTGTGTGTCATCTAAACATTGCACTGTCAAACTGTTTCAAAGTACTTTAAGTGGTCAGTGTAAATGTGCTGTTGTCCCAGGGTTTATGCTGGTTTAACAACCTAACACTTTCTTTGCCCCAATTCATTGTACAAACAACCACTCACTGTCTCCTTCCATTTTAACGAGAAACCATCAACAGAAGTCTTGTTAACATGGAGATTACACATGAAATATTTAGAGCATTATTGAAAGCACACATGTCCTAAGGATTGATAACTAAAACTTTTTAATTCCTATCTACAGCTGCCAGTACACTGAAATGGAAATAGTTTCACATTTCAGTATTCACACTAAAAATTTTTTTTGTTTTATCTGCCACAGTTGCAATTTCATTTCTATACCAGAAATAGAAAATGCTGTAAAATAGTATCATTTATTTAGTATTGATCGAGGTGTTTCAAATGTAATTATCCTGGCTTTTAGCAATACTCCAAAGTTATATTTGACTACACTTTTAGTGAAATCATTAGTGTTTGAACACCTGATATTTAAAAATGGACCATCTTTACATTACCACCTTGATGGACTTTTAAAAAAAAAATGAAAAAAAATCTATGTACTGTTTTGACAAAGAATCCATTTCCTGTAAATATATTTTCTAACTATTCTCATTTACTTACAGGGAACATATAAACTTAGACCAGAGTCTCAGGTACTCCTTACTTTACTCATACTGTGCCTTGGTAAATATTTTATATATTTCTCTTTCTTTGTTTGTTTAAAATATAAGTTTTGCTATTTCAGAAGCCTCAGTTGGAATGGTTTAATGGTATTAGCTTGCTTTAGATCAGTGGTTCTCAATCTGTGGGTCCCTAAATGTTTTGCCCTTCAACTCCCAAAAATCGTAACAGCTGGCAAACTGGCTGTGATTTCTGGGAGTTGTCGGCCAAAACACCTGGGGATCCACAGGTTGAGAACCACTGCCTTAGATGAAGGACATACTGTAATTTTATTCTGTTCCTTTAACGGGAGGGGAGCTAATAATCCCTGTATCCTGCTTTTTGAAGTACAGTATTAATTCAGGGATGCTTTTGCTCTTGAAATCCATGTTATAAATCAGGAATGAAGAAGATCATAGGATCATAGAGTTGGAAGAGACTACAAGGGCCATTTAGTTCAACCCACTGCCGTGCAGGAAAAGTACAATCAAAGCATTCCCTATAGATGACCATCTAGACCAGGGGTCCTCAAACTTTTTAATCAGAGGGCCAGGTCACAGTCCCTCAAACTGTTGGGGGGCCGGATTATAATTTGAAAAAAAGTGAATGAATTCCTATGCACACTGCACATATCTTATTTGTAGTGGGGAAAAACACTTAAAAACAATACAATAATTAAAATGAAGCACAATTTAAACAAATACAAAACTTATTAGCATTTCAATGGGAAGTGTGGGCTTGCTTTTGGCTGATGAGATAGGATTGTTGTTGTTGTGTGCTTTCAAGTCGTTTCAGACTTAGATTGACCCTGAGCGAAGGCCTGATAAATGACCTTGGAGGGCCGTATCCAGCCCCTGGGCCTTAGTTTGAGGACCCCTGATCTAGACTATTTAAAAAATCTCCAGAGACACACTCCAAAGTAACATATTCTGCTATCAAACTGTTCTTGCTGTCAGATATTAATCCATATATTTTTGGTGACCACTGAATCCCACCGGTGAAAACACTCATCCTCCTTCCCCAAACACACACACACATTTGTGCACCAGTTGTCCCCAGAAACAACGTACATGTTCCCCATACACCTTTTTTTTTTTTTACAGTAGAGTTAGTTTTTTCACCAACCAAAAGTGATTTCCCCTCCCAGTTTGTTACCATGCTGTCATTATCTTACAGTGGCACCCAGGGGGTTGGAACTGGCCACCACCTTGAAACGGCCTAAACTGATAAATAGTGGGATCCAATCCCATATATGCAGAAAATGAATCCATTCCAATATTTCAGGAAGAGGAGCTTGCAGAATCAGGACAGTGCCTTGTGAGATTTGAGCTTCCAGTTTTTAGTATTGAACTAATCAATAAATTACAACATATTGACATGATGGAGACAACTAACACTTTGTTGTTTCCTAAATACTCCATATATATACATATTTTTCCCTTGTGCTCAAAACATAGAAAATAAATGCTAACTATATTTTTGGCAACTTATAACCCTTGGTGATTTGTTCCCCAGTAGCCTAGAACTTGCCGTCAAGGATATGCTTTAAAATATATTTAATTGTTTTTGTAGCCATCCCTTCTTTAGCTGTGGGAAGAGTGGCAATGCTACAAACCCAGGCAGCATGATTTCAAATTTATAGCCCTCTTTTGCGCTGTTTTGACATGTTACACATGTATATTTCAAATGTTCTTGTTGAGAAAGGTACATTAGCAATATAAGTATTGTGTGTAACTGATAAGCAGTATTTTTATTTCATGTATTTTGATTTTTAAATCATTTTAGATGTTTTACTTTAGTAAAATGGGTGGAAAGGCCTACTTGTATCGTCGCTTTCCTTTACAGTATAATGAATTTACTAATGGCTGTGAAATGTTTTCCTTCATGAAAAGCAGCTCTTGCATAAAACTTTTTTAAAAATGGGGAAAAAATATATGATGAGCAATGTTGATCTTATGCCACTCTAACATTTGTGTTTGCAAAATGAATGTGTATACTTCGATAAACCTTCCATACTGGTTCTCAGTGGCTTTTGTAGATCTTTTATATTTTCAATAAAGATTACGCTGGTATTCTCATCTTCCAGTAATCTTATTTTCACTTGTTCAATAATTGTAGTAACTACTTCAGCAATACTGCCAATATGAGAAATGATTTAAATGCATTTAATGTGTTGTTGAAGGATTTCATAGCCAGAATCACTGGGTTGCTGTGAGTTTTCTGGGCTGTATGGCCATGTTCCAAAAGCATTCTCTCCTAACATTTCACCCACATCTATGGCAAGCATTCTCAGAGGTTGTGAGGTCTGTTGGAAACTAGACAAGTGAGGTTTATATATCTGTGGAATGTCCAAGGTGGAAGAAAACAACTCTTGTCTATTTGAGGCGAATGTTGCAATTGGCCAGCTTGATTAGTATTGAATGGCCTTGCAGCTTCAAAGCCTAGCTGCTTCCTGCCAGGGGGAATCCTTTGTTGAGAGGTGTTAGCTGGTCCTGATTGGTTCCTGTCTGGAACTCTCCTGTTTTTTGAGTGTTGTTCCTAATTTACTGTCCTGATTTTGGAGTTTTTTAAAATACTGGTAGCCAGATTTTGTTCATTTTCATTTGTTTCCTCCTTTCTGTTGAAATTGTCCACATGATTGTGGATTTCAATTGCTTCTCTGTGTAGTCTGACATGATGGTAGTGAGAGTGGTCCAGCATTTTTGGGTTCCGAAATAATATGCTGTGTGCAGGTTGGTTTATCAGGTGCTCTGCTATGGCTGATTTCTCTGGTTGAAGTAGTCTGCAGTGCCTTTCACGTTCCTTGATTCATGTTTGGGAAATGCTGCGTTTGGTGGTCCCTATGTAGACTTGTCCACAGCTGCATGGTATACGGTGGACTCCTGCAGAGGTGAGAGGATCCCTCTTGTCTTTTGCTGAGCGTAGCATTTGTTGGATTTTCTTAGTGGTTTTGTAGCTAGTTTGTAGGTGGTGACAATTTCAGGCAGTAAGCAGCCAGACCTTGAAGCTGCAATGCCATCCAATGCTAGTCAAGCTGGCCAATTGCAACATTTGCACTTGCCTCAAACAGACAAGAGTTCTTTCTCCCACCCTGGACATTACATATATATAAACCTCACTTGCCTAGTTTCCAACAGACCTCACAACCTCTGAGGATACCTGCCATAGATGCAGGCGAAATGTCAGGAGAAAATGCCTATGGATCATGGCCATACAGCCTGGAAAACTCACAGCAACCCAGTTATTCCAGCCATGAAAGCCTTTGACAACACATTTAACAGTTTACAACACATCAATCGTTTTTCTAGTTTTCAACAGACCTCACAACCTCTGAGGATGCCTGCCATAAATGTGGGTGAAACGTCAGGAGAGAGTGCTTCTGGAACATGGCCATACAGCCTGGAAAACTCATCGCAATCCAGTGATTCCAACAAATCTCTTGTAGGTGACAGTCCAGCAACTAGAAGATGCCCTTCTTCTGTTTACTCTTTTCCAGATTAAATACATCAAGTTTCAGGAACCATAATGAGTTGACTGTCTTACCTGGCAGTTTGGTGCTTTCATGTCACATCTAAAAATAAAGTCTTATAATCCACACCACCTCTTGCTAAAATTGTACTTTGCTTTATAAGATTGACGCTTGATTGCTGGGGATACTTTACTTAGCCCAAATCATTTCGCTTGCATTCAACATTTGCAATATTTTCTTTTCAAAGGTGATTATCACTGTCTTAAATATATACATAGCACTTATAACATGTGCCTCTTATAGTACATGACATGCTCTGCTGAGCAGGGTATTTATATAAC